TTCCAAATCAAATCTTAAAACCAAACCGCCCCCCCCCCCCCTCCTCCTCCTCCTCCAAACAAGCCGCCGCGTCCTTGGTCTTGGGGGGAGGGTTCATCCTTGCACCTGGGAAGCCTCCGCGGAACCAGGTTTTTGGGCTCTTGGGGGCGCCTGATCAGCGGGTGACAAGCCCCTGTGATTCCATCATAGATTTGGATTTGGCGCTTGATTTGCAATTTGCGTTTAATACACAGAGAGAGATATACGAACAAGAAGAAGAAGACCAACCACAAGGCGCCGCTTAGACGCGTCTCTTTTTCATCACATCACCCGTTTTCCCTTTTTCGCCCTTGGCCAACCCAACTCTAAAACAGCGTGTATATTGAGCAGTACCTCGTCCAATGTAGTAGACATGTTGGACCCAAAGGGCGGCAGTGCAGCATCCGGTCTTTGGTGGCTTGTCGAGGCGTGTCCCCGGTAAACACGTGTGTCTGTAGAAAAGAAACACGCCAGCCCTTCCGAACCTGCGGCGGCGCCCAACGAACGGCAGGGCGGCACTTTTGGGCAAATCTCTCCAATCTCCAATCTCCTACTAAAGTAGTATGTACGGCTTTTTATCTGTCCATTTTCTTTTGCTTCCATGTCTTTACCCCGTACGGAGCCTTCTCTCAATATTGGTGCGTGTTAGTCCGGTGCCCCGTAAACTCCGAACCGGGGGGAAGCCTGAACATGTGTGAGCCGCATTCTAAGGGAAGAGAGGGGGGGAGCGGTCCCCAGTCATTGCAATTTCAAATAACTTGTGTGATTCAACCAGCCGAAAAAAACAAAACAGCATTAGAGTCGGAAATCTAAAATCGCTTCGGCGTCACTTTTGTTCACCGTTCCTTCTTGGGTAATCCATCTCATCGGGAATATCTTGTTCGTCTTGTTTTACCCCGATGACCCTGCAATGTGCCCTTTTTCCCCTTGTGAGCTTTATTTAGACTCAGGAGAAGAAAAAAAAAAGAGAAGGGAATGGGGGCCGCCAGCACAAAAGGGATTTCACCCAACACATGCAGCAATCTGCAATGCAATCCCGATTGTTATGGCCGCTTGCGGTAAGAAAGAGGCAGCTGAGAGTTCTCACACGGCGGAGGCCTGTCTCGTAGGGCGAACCAGATCCAAGGGATAAGATTTGTTCTCCCCCCCTCCCCCCTCCCCTTACCCCGTTGACGACACAAGAAGCACGAGAACCAACCGGGCTTTTGCCTATCCACAGCGTTGGGATAGTAGGGCTGAGAGGGAGGCTCGGCAGAACGTTGACATGTGGCAGATGGCGTCCCGACGGCTAGGGAAGACGACCCATTGGCTTGGGGGGGGAGTTAAACCCCCCCCCCTCTCCACTCCCCTTGAGCTTTTTGAGTTGCTTGGGGGGGCGAGCATGACACAAAAGGTCACTGGTGATCTAGAACCCTGGTTGAGGCAAGGGACAGGCCGCCGCTACACTTACTCGGTGATGATGTGTGTGCAGAGTGTAGGTAGGTACTTCTTGTACACCTGTGAGCCAAATGTACTGGAACATGTATTTATCCACGCATTCGCTTGCGGGGTGAGGTACGGTGTACGCAGTACGTGTAATTCGTACACAGGCGCCGTTTCTTCCCCCCCTTGCCGTCTCTCTCTCCTCTCTTTCTCCCCTTCTCACCTCGACCTTTTGCTTTTGCGACGGCCAATTTCGTCCCGGGGCCGGGATCTCTTGTATGCTTTCGGGACGCCGCGGGATGACCAACAGCCTGAATCTCTCTCTGCTCACTCATGGCACGGCACGGCATACCTTTTAGCTATGAGAGTACCTAGGTAGGAAACCAGAGGAGCAAGACAGAGGGGGGAGAGTGATAATACCTCGTCAAAAGTATTACAGCAGAGATCCGTTATTCCGAAAAGGTTATTGTTGATGAACGACGGTGCTGATGATGGGCGGGCTATTGGGCCTAAGGGAACACGAGGCCCCTTGCTGCTTGCAGATGGCATCGATTGTCGCAGGCAATAACCCCTCTCAAGAGCCATTTTGCCATTGGCTTTTCTTTTCTTTGTTCTCTTTCGTTTGTCCTCATAGGCATTATGCTTTCTGGAGGCAAAAACCACACAAGAAACTCAAAAGAAAAAACGAATATCATTTCCTCATTCTTTTCCCGCCCCTGCGGAGCCGCATTCCGATTGCTCAAAGCTCCCGTCTTTTGGTGGGTTTTGGTGTTTTTTCTACTTGCTTTTTGGGGGGGAGGGGCCCCCCCTCTCCCATCCCGCTTGTTGGCGCAACTTTCAACAAATCCCGTAGGGCTCTCTTGTGCTTGTTGATCTTCCTTTTCAATATGCGCTTCTCGCTGGCAGATGCTAAGGTAACTCTGGTGCTTCGCTAGGTACTCCGTAGCTGTCGTATCAGATGCCGGTTGGGGGGAACGACTTGAATTGATTGACACTTGATGCCATCTCCCAGGGCCTTGCAGGGCCAGACCGGGGGAATTTTGGACGCCGGCGGACCCTACGGTTTCTTGGCCACCTCACTTACACCGGTCAACACCCCCTGCCTACCAAGGTATCTACGTTGTGGACTCTCAAGGTAAAATTTTAGGAGCTCTCCCTGTGCGTGTATCATGTGGGAGAGCACCTGACCTGCGCAGGCAGCAAGACTGTCTGTCTGATTTGGGGGGCCCCCCTAGGGACAGCAAGATGAGGGAGCTCCATACTCGTACATTCGCAACGCAAGAGACAAGCTGTGCGCATCGTACAACAAAGCAACACCGCGCCCTCTCTCCCGCGCGTCTCCCCTGATGTAATACGACTCGCCAACCAGGAAAGCAGACAGGAAGAGAAACCGGGGAAGAAACAAAAAAGGGTCTCTTGATAGCACACACGAGGTTGTTGGGGGAGATACATGACACCTGTGTACCACATGTGTCAGTTAGGTACCTATCCAGCAACGCGGGATCGGGTTAGACGGCGCGCATCTCGCATCCGAGACTTTGTAGCCAACAAAGGTGGACAGCAACAGAGAGCAAGACGCCAAGTTGATCCTCCCTCGGGCCAGCCTTGTAGGTAGTAATGATAAACGAGACAGAGACACCACGTTGTTGCACTGCCGCGAAACGCAAGCTGTTGTGGGTTGGGACGGCACGGTTTAGGTTGGGCGCTGACAGCTAAGTGCCATAGGGGAATCGCCATGTGCTGCAAATTGAAAGGGCCTCCCCTCCTCTTGGTGTGTGTGGACGAGGGGGCCAGAAGAAATGGGGATGTGATGGGTGTGAGGGAAGAAGGGCAACAAAGGGGGAGGGGGGGAGTCTCTCCATCGTTGGCAGGCAGGCAGAGAGATGCCAGAGATGTGCCATGTGTGTGTGATATGGCATGGCATGATTGCCGTAACCGCAAGCTTTAACCGCTACCTTGGTTAAAGAGTTTATGTACCATGTCTTCAAAACAACCTGGGAAAACACAAAGCGATGATGCTATACATAGATAGAAACCGTGGCTGGACCATTCAACCATCAGAAATGCCGCGGATGTCAGCAAACAAGCAAAAGCAAAAGCAAGCAAGCAGCAAGTAAAATAGCCGCGAAGCTTTTTGAGGGTGAAGCCTCCTCCCCCAGCCCCGGCAATGAGCTGTTGCCATTGAGTTATTCCCACCTCGCTTGCTTTTAGACTCGGCGGATTATGGAAGAAGCTAAAATAAAACAGCAAATCTCAAGGAGCAGTCTTGCTGCACACACGAGCGAGAGGGAGCTCTTGTTTCGTCCGCGCGTTAAAATCAGTCCTGGCGTGATCCTGAGTGAGGGAGTGTCTTTTGTTTTGCTTCGGCGCTTGTCCGCGGCTCTTTTTTCTCTGAGGTGATGTGAGGTGAGGGGGGGCGTGTGAGAGCAGACGGGAATGGATGAGACAAGAGAGCCACCACCACAAGGTGAGAGGAGAGAGATGAGGACAGGGCCAACGGGATGCGCGCTGTTCCCAATTTCGACAGTGTACTAAAGGCCTTAGTGCCGCTGGGGCATACCAGGAATAGGTAGTAGTAGTAGTAGAAGCATGAGAAGCAGAATGGTTTGGAGTATCTATCCAAGGTGCTTTTTGGTAGGAGGGGTATTTTGATAATGACCCCAAGTTCAAAGCCTACCTACCTATGTACCTGGTATGGAGCAGATTGATGGGGAACAAGAGGGCTTGGAGAAGGGGACAGGTCGCATCTCTGCTGTGCCGAACAAGGTGTCCAATCACAGCGGTGTCAACCCCCATGTCGACAGAGACAAGATGGGACATGGGGGGGTTAGCAAAGCCATGGATGGGTCAAAAAGCGTGGATTTGATAATGAGCGTCATGGGCGGCCAAAAATAGCTGCCATTACACAAGCACGTTGAGGCCACGAGTTAGGCTGAATTCAACCTCCTTTGGTGGCGCCGCCAGTTTCTCCTTCTGCTGTGCGAAAGCGAACGAGAGGAGGAGGAGGAGTAGGAGGAAAGGGTAATTGGGGGTCTGTAAGACACACACACAGAGAGAGGTAAAGAGTGTAAAGAAAGGGACACCGCCTGCCGGCAGAGCGAGTCTCCGGTGAAGGCTGAGCCAACCAGCCCTCCCGATCCCATGGAAGCTTTTTTTTTTTTGCTGGATGTTCTTTTTTGGCTTGGATCCAGGGAGCGGTTCGAGATGGCTACACACGCCCCCCCTCCCTTCCATCTCAGTGGTTCATAGGGTGAGAGTGAAGCTCTCTTGTTACTTTGCTGGCTGTCGCTTGCTATAGACGGCTTGTAGTCTGGGATCGCCTGCCTATTTTCAGACCAAATCAGGCGAACGATCAAGACGATAGATAGGGAGAGAGAGTCATGAACATGGGGGGCGGAGAGGAGGGGGAACGGGAAAAGGCAATGATTTGAGATTTTGGGGTAAAGCGGGCAGTGCCACCAAGAGCACACTGTACCGTACGATCGTGCTCCCTCTCACCCATCTTTGGTGTCTTTCTTCTTCCTACTTGTCTCATCCTCGAGTCTTGCTCACCTCCCGCCTCAGGCGACAGCCGGGGTGTGGAGTTGGGACGCTTTGCTACTAGTAATACTACGAGGTAGTACATACAGTATTACAGTGAATCTCTACAGCATGTAATAGAGTGGTTTCCCAAGCCCTACGAGGCTATCCTGCCCTGCCCTGTGCCCACACCAACTTTTGCTTCCGCTCGCCGTTGACGTTCTGGCCACGCTTCGCCTGTCATGAGCCGCGCCATGGCTTGGCCGTCCGCGCGCTCTCATTTGACGTCGGCCGTTGTCTCGGGATGAAGGAGACGCCACGCCGCCAAGGGGGCGTTATCCCTTTGGCTTCGTTGATGACATTGTGCAGCTGCCTACTACTTGTACATACACGCTCTACTAGTATAGTATTTGCCCATATTCGGTATTTCAGTTCTACCTACTAGTAGTAGTTGCCATCGTCGAGAGAAAAACAACCAAAAAAAAGAAGAAAAAAGTACCTTGGCGCCGTGGTTGCTGATGCCGCTTTGTACCTTTTCGGACATTTTGTCTTGTGGTCTTCCTTCGTAGCGATATCCGCTGCCCATCAAAGAACCACGCAAAACGCACGCCCGTTTTTTCTTCTTCTTCTTCTTTTCTCCACGTTTGGTCTCCCTCCCTCTCTTTTCGTTTCCTAATGCCGCAAGCCCTAAGAAGTTACGTCCGTCCGGTACCTATGATTATCGTGGACAGCGAAGAAACCCCCCCAAGATGGAGGTGAGGAGCAGGGAGGGGGGGATTATCCCAGACTGTGATGTGCCGCTTGAGCCATTGGCCCTACGGGCGGAGACCGTCATATGAGCCCTACAGCGAAACGCCACCGCCTTACTGACCCCAAGCTCAAGGTACCGAGATACGCTTTTTTGACATCAAACGCGGGATCTTTTGTTGGGAGACTCGAGAAAGACAAAAAACCAAGTGCTGTTGCAAAGTCCCCTAGAGGCAAGTACCTTGATAGGGAGGGGGTTATAGTAGGTATTATAGGTACCTACTCAGTACAGTAGAAGTTGAGGAATGACAGGGTCCTTCCCAGGTCATCATCCCCAAATTGCCACAGCCAGCAGATCCGGCACGGCAAAAGTTGGCCGTTGCGATATCCATGGAGGCGCGGAGCAGACAAGTTCCGTCCGGTTCGGTGCTGGGGGCGATTGTGATGGGTGTGATTTGAGTTGATGGGAAATGATTGCGGAAACTTGGCTTTGTTCTGGTCTTCTTCTCGCACGGAGAAGCCAAAGTCATTCGATACGAAGCTCCTACACAGTTGTTGCTGGTAATCATTTACGCGACAATCCACCTAGGGGAGATGTCACACGGAAAAAATGCATGATACAGAGAAAAAATCAAAAATTAAATGATTGTCTTGGTGCTCTGCCTTGGTGAACAAAAGACCCACGATGCAGGCAGAAACCGAGCAAGACTCGTGCTGTCGCTGTTTTGGGAGCTGTGTCGAGTCATGGGCAACGAACGTCTGGGCGGAGACGCTGTGTGCGTGCACCGACAGGGACCAAAAGATTGGAAGGGGGCCGCATCGGAGCCACGACGCGCCCTCCCCTTCCCCCCCCAGTTGGCCGATTCGGACAGCATGGAGAGCCCCAATCCTGTTGACTCGGGATGAGGATTATTATTACTAGCGGACAGAGCTGGGGGAGCTGCAACACTCCGAGGCGGCGACAAGACGGCAGGCCAGGCAGACAAACGAGAGATCCCATGCAGAAGAAGGTACAGTACTACAGACACTTGGACTGTAGATACATAGGCGCAGAGCACACGTACAATGTACATACAGGCGGGATGCATAGCAGCAGCAGCAGCAGCAGCAGCAACGGGGTCTACAGCGGAGTAGACTCGGACAAAGTGAGGTCGAAATGGAGCACAGTATCCCGATGGCACCGGTCTGCTTGCCGATGTTACCGATATCCGGTTGAACGCCTAAAGCCAGAGGCAAGACGGTTTGAGGCCCAAGAGCAACTCGAACCGGCGCCGGTTGGCTATTCGCCTTTGCGTGCGGAGGCGCTACATCAAATGACCCATGCACCCTGGTCTGACATGACCCATGGTCCCGAATTTGGTGTAAATAAAAAGTTCAAGTGACCCATGCTCTTTACATAGTGATTGGTTAAAACCGTCTTTTTATAGAGCATGGGTCATCCCAGGTTTTTTATTAATGCATTCTTAATGCATTATTATTACATTTATAAGGATTAGCAGCTAAGGTTAATAGTTATTTATTAAAGTTAATAATAAATAGTTAAAATTAATAGTTTATTTAGATTTATTATAGTATATTATAGAGAAATTTATTATAAGAAGTTAATGCATTAATAAAGCATTCTATTTTACATATAAAAGCTGACCTGACCCATGGGCTCACTTTTTACAGTTTTAATTGGTTGTAGACCTCTTATAGTGGAGCATGGGTCATGTCAGACCAGGGTGCATGGGTCATATGAGGTAGCACCTCTTGCGTGCGTGCGTGCGTGCGTGCGACAGCGGGCTGGCCATTGAAACGCAAATCAATTATCCCGAGCCCAGCAGCAGGAAAAGGGAACACCCAAGCAAAAGGCGCAGGATAGGAGCGGCCATTTTCTCCCCCTTCGCTCGGGTATCCGGTCGGAGGAAGACTGCTGGCAAAAGGTCCGCCCAAGCACCAACCTACATACTACTACTACTACTCGCATCGGTACATACATACGAATTTGGGATCAAAGGGTGGCGGCATGCCCTTCCTCCCAAAGGCGGCATTGGCCAATGCGAGGCGCGGCATGGCCAGATGCGATTTCGTCCGAGATCCTTCTACACAGTCACCAATGCACCGCAGGAATGGGCGGGTGCCTTAGCCGTGGATGTGTTCCATGTTCCTTTCTGGGCGCAATGTTTCGAATGCAACGTCTTCGACGTCTAGAAGGCCCGCGGCTAGGGGAGGGAGACAAGCAGATGATGGCTTGGGCCTAGCAGGCGCTGAGTAGCAGCGCTACTACACTGTAGGTCGCACTCAGGAGAAGGATGAGATTCAACGAGGTCGAGGCAGTTGTGTGACTGGTGTGGAAGTGTGTGTGTGTGTTAGACCAGTAGATTGGTTGGCTGGCGTTATTAGCAGGACCATGAGCACTGGTCCAAGCAAGCATACCTACACAGCACCGAATGGCAGCAGATCCCATGCCATGGCCTGTCAGCGCAGCCCTATGACGACGACGACGGCTCTCTGCGTCGGTCCCAGCCCACGTCTCGCAGACAACTGCCAGCGCTGGCTCTGCATCCCTAGTCCCTGCCACTTGTACCTTGCGTGCCGCAACCTAGCCAGACCGACAGTCCTGCCGTCGAATGCCAATGCCGCGAGTTGCAGCTTTCAACCAGCGCATCGTGCTTCTGGTATGTATGTATGTATGTATGGGCGGACCCGGCCCGGTCTCGTCTGTCTGGTGTTTCTGTCCCTCCTGGCGAGACCTGCCAGTTCCGAAGCGGCGTCCGTCCCATGGCCGTCTATTTCGAGGCGTGCGAAGCCGTCCGTCGTCAGCGGGTATTTGCCGGGCGTGAGGTGAGGGCGGAGAGACGAGCCCAAGTTGTGCCGGCGCACGGCCTGGAGCCTCCCCCGGCTGTCGCATCCTGCTAATCATCCAGAGCTCGGCACGCTCATCAGCACGACTGGGTAACTAACTGGAAGACGACACGAGTGGCAGTGGCCGCAAGGGATGAATGCTTGCCGGATGGGGCTCTGGATGCGCTGGAGTCGACGTGCCTGCGGAAAACCGGGCAAATTTGAGGCCAGCCCACGCCATGTGTAGCTACAATTAGAAAGGTATTGTGCTAGGCCCGGGTGGGCAAGCGTGAGGATGGGGGGGGGGACCCAGCACTGGCACTAAAGAAAGTACCGCCCGGGAGTCCCTGCCCTGTCTCTTGCTCTGCCTCTGCCTCTGCCCTCTGCCCTGTACCTTCTGGCAAGTGCAGTCCATCCCATGTCTACCGTCACGCCTCCCGAAAGGCGGCAGCGCCACCCCCCCGACACTCTGGGCCTCCCCCCCCGCTCTATCCGCTTCATCCCACCCGCACGCAGCCTGCAGAGCCTCCCACACCATCGCCTACGAGGTACCTTACGACTGCTGGCTGCTGGCGACACCCCCCCGGACCCCCTGGACGGGATACGCCAAGGTACACGAGCGCCCACAGCTTCCAGGGCACACTCCCCCCCAACAACCCCCCCTGCCGCAGCGCCCAGGCCTTGCAGACACAGCCAGATCCAGCCCAGGAGCGCGGCAGGGCCTCGTACCTCCGCTACGCCCACTCCCCCCCAAGGCACCGATCGGCCATGGATGCTCGAGGGGGACGGGATGGGCCCTGTCACGGCCTGCGCACGCCTCGAGCCTCACGCCTCACGCAAGCCTCCCCAAGCCCTTCACGCTTCCCTCCACGCTGCATGCCGCAGGCCGCAATGCCCGCACGCCCTGCGACTACTGCTCACACGCTCCCACAACTCGCGAGACTTCACAGCAACGCTAATTCCATAGCACAAGCCTTGCTGGGCTCCAAGGCCCCATGCAGCCCTGCAGCGTCCGTCCAGGGTCTCCAAAGAGACACACACACCACACACTCACGCTCTCGACCACCGATAAGTGAGGATCTAGTATTTAACTGGCGTCATCCTCCCATCTGCTCCCAGCCCGTCATGCCCATTCCGATCCAGCAACTGCTCAGACTCCCATCTGTCTATATAATACCAATCGACCTCATCTCCATCATCCCAATTTTCCACCCCATCTCTTCCCTTCAAGTCAACAACAACAACATCTAGACGAGACCCTCTTGCGACCTGGTCATCTCTTCTCTTTACAGACCATAGCACCAACAGAGACCGCCTCTTGCTTCAATTCATCGTCAACCCTCCCATCACAGCTTGGGTCGACGACGTCTATACAGCACATCAGCTCCAAACAACCGCCAAACAACCTCTCCCATCACCACAACCAGACACAATGGCCATGTACGCCATCTCACAACAGCACCCTTACGCCTACGCCGCAGTCCCGGCACCGGCCCCCCCTCCTCCCAGGCACTGCTCCAACCACGGCACCAGCAGCGCCTTCAGCAGCTCTGCCCACCCCGACGAGGACTGGACCAAGATCTCAGACCTTGCCGAGCGCAGGAGGATACAGAACCGCATTGCTCAGCGTAACTACCGTATGTCTTACACACAAGTCCTCTGCGCGAAACGAGGAGCATAGTCTTTTTTACAGGATCGCCTCTAACATTTCTCAATTCTGCAGGCAAGAAGCTTAAGCGCCGTCTGGAGGACCTTGAGCGCCGCGCTGGATCCGAGGAGGGCGACGCTGAGAAGCAGCCTTCGCCGGTGCAGAGCACCGCCAACCCCAGCAAGGTCACCAAGCGCCAGTCCATCTCCAAGGCGCACAAGGCTCACCAGCCTGCTCCCGTCCGCCTCCCGACGCCTCCCAAGGCCATCGTGTCCCAGGGCCAGTTTACTCCTCCCATGGAGTCGCACGAGGAGCTGGCCTTTGCTCCTCCCGCCTACCACCACCACGACGAGCGCGAGCGCTCCAACACGCCGCCCGTCTTCTCCTACACGACCTACCCGGCTCCCGACGAGCTGCTCATCAATCCCTACGGATCTGCCCACGCCTATCCCACCATGACCACCTCGGAGGCCTACCCCAACTACCTGACCGCCACCGCCATGCCCGCGTCGCTGCCGCCTCTGAGCCACTACAGCGAGCCCATCAAGCGCGAGCTGTATCCCGACAACGTCATCAGCCCCTACATTGGCTACGGCTTCATGCCGACTCACGACATGGGCATGCCCACTCCCTACGACCCCTCCAACCCTCTTGTGAGTTCGGTCAGACATCTCTCCTACTCTCGGGATCTGCGTTGCTGATTCTGAATGCCACAGACTCCTCCTCTGTCGCACTCATACGACCACTCGACCTCGTGCTCTGAGACGGGCTTCGAGTATCCCACCACCCCGCTGTCCATGCCTGGATCCCCTGCCCTCATCCAGCACCAGCACTGAGCAAGCAAAAGTGCATGACTGCAACCAAAAAAAAAAAAAAAGCAAAAAAAAAGGACAAAGAAGAAAAAAAAAGGCAAAACCAGAAAAATCATTTTCTCATATCCCCCGTCATCTACACTCCGACGTACATATACACGCACTTGTCACAAAACAACAAGGTCTTCACTTCTCCCCTCCGCCACTTCACCTGCCATCTTGGCGATGATGTGGATTCACGAAAAAATGATTTCTGGTTTTACGCAGGGGGGGCTTACAGCACACGACCAGTGGGCAATGGGTTTTTCATGAGGATGAATTAGCATGGCGATTGTGGGTCTCGTTCATTTCTTCTTGGGGAGCTTTTGGTTGAGCTCAAATTACCTTTGGTGTTACCACTTCTTCGATACTTTTGTGTTACCATCTTTTACATTTTTTTACTTTCACGAGAAGTGGAAATTGGGATGACCTGGGAGATGGGCTGGGTCGGTTGGCGGGCGTTCCAAGGAGCAACGGATCGATGTGATGAGCATCTCATCTGGCTTGGTCTTTTGGGTACATGTAACTCTTTATTACCTGACTGCTGATGCACAGGTCTGTTGGATATAGCTTCTTCTCTTTGTTTCATCTCTTTTTTCTTTGTGTTCTTCTTCCTCTTTGGAATGATTTACTAGATATCCTCACCGGCATTCCTTGCCGGGACTGGGCACTAGAAGCGTGCTCAAACCCATAAAAAAAAACCAATACATTGTTGTTACAATCACAAGCTTGTCCTCCTCCTCCTGATTACGTAGGTAGATACGCCTGATTACATAGGTAGGTACGCCGACTAGAGCGTGATTTCAAATACTAGTAATGTCGACAGCTCTGAGCTCTCCCACGCTTAATTACCAACCGGACGGACAAGCCGGCCATGCTTGCCGAGACGATGGCTTTTAGGCGGGAAATCCACAGCCCGACTGCCATGTGGAACGAGCAAGCCACCACCACCACATCATACCTTACCTCACATAACACACACGCACACCACCCACCAACTCTACTCTACCTAGGTACTTCTCATGCAATAGAGAGAGAGAGAGGCTTGAGAGAGAGAGAGAGAGAGAGAACGAGTGCCGCTGGGGGGGAGATGCGGCCGCAGCGGTAAAAATAGTAGCGCCACATGCGCCCGGCGCTTGGTGCGCAAGCGAAGGCCCGTAGCTTTTCGTGTGCCTTTGATTTGATTTGATCTGAATTTTATTCCATTTTACCTCAATTATTTTGTTGCCAATCTATACAGTACCTAGGTAGCTTCTTGCTCTTTTCGGAAGGTTTTCGCGGGGTGACTTTTGGTCGGGTCCGGGAGAGCGGAGCTTTCAACGCTTGTCTGTCACTGACCCCGTCTCTGCTGATATTATTGTTACTCGTCATAGCTTTGAAAGGCTATCTAACTTGCTACGTGATACGTGATACGCGATACTGTAGGCAAGTTGACTTTGGTGATGTGACAAGAGGTAGGTTCGTTCCATTCTGGCTATTTTTTTCTCTACTCTCTGGCTACAGCGCATGGGTGGCCGGTGCTAATTCCCACTGCCCTTTTTTGTTGTACATCACTCGGAAGGGCTGGAAACTTCTTCCGCCATGGCTTCTTCTTTTTTTTCTCAAGTTTGCTTCTTTCCTTGCTTCCTTTGCTTCTAAACCTGGACACCAACTTTTTGAGATAGCGGTGTTCGTGGATGGGATGGTGGCCGGCCCCCGAGCCGCCACGCTCGTCACCCATCAAGCACGTGGGAATGGAGGCGCTCGGTTGAGCTCGCGCGACTGTGATTTGGCATCCATCTGGCACTATTTCTTTCTTTATTATTTTTGCCCTCTTTATTGCTACTACTACTACTACTACTGCTGCTATTATCCTTCCCCCTTCCTGGCGTGTTCTGGCATGGCATTGTGGTTCGGTGGCTTGCTCGGACTTTACCTTACTTCCTGTTGGCGGTGTTCTGGGGCCATTCTCCGTCGCCCGTCGTCCGTCCGTCGGTCGTCCGTCCGCCCTCCGTCTCCAGCCTGGCTGCCTACCTCACAATCTACTACTGCTGTATTAGTACTTGCGAGCAAGTCTTTCGGGGCGCCAGGAATGGGTCGATGGATGAGGATGGATGGATGGATGGATGGATTAATGGATGGACTTTACACGCAACTAAAAATCCCGAGCACCACGCAATGACGAGGGCTGCCCCCGGAGTATTCTTCCTCCGTGAGCAGCGGCCGCGCCCCGATCGGAGGCTCCGTGCGACGTGCGACACATCACATGCCTAGCCTTAGCCGAGCGCCAGCAACGTAAACTCTACCTTATTAGTCAGTTTCCAGTAGGGCAGCTGTGTGCTGCAACCTTGACCCAACAAGGCTACCGCTGGCGAGGCTACCACCAGCCCTTCTTGCATGAACCCCGACAACCTTCTTGGCCTTTGGAAGCAAGACTTGTCTTCATCGCTTGGCCGTTGCGATTTTTTTTATTATCCCCGATTAATAATTCCAGAGAGGAAGCACGGCTTTTGGGGTTGTCTTTGTATCACTCTGAACCCGAAAGAACCGCCGTCGCAGCGCCCCATCTTCTGAGCCCGCGATGCACGCCATGACTGCTAGCAGCAGCTGGGAGCAGCTGCTCTATCTGTATGGTGGAGACCAGTAAGAGAAACACCTCCCCTCCCTCCTCGATGAGCGTGTTCGCTTCTATCCGCTCTTGTATCCATGTCTTACTCCCCGCGAAATGGCCCTGCGCCTGGTTTCTTGTTGTTCTCACCCCTCGCTGTCCCTCTCTGTAATCTGCACACTGTAACAGCCCTATCGGCCCCCCCCTTCCCTAGCTTGATGACATGCCTGGATCGGGTATGAGTCAACTGGTCACCGGGAATCTAGACCGAGATGGATGGCTTTTGGCTTGCTGCTTGTTTTTTTTTTTTTTTTTTTTTTTTTTTTTTTTTTTTTTTTTGCTTCGTTCTGTTGTGGAATATTCCGTGTTGCCCCTTATCGAGCGTTGCATGACTGGGGCGAGATGGAGAGAAGATGATGAGGTCATGGAGGCAACGAGCATGGCAAACAAGAGAGCAACCTGTGGCTAACTGAAATCCGCTCCTCCTTGCGGGGGGGGGGGAGCCTCAACCATCGACAAAGACCATGGGATTCGCTGCTATGGGTCACTTCAGACGATCGAGTTCGCGGAGGCGCCAGCAAGTCACACCTCTTCGTGGTGAATCCCGAGAGGGCCCGCTTCTACGGCCATCTCGACACCAAGACGCTGGGCGGTGCGGGTTTCGCATCGCAGCATAGCCTGGGCGTTCTGGACTGGGACCTGTCTGCGTACGACGGCATCGTCGTCTCCGTGGCCCAGGCCGACGAGAAGCGATATGCCCTGACGCTCAAGGACGAGATCCCGCCACGGAGGGATGACGGGCGGCAGGAGGCGGGCATCAGCTGGGAGGCGGTGTTCAAGGTGCCTCAGGAGGGATCTCAGTACGACTTGAAGAAGGTCTATCTGCCGTGGAGTGCGTTCAAGCCGACCTACCGAGGGAGGCCGAAGCCGGACGCGAAGCCGTTGGATTTGAAACATGTCAAGAGAGTTGGTCTGATGATGCGCAGGTGAGAAGACCAATGGGTTTGCGTTTCCATATTGTGTTGGCGTGTGAAGGTTCAGTCACTGACATGAGATACTCGATAGTTTCTTTGATGAGCAGGATGGTGACTTCTCCATTGACTTCCATGCCATTGCCGCGTGGAGAGAGGTTTCAGACGGCAGACCGGCAGAAGCAGCGGACCAGGGGGACGAGGAAGAAGACGATCTGAAGGCTGCTACTCAGGCTGCGGCGGGGAAGGAGTTGCAGAGTCGCCGACGTGTTTGGCTTAGACGGTTACTTTGTGGTTTGATTTGAAGGGCTTTACGACGAGAGGGTGATAATGATGGGCAGAGGAGGTGATGAAGCATGTAATTCGATCATGTTGTCGAATAATATGGCTCACGACAACTTGAACGGATGGGCAACACTCATAAAACTAATGATATCAACTGGTTTTCTCTTTTGAAGTTTAGTCCCTTGCTCTCATTGCCAAATTGATCATGTTGATGAGGATTTTCCAATGCATGGTGACTGCGAGGTGCGAATGTTTCCTTGCAGCTGCATCACAGCGCCAGAGGCATCGATGTCGTCACTGTTTTAGCACACTTGAGCTCCTTCCCAAACGAACCTCTGAAGCAATCAATATGCGTTCCTTCTGTTCTTACTGGAACCTGTACTGTAGGTAATTACTAAGGTATCCAAAGCTTGATACGTCCCACCCCCTCACGCTCTCACTCAACTCACTATCATCACGATTTTCTCTCACCTTCAATAGGCCTCGTTTGACCGTCGTCTTGAACATCCATTCTTACCACCACACAGCTTCCACCTCAACGGTTACAACTCAACTCACCACACCATACAGTCAGATTCTAATCGCCCTTGATCAGCAGCCACGACGCGTCCTTCGACCTCGACCTTCGTCACCGCTTCAAACGCACTCCCCTCCTCCTGCGGCTCATAGCCCCCTTGCATCGCCACCGCCCTCACCCTCCCAAGGCAAGCTCATCGCGATGCCCTCAAGCTCCGCCCCCCCCCGGAACGGAGCGCTACTGCTCTGACATCTCCGGCTCCGCGACCACCATCAACTCTGCTGCTGGCTGTCGGGGGAGGCGCGCTAAGCGTTTATCTCCCCGGCGCTGCGAGCTCCGACCTGCTGGTACTGGTGGGGTGCCGCTGGTGCTTATGCCACGAGCTTGGGCGGGAGGAAGCTTGCTTCCTGGGCCTGCTTTGCTTTGACGTGCTGACTTGGCGCGTGGCGGGTAGGTGGTGGTGCGGGTGCGGATGTCGCTCCGGGAATGCTGCTGGGCTGGGGGAGGGAGGAGGCAGCAAAGCTCGTGCGTGGTATGTAAGACGGGAATGACAGCTTGTGTGGGCAGTTGCGGTGTGAGCTCTCTTGAGCTCTCTCCGCAAATGCCCTTTTAATCCCGGAGGAGGGCCCTCCAAAGCCGAGGATTCGGGATGGTGACTCGGCATTTTCCGTCTTGTCAAATGTATTATAGACAAGACAGGCACGCACACTGTCTCGTTGAGATCTATCTGGACGAAGAGAGGCCGAAGCTAATTGCTCTTCCACCACCGGATACAGTTGGCTCCTGTTCCCTTGTGCCGCATCTTCCTTTGACCACTGACCAGTGGTTCCAGAGTCGATTCCATCCGCCACTGGCCTGCTTTGCTTCTTTCGAACCTGTTTCTCCTAGGCTTGCTGGGTGTCGCTCGAGCTTATGTATGCTCCCAACTTCCGTGCCGGGCCCGTGTTGGCCACTGCCCTACCCATGGTTATCGCTAATGGATGTGGTTGGTCATGACATTCTGGCTTGCCGGTTTCTGATATGGAGCTATTGCTCGATGCGCAGAAGATCAAGTGGCGATGATATAGCAACTCAAGCTACATGATGAGGATTTCATGGCCAGCGGACTCTTCTCAGGGGGGGCATAATTCTCGTCTCACTCTAATGTTATGTTCATTCTCCGATTAGTTGAACGACAACTTGGACGCCCCCTCCCTCCTTTCTCTCCCCAATGGAGAGGTTTTTGCAATAACACTCATGGAGCATACACCTGACGGTGATGATGGAAGTCAATTTTGCCACAGAAATCATCCTTTGGACCGATCCTGCACCTGTTACTGCCACTGCCGGCGTCCTCGCTTGGCTGCCATTCAACGGTTTCCCGTTCAGACAATGCTTCCCAATACCCCTCTGAGGCAAGTATGATAGCCGGGTACGCAGACTGAAAACGATTATCAAGCATGGAGAAAAAACACGCCGAAGCTGATTTCTTGAGCTTTAGAAGCTCGAAGTTAGCTTTCCCCCCATTTCCCCAGTTTACCTTGTGAGTCAGCATGAGAAGGATACTTTAGATGTCATGTACATGTATTCATTGAGTTTATGTGCTTTGAGCTTCGATCCGTACCTACTAGGGACGAAGGCTGAAGACTGATAAGAGGTCATACTTGGTACATATCAACAGGCAGGCCATGGATGCAATTCTCTCCTGCTATGCTTTCACACCAGCCATCCTTTCTTTCCATCCATCAAAACTTTTTGGCGAGGGTTATTTGTAAAAAGATTTGACCTTTTCAATCTCGTCGTAGCTACCCAAGAAGATGCCTGACCGATCGTGAATGTGCTCTGGTACCACCTCGAGCATTCTGTTCATGTTGCTATCAACGGCTTGGCCACCGGCTGTCACATGTCAAAGGTTAGCTTTTATCAGCTGAAAGAACGAAAGGGATGAGGAAAGGGACAGCCATTGGCGCGCAAAACTTACCATTCTCAAACACCAAGGCCATGGGCGCGCACTCGTAGAGGATACGAAGCTTGCCCTTGGGGCTCTTCTTGTCGGCCGGGTAGGCAAAGATGCCTCCGTAGAGCAGGGTGCGGTAGGCATCGGCGACCATGCTGCCAATGTAACGGGCGCTGTAGGGCTTGCCGTCGTCCTGGGCCTGCTTGAGGGAGTTGAAGTAGCGGATGGTGTGGTCCTCCCAGTAGAGCGAGTTGCCCTCGTTGACGGAGTAGATGTGGCGGGAGCGGGGGATGCGCATGTCGGGGTGGGTGAGGATGAACTCGCCGATGCCGTTGTCGAGGGTGAAGCCGTTGACGGTGCTGCCCTTGATGGTCATGACGAGCTGGGCGGAGGCGCCGTACATTGTGAAGCCGGCGGCGACGAGCTCGGTGCCGGCCTTGAGGATGTGCTCCTTGCGGGCGACGTCGACGCCGTCGGGGATCTTGTGGATGGCGAAGATTGTGCCGACAGAAACTCCCGCGTCGAGGTTGGACGAGCCGTCGATGGGGTCGCACGAGACAATGTAGCGCGCGCCGAGGGCCTGCGGGAAGTGAATCTCCTTCTCCTCCTCTTCGGACACGAGCATGGCGACTTTGCCGCAGGAGCGCATGGCCTCGATGAAGAGGTCGTTGGAGATGACGTCGAGCTTCTTCTGGTCGTCGCCGGTGACGTTGGCGGAGCCGGCGAGGCCCGTCAGGTTGACGAGGGTCGCGCGGCGGATGTAGTAGGCGATGGACTTGAAGGAGTATTGCAGGGCATGGCAGAGGAGTCTGGTGGCATGTTGCGTATGTGTGGTTAGTTTTTTGGGGAGGACTTTGGAATTTTGATTCCTTTTCTGAGTGGCGAGAGAAAAAGAGAGAGAGAGAATTGGAGTTTCTGAGAGAAACGTACGTAAAGTCTCCGGTGGCTTCTTTATGCTTAATCTGCTCTTCGGTGAGGAACCGGGTGAGGGTGATGATGTGCGTGTTGACTTTTTCGCCCGTGTCGGTCATGGTGGCGGGTATGATGCAATGAAGGAGAGAGGTTTGGGTGAGAGCTTCGATTTTTATGGCTGGAAGAGCTTCTTTGGTTTTGGGGGGTTAATCAACGACGGCAATTAAAGGTCGCAGGAGAAAATTGAGATCGGGGGAATTGGTATGAAGGAGAATGAGAAAACAGAATTGAGTTTGAACAAGAGTCGAGAAAGATATGGGGGGAGGCAGTTGGAGAGACAGAAAAAGGTGGTTCGCGTTCGTAATTGTGGTGTAAGTGACCTTGCTAACACTGGGCCTCTGAGCTGGGTCGGCAATATGGAGCGATGACGCGGGGTATCGTGGGGTTCTTCTGTGTGCCTTGTTGGAGAAGGTCGGTCTACGATGCACCACAGATATGTACTATATATATATAAGTGATACGACAGGGAAGAAAGAAAGAAAAAAGAAAAAAAGGAAAAAGGGGGAAAAGAAGAAAAGAGAAGTGAAGGAAGATTCCGTCTTGATATTTTAATTACGAGATAGCTGCTTGATCACACGACGCGAAATGCTGGGTGTCCTTCCGGCCGGGACTAGATTTTGATGGGCTGGTGCGCAGGGACGCTCATCTACTACAGACGGCTACTCTAGGCTCTCATGGGTGCTTTGGTCCCTCTTCATTCTGGGAGAAAAGAAAGAGGGGGGGGAATAGGGGTGGCCATTTGTTCAAAAGTCTTAGCAATCAATGCGAAGCCATACGAGTAACAGCAATGGCTATAACCGACTCTACCGAAGGGAACCCGGGACCTGGACGACTCGGGGGCTGGGCTACGGCAATCGCCGGATGAGGGGAGCTTTTCCCTCTTCCCTCCTCTCTTCCAGGGTCCCTTCTCTCTCTTCCCTGGCATATTCTTTGCTTCTTTTCTTGACTAGTAAAGCCCCCAATTCATTTATAAGGGAACAGGGTCCGGCTCAGCCCGTGCTTTTGTTACCCAAGCCCTTCCGAAGGGGGGGGGGAGCCATCGTGCGTATAAGTCGAAGAGGATTTCCCGGGAGCCATTGGAGGACGAGACGACAAGCTAAGCAGGTTGCCCGATTTGGAGGCGCCCACGTGAGCGGGTCTGCTGCAGCTCGGGAGACAAAGTCGAGAGAGTGCCGAGGGAGTTCCGGCCCTGGATGGGGTAATGGTTAGCTAAGCAACTCAGGCACCCGGATGTGGGGAGCCAAGCTGTTTTCCGGGGTATTGCCGGCTCGAGGTCGGTGATGGCATGATTATCTAAGGGGGGCGGTAGTAAGTACTGCCGTCATCTGCATGACATAAGCAAGTCTTGGGCTGCCTTCTTCACGTGCAAATTGCGTTTGATGCTTTTTGCGTTGCCGGGTCTACTCCGGCAGAACCTCACCTCTCTCTACCCCAGCGTTGCAACGCTTCAAGCACTTCTCCAGCTTTTGACGCCTTCTCGCAGGACCCAAAGGGAATTGTGGGGAGTCCAACGACGGCCAGAGTTATACCTCGGCATGTCTCCAGCGACAGACAGACAGACACCACACCACACCACTCCAACTGCCGTCGGCTGTGGTGTTGGACAGTTCAAGCCAGTCTTAGTCGAATGACCGCCCGAAGTCGCGGCTAAAGCCAATGTAAGACTTGTTCCATGCATCTCTTTTCTCTTACTTTTTACTTTCCTGTCGTCGTCGTCGTCTGTGGACACCCTTTCACCGGACTTGACGGTTCAGAAAACTGCTGGAGCATCTCTCTTGTTAACTGATTCTCTTTCTCAGGTGAAAGAGAAACAAGAAACGTCATTGAGACGAGATCGTATTCCATACCGAAACTCCAACCGACCGACGACAAACCGGACGATTTTCCCTCCGATGAGCGCGTGCCACCGCTAACCACGCCCATAAACCACACCCAAGCAAACACGTCTCCAAGCAAAAACCACTCCTCGAATACAAAACCACCATCACCACCACGCCCGCAAACAATGGTCGTCGACACCCTCGTCTACCACCCAACGGTGGCCCACTACCTGCGCTTCGTCGCCACCACCGTCGGCCGCGACAAGCTCCTCCGCACCCTGCAGTACTTTGCCCGCTTCTACGCCTGGTACCTCCTGCGCACCAACGGCTCCCCCTCGCAAATGGCCCCCTGGAACGCCATCAAGAAGCAGTTTGGCCTCGTCCGCAAGGTCATGCGCGTCGGCAAGAACGTCGAGCACCTCCGCGCCGCCGCCCAGGCCGCCGACGCAAAGGCCGTCGAGCCCTTCCTGCGCTACGCCACCGTCGGCAGGCAGCTGGGCTATGCCGGATACCTCACCTTTGACGCCCTGACCGTGGGCGACGCCGCCGGCATCCGCAAGTGGCGCCATGCCCAGACGCTGCAGCAGCATGCGTATCGCTTCTGGGCCATGGGCCTCGTCTTTAGCATCGCCGCCCAGGCCTACACGCTGTATCGCCTCAAGCAGCGCGAGGCAAAGATTGATCGCAAGGACGGCGAGGGCGTCGTCGAGAGCAAGCGCATCCTCAAGTGAGTCCCTGGAATCATAGAATTCATCGCGCCCTCGAAAATATGATTTTTTTTTTTTTTTTTTTTTTTTTTTTTTTTTTTTTGGAACTGACAACGTATCAATAAAATTTAGGGAGCGAGCCGCCAGCCATCTTCAACTCATCTCCGACGTCTGCGACTTGACCGTGCCCTCCGCCGCCCTCGGCTGGGCTGGCTTCGACGACGGCTTCGTCGGCCTGGCCGGAACCGTCAGCAGCTTGATCGGCGTCTATACCCAATGGAAAAAGACTGTCTAGGTCGAGATGGAGACCTTCGGACATGTCTGCTTTCCTGCCACCAACCTATTCAACGCCTATTCCTTGGAAAAGACTGGACTCACTCCTGATCAACGTAGACGGAGCATCCGGTGTGAGGACATGTGCGTGCGTGTGTGAGTACTACAGATCCGCGGCGCAAGTTGGGTTGGATAATACCAGTAGCGACAAACCCCCCGTTTCTGGCAATCTCGTTGATACAATTCTCCCACCACATATGCCGTGTTTTATCGCCTTCGTGCACTACAATTCTCTCTGAATCTTCGGCTTTTCTTTTCTTGTCACATGATCTTCAATGGCACGTGTATGATCCGACATACTTCTGTTGAAAATGTCAAGTAGATTGAGGATAAAGAAATCAAGCGCATCAAGTACAAAACGAACAAAGACTTGGAAAAAAAAACCGTGCGTAGACCCGTCACTTCGTACAGCCTGACTCTCTTGCCCCCCAAGTGATATCATGTGTTGTGGCATGTTGCCTTTACCGTCGGTTCTGGCAGTCCCATGGGCATGTTGCTCATCAAGAGTCTCAACCTTGGTTTTCGTCCTCCAGTATTCATTCCCATCGAGATAGCAAATAGCAAGCTGCTCGACCTCATAGATAGATTGCAAAAAGAAAAGAAAAAAGAGTCTCCCACCACCGCCCGCATAAGATACAAACCTGTAAGACCGGCGGTGCCTCCTTAGGCTACGCGGCCAGCCATGCTGGGCCGAAACATTGGCGCGAGGTAATCTATCACCTTAGGTCAAGGCCAGTTCCGCTAAAATAGCGAGCGCATGTGTGATGCAGACACGTAGGGACGGGCGGTTGGGGGGAGAGCAAGAGAGCTGTATGACGTGGGCTCAGAGAAGAAATAGAGAATCAGATTTACCAGTAGCGCCCGCCACGATCGTAGTCACGCGCGTACCCTCCCTCTCTGGGGTACGCTGGCTCTCTCGGAGGAAACTCCCTTGGAGGTCGGTCATACGCAGGCCGACCACCATTCGCATATGGGTCGGCAGGCGGCGGGTAATCGCGTCGGTAAGGCTCTTCATATCGTCCTCGAGGCGGCGGGTAGTCCTCCACCGGTCGTCGAGGGGGCGAACGGTAGCGCGGGGCCCTGTCATCGTAGTACTCGCGACGAGGGCTTCGGTCGCGATAGCTGTATGCCGGAGGTGCTTCGCGACTGTAGCCCCGGTGAGGTCCTCCTCGGCGATCGTAGTTATCGAATGCTGGAGGCGGGTACGGCCGGCGTCCTGGCGAGCGGGATCGGGCACGATCTCGGGGGGGCATGTCGGGTTGAAGCTGAAAAATCTCAAGAGTAAGCAAGCGAATCTAGCGAGGGACATTGGGTTGAAATCATCATGCTAGTAACTTACGTCGACAATGCATTGGACGCGACTTCCTTTGAACTCGCGGCCGTCCAGCTTTTCAATGGCTGTTCTCAGGTCTGCGGCAGTCTCAAACTCGACAAAACTAAAGAGTTATCTGTCAGTAATTGTAGCACATGACAAGAGCCGAAGCCAGACGTACCCTCGGCCATTAGAGTCCCGGCCAGTCTCAGAGTACACCACATCAAGGCTTGATTGACGGGCGAAATCTTTCAGATCCTATTCGCAAGTCCACGTAAGTCGGTGCCACGGAGAAAAGCCTCGAGATTAAAGTCCACGTATCGGAAAGCCAAAAAAAAAGAGTTATGTCCATCAAGTCAGGAACCAGGGATGCCAGGCCGGAGTCGCGAGTCCAGAACGAAGGGGGAGGGAAGGACGCTGCGGGGCACATGTGCCGGCCCGTTGCAAGGCATAGCAAACCAAAAAGCTCCGAGTAGATGATGGAAAAGGCACGCAAGTCCCGCGAGGTCCAGGAGCAATAAACTGGGAGAGGGAACAGACCTGCCAACTGGTATCATTCGGAAGTCCCGTAATCTGCATTCGGTGAGGAGTTCTACGCGGTCGCGGCGGAGCACGCTCGTGTCCCATGCCGCCCTCTCGGTGTCGAGTTCCACGGGCAAACTGAACAGTGAGGCGTTCTCCCATAAAATCGGATCCATCTTGATTCAGATTGTTAGCGGCGCAACGGAACGAGAACGACAAGAGGGAGGATGTTCGGCCGATGACATACGGAAAGCTATATCCTCAGTAGCGAAGCGCGAATGGTTAGCAATGGTCGACCGCGCGGCAGGCTTCTGGTAAAAAACGGGCGGGCGAACCTGGGACGACGTCACGGGCATCCATTGCATCCTTGTACTCGATGAAGCCAAAGCCATTCATCAGCTTGACTTCAGTAATCTCTCCAGTGCCGTGGGTCGCAAAGTGAGCCTCGACATCGGATTTGGTAGCTGCCGGAAACCAGTCAGTGGGAGCCACGGGGATCGGGAGAGCAATGGAGATGGACCATGTCGTGGGAGGTTTCCCAGGTACAGCCTGGTGGACGACACCTCAGTCATGGCGGCGACCTATCGAGCCCGCGTCTCGTCAGATGGGGGAGTATATTCCGGCGGAGATCCTCTGAAACTGCTTCTCTGCAGTACCGGGGGCCAAGATTGTGGTTTCCTTTCCTTCAACGGTCCGGCAGGAATCGTCCAAGTACACAACTGGGCAAAACGAACAAGCGCAGAGGCCAGGTGGATGAAGAGCGAGGAAGACGGTAGGCAACTAGCGGGAGGAGCTGAGAATCAAATGCAAAGCTGCCCGTCAAGCGAGAGCGAAGAAAGAGAGCGGGAAGAGGCTGGCGGCTGCAAGGTTGCGAGAGTTGCGAGGACGGTCAGCGGCGGCAGAATCGCCGAAAGCGGCATAGCAGGCCCCGCGTTTGGAGTCGCTAGCGGCAAAGAGGCAAAAAAAGAGGCACGAGCAATGAGGGAAAGACGCCCGCGATGCCACCTGCCGGGCCTTTTTTTCTGCCGTCCGCGTGCACTCGCAGCGCTGCAGGTGACCATGCAAGTCCAGACCCGCCTTTTGACTCTCCGCCTGCTCTGCTGGGCCTCTTGGGATGGTCTCGATTACGTAGCTTGAGGGCACGGCGCGAGATGCTGTGCATGCAGCCCTGGGGACAGTACCTGGGGGAGCGCAGGCTAAAGCGGCTCTTCAATTATACGCGCATAACGAGCTGTACGAGTACGAAGTCCCTTGCAAGCCTCAGCTCCAAGCTTGCAGTAGGCATGTAAGGTACCTTATCTCTCTGCCCCCATACCTATTAGCGTGTACCCAAGGTACCCAGGGGTTGGCGCTCAAAGCACTAACTGGCGTCGGTATTATGGCAGCCATGGCAGTACAGGAGGGGCGGAGTGGACGATCAACGGCAGTTATCATAGCAGTCACTTGTCTCTCTGCCTGGGGCTTCACTGACTTTGCTACCTATCCCTGCGGTTTCATGCATGATGCTCCAATCGGCACCTAAGCATGCAACACCTAGAGGCCTTGACGATGTTGATATCATTGTGCGTTATAGTATCCCGTAGGAAAACTGACAGGGTACCTTGATGTACCGCGCAACAACTTGCTAAAAGCGAAACACGGCAAGTGTCTCAGAGGCAAATAAACCTCGACAGCATCGTCGACAACTTCAGCTCCTCGCCGTGTTTTCCTACAAAAACATCTCCAGATACAGACGGAGTAGAGGCAGGATCAAAAATTCCCTTGTCGCGAATCATATTGCTATTTATTAGTACGTATTCTAAGCGTCGATAGGTACTGAAGTAACCAAAAGATGTACTGTGCCTCATGTGCTCCCCATTGTGTGTATTAAGCGCCACCCCAAGAAGCTCCTTTTTCTTCCCTTGGCTGCTTCCTCCGCCTGCCAGTGCAAGATTCCTCCCACTATCATAGGTAGCACCGCGAGAGTGTAAAGCAAAATAGGAGAAAGAAACGAGAAGAAAAAGCGAAAAACTCCGGCTACGTACGTGAAATGCCGCAACATGCCATATACAAACGCACCCTCTCCATCTATTTTGCAGTAATTGTCATGATTCGCCATCGTGCCGAGGACCATCTCCCTTTGCCAAAACGAAAGACTCCCTTTCCCGCCCCCTTTTCACCTTCCCTTGCCTCCATGCCCATCTCCAAGTCAACAGTGCGGCGTGCCCACCGACAGCATCAATAGCCCGCAATACGTGCCCCTCGACTCATGTTTCTTGTGTACCCAAGAGTAAACGAGACGGAGTAGAGCAAGGCAATCAGAGCCTAAGTTCCTTGAGAATCTGTTCGGCCATGTTCTTGTACTGCCACGTGTTTCCAGTCATTCTCTTGAACTGGATGCCATGCAGAGAGAGCAGAGGAACCTTGACGATGAATATCTCAAACTCCATCACCATGCTGCCCCCGAGGTCGCTCTGCACCTGCGTTGTCGTCTCCCCAGGTACGCGCCTGGATGCCCCTCCACTCCTCCGGGGGATACTATCCACCGACTCTTCGGAGTTGGAGTAGCTGTGGTCGCGGTTGCGATCCCGGTCCTGTCGTCCAGGAGTCCTTGGGGTCGCAGCAGCTCGCTCGATATCGCGAATGTCGTCGCGATCACGGTCCTCGCCTCGCATGAGGCCACCAAAGCTGAAACGGCGGCGGTGCCCAGGGTTCTGTGCAGGCGGGCTGCCCGGGGTATCATGTACCCTGTTCAGGTCAATGCTTGGCGTGTACTTGCAACTGAAGCCTCCTCGGATCTCGATATAATCGACGTTGAGCTGCTTCAAGACCCTTCGGATATCGGCGCGAATAGCCGGAACCGACTTGCCAGAAGTGGTTGAGACGCTAAATAGTCCCTTGAGGTAGACCGGCTTCGCCAGCTCGGCGCTGTCAAGGCGATCAGTAGAAACGCCGCTCTGCTCCTGCTCAATGTCCGTTTCTTCGGGCACATTGGACTCCTGGGCAGCTTCTCTACGGAGCCGGCGCTGCTGGACGCTCTCACGCCGCGCGTGCCCCAGCGACTTCGCCCTCATTGCCACAGATTGCGAATGGCTGTGACCTCTCTGTACCGTCGAGGACTGTTCGTTTGCGTCGGATTGGTCTGAGCCGCTTGTCAAGGGTGGCTCCCTGGCCGACATGCTGCCATTGTCTCGTCGGCGAAGGTCGGCGGAGTTGACGCTGGTTGATCGTCCAAGGCCAGACTTCCGCGATCCGCGAATACCACCAGCAGACATTGGGGGGCTCAGAAGCTCGCTATGTTGCGGCTGGCTGCCACCAGATGGTAGCGCCGGACGGCTTTGGTCGTCACGCTCTCGGCGTCCACGTCGGATGCTGAAACTCTTCCTGGGCGCCGTGGGGGCTGCCTCTGGGGGCGAGTGAACGTGAACCACGGGCGGGTGAGATCGGTCTCTCTCCGCCCGATCAGGGTCCCTGCGTTTCCGGGTACTGAAGCGGCGGAGCAGGCCGGCAGCTGTACCCTCCTTCTTCTGCAGCTGCTCAGCCTTTGTCTCGGGTGCTACAGGCACGTGCTGCTGCTTGACCAGGTCTGGCGCGTCGTCTTCGCCATGCGTACGGGCCCGAGGTCGTGTCCGTCCCCCTGTAGGTCTCTCGCCCGGCATTTCGTACGTGGCAGCATTAGTATGAGCTGCTTGAGGAGGTGCTATGTCGGGCACGCCCCCAGCAAGCTTTTCACGTTCACGCTCGCGCTCACGCTCTCGTTCTCTTTCCCTGTCACGCTCTTTCTCCCTTTCTTTCTCACGCTCTCGCTCGCGTTCGCGCTCTCGTTCCCTTTCACGCTCCTTCTCCTTCTCTTTCTCCTTCTCCTTGTCTCGTGACGTAGTCGGCGGTGGGTTCATCTCCGCATGCTCGCGATCTTGCTTCTCTTTGACGAGATAGTAAATGGAGACGAGAGGATTGAAAGCGTTGAGGGGATCAACGCCAATCTGCAACGCCTCGGAACTTGGGCCACTAAGGGTGTCGCGGCTGTTGGAATTTCTCCTCTTGTAGAAGTCAAAGCCGAAGCCGCGTTTCTTCTCACCGTCTTTAGTAGGCTGCGGCTGCTCCTTCTCCCGCTGATATGCCTTGACGGCCTGTTGATATTCCTCGGACTCAATGACCTTTAGAAGCTGAGCACGGATGGTGTCGGGCGAACCAAAGTTGAATCCCTGCATGGCGTGAATGACTTCGGGATCCAGGTCGCTAGTGAGCGGCTCACGAACGGGAAGGTAGTTGTCTGGAGGGCCACTGAAGCCCTTGACCATCCATGGATGGTTCATGACTTCCTGCATAGTGGCTCGTTGTTTGGGATCCGTCACCAGCATTCTGGACATGAGGTGTTTGCATTCTAAGATTCAGTAGACATTAGCAGCCTATCAGCGACAGCAGCGGGATGCTAGAAGGCGGAGGGGCACTTACCGGTTGAAAGCCAGCTCGGATAGTCGACCAGGCCCTTTTTGATTTTTGCATGGAGTGCAGGCATGCTCTGGTCATCGAAGGGAACCTTGCCACAGACAAGAACATAGAGGACGATACCGAAGCTCCACACATCAACCTCAGGCCCCGTATATGCCCTTGCCTGCAGCAGCTCAGGAGCGGCGAAGTATAGACTTCCGCAAAACGTCTTGAGATGGCCGCGGGGTGAGAACAAGTTGCTGAGGCCAAAGTCAATGATCTTGATGTCGCCGGTCTTGCTGATGAGGATGTTTTCAATCTTCAGATCGCGGTGGACGATGCTGTTCCGGTGGCAGTAGTCGAGCGCGCTGGCGATTTGACGACTGAACTTGCGGGCCTGCTTCTCCTTGAGTTTGCCATGGGAGATGATGTAGTCGAGCATCTGACCGCCGTTGACATACTCAAACAGCATGTACCAGTGGTAGTTTGTACGGACGACATCTCGCATCCCACAGATGTGAGGGTGGTGGAGAAGCGTGACAATGGCGGCTTCGCGGGCAGTTCGGATCTCCTTGGACTGGTCTGCGCGCTCCTTTTCAGCCCGGCTCTGGTGGCCATCGTCGGTAGAGCCGCGAGGGATGATTTTGCAGGCAACCTTTGGGAGGAGTGTCAGCAGACGATGTCACATATCAGATAGTATTGGCGTTTGCCACGTTAAACAGTAGCCGGGAGAACAAAGGGGAGCCGCGAACCTGTTCACTGCCGTCTTCTTTGCGAGCCAGCTTGACCTTGCCCATGCTACCAGCGCCGATAGTCTTGCCTAGAATCCACTTCCCAGACTGCGTGGGAATGGTGGTGCGCGACCTGGACTGTTTGGCGCTGGAGGAGGCGTGCGTTGCGTCGGCGGCACCATGAGAGGCGCTGTGCGACGCAGGGGCGGCGCTGCCATTGTTGGCGACGGCGGAGGGAGGCATCTCGGAATGGCCTTGACGGTTGTGTGCGGAACGGATGCTGGTGCTCCTTCGATGGGATCGAGAGGCGTCCGCGGCCCTGTTATTAGAGGAGAGCGGTGGGCGATCTCGGCTGGAGCTGCGCTTGGACTGGGATGCGGCTAGATGCGAAGTATCGTAGTCATTTTGAGCCGACGGAGGCTCCTGAGCTTGGCGGGACGAGGACGAGCTGCGGCGACGGTGGCGAGGCTGCTGCTGCTGCTGCTGGTGGTGGTGGTGCTGCTGTTGAGTCTGGTACTGCGCCGCGGCCTGGACGTGGCCCTGGTTGTAGCTCTGGCTGTAGCTCTGGCTCTGGCTCTGGCTTGTGCCTGTGCCTGGGTTCTGGCTCTGAGCTTGGCCTGGCTGGTAGTGATGATGGTGATGGTACGTGGAGCTGGCGTTGGGGTTGGCAGACGGAGCAGCCGCGCCGCCAGAAGAGGGTACAGCTGGCACGGGAGGGGGGCGGGAGCGTGTGGAATATGACCGGGATGGGGCTCGCGAGGGGGAGGTGTGGGAGAAGTCGGAGCCTTGAGACGCTGTGGTTGTCATGGCGAGTCGGTCAAAGTGGTCGACGAGCGCTGCTGGGGGATGCCAGGGCCGGCCTCGGGCTGCAAAAAGGCGCAGAGAGACGCCGTCGAAGCCGTCAAACGCTGGGCGAGGCGAGATTGGAGCAAGGCAAGGCCCGCGTGCGTCACGGAAGCATCAATGTCCCTCCTCTCTGCTGCGAGATAAAAAAGGAGAAGATCCACGCGTTGTCGGGGCGAGGGCTGGGGGTGCGAATGGATCAAATGGAGACTTGGGACAGGACAGGCACGGGCTCAGGCTGGCAAGGTCAGGTAAAGGTAGGCTGGTCGGAGGCTGGCAGGCTGGTAATAGGATGGAGGTGGTAGGATGGATGAGGTAACGCAGCGCCGGGGGTGCGGGACGCAGCCAATGTACTGATTCCACGAGCTCAGCAGCCCGTCTTGGTGGGAAGAGGCAGAGGAGTTGCGCAACGGGCAGGGTACTTGCGGGTACAGGCACGGTAATACCGTTCAGGTTATCTCGAGACTGTTCCTCGCAGCGGAAATGTACGGATCACCTGGTGATTATTCGTAGTGCCAGCCGAGGGTGTAGCTGGTAAAAGGCGGGCAAACAACTAGGTGAGGTGGGTGGATGAATGGATGGATGAATGAATGAAGCAGCAGGATTTCGGGCGCTGCATGTGTGCTATTATGGCAACTTCAGGTAGGTACAGCACCAGGAGCTGACGCTCCACAGCGCTACAGCAAGGTGCCCTCAACACTGAGTTCCAGGCAGATACCTTAGGTACCTACTACCTTATTGACGGTACCAAACCTTGGAACCCGGCGCTGCGAAACCCACCACAGCGGTACCTGCGCATGAGCGTTGGAGGTACCAGTTTCGACGCAGCATCGAGGTACCTGCTTGCCAATCTCGAGTATCCTAGGTACCACCTGTAGGTAATCTGCCTCGCCCTTTGTTGTCAGATAACGAAACACCAGCTCCATTCCACGCCCATATGCCAAAATAGCCCGCTTCCCGCCAAGCTTGTGCTTTGGACGTCCATATCTTAGGACTGTACAGCAAGTCAGTGCATGAGCCCAACTCCAGAGCTCGTGGCCGGACCTGGCTCGCTGGTCCTTTTAGCGCATCCAGGGGCTCTGAGTCGCTCAGTGGTTGGACGGGGGCTGGGGGGGGGGGACAGCTCATCTACCTACGCATCCATCTCTTCAGGCGCCATTACAGCTGCATAGCTCCACAGCAGCACATGTTCGTTGATGGAGTCAAGCTGGAATCTGAGATGGGAACGTCAGAGCTGCTGTTCGCCCTCACGGCACAGAACCGCCTGAGCCGGCGTTTGGGCATCTGTGCTCCATTTCTTTGTCCTCGACGATGCAGCTTGACGGCCACACGGACGAAACATACTTCTCCTCTCCGTTGGTTATTTGTTCGCCCTGAAGCCCCCCTTGTACGCTCCCTACTCCCCTATTTGTCTTGTTGTGTTACGGAGGACCCCGTGCTCTGTTTTCCCCTCCATCGTTGTGTTTGCGATGACTAGGGTCGAATTTCGCGTCGACGCAAACACCCCCACGACGATTAATGCATCAATTCATTTCAAGTGATTATAAAGGACAGTGAGCGTGGCCAAGGAGCGCCCCTATATTGCAGAGCTGGCTGTCATCTAATTACAGGCAGAATTGGCAGTCTGCAAAAAGAAAGAGCATCGATATCTAGGTCGGCGCCTAGGGAGATGCAGCTACTGCACCTAGTTGCAGGATGGTCTTGGAACAACGTCTCCTCCCTTGTATTTCATGGCAGCACCCAACCTGACTGGCTTACGACTGAAGCACGTCACAAGGACCGGAGCATATGCAGCGGGATTTCGCGAATCACTTCGATGACCTCGAGATTATGTTGATGATTTCCACTGAGCAAAGCCAAAGGGCAAGCCGGAAGCGGCAAGTCGCTGTCAATATGGCCCTGGCAATGACCTACCTAGGCACGCCACCGTACTGGTAGTTCCTGGTACTTGGTAAGCAGTCGCTGGAAGCTCGCAACATGGAGGACACCCTGTTCAGCCCAACCTGGAAGGTTATTGCTCCGTACAGCATGGTGCAGTACAGTACTCGTACGAGATCACAAAGAGCTGATTGCGTCAAGCTGAAGCCGGAACTTGGTTTGGGTGTTAGCAAAAGGTGGGTCAAGAACGGCAGCTGGTGGGCTAGTACATATACGGCCAAGTGGGATTGTCTCCCACTCTATCGATAGCGCATCTACAACACGCAACCTCCAAGTTGTTCCTGGACGTATTACCGACATTTCGTGATCATGTTCATCCGCCCAGCCCAACTGACGTCGCCATTCCTTCAGCTGCCTTGTCGCGGCCACTCTTATTGACGCGCCGACACCTTGCTCTGAGCTGTATTGAGCATTTTCAAAAGCCCATCTCGCTTGAACGCGACAACTACACCGAGAACGAAAGCCTATGTCCTACAAAAGATCTCGAGCAACATTCGAGGCCGACCTCCATGCGCCGTACGCCATCTTCGGCACCCCTTTGCCTGAAGAGGGCGAACGCGACGATGGTTCATACCTCCCATTGTGGAAGCAGGAGGTGAGGGATGAGAAGGGCAGGCGGAGGCTACACGGAGCATTCACTGGCGGCTGGAGCGCAGGGTGAGTCGCAGCTCTCTCGACCCCGATCTGGATCACCAACGTCTGACCGCCATCAAAGCTACTTCAACACGGTAGGCTCCAAGGAGGGATGGACACCAGCCACCTTTGTATCAAGCCGCTCAAACCGCCGCAAAGATGACGCTGGCCACTCGCAGCAGCGCGCCGAAGACTACATGGACGAAGAGGACCTTGCAGATGCCGCGGAAGCGCAGACGCTCAAGACCACCCAGGCGTTTGCCGGGCTGGGGTCATCAACCCAGGAAGAGCTGCGTGCTGGAGGGTTGATGGGCCTCCTCCGAGCGGACGGAGATACAATGGGCTTAAAGCTGTTACGAAGGATGGGCTGGAAGGATGGTCAGGGCATTGGACCCAAAGTGCGACGAAGCGCACGTCTTGACGTGGGCGCCAGTTCCAGCGCAGCAGATGGCGAGATGCATCTCTTTGCGCCAGACAATGCCGAGGTCATGCGGTTCATCCGTAAAACAGATCGAATGGGGTTGGGCCACAACGGACAAAGGAAACTTTCTGCGCTGCGCCATGACAGCAAAGATGAAAGTGACGAGGAGGATGTCCCTCGCGATGGCACATTGTCGGTTTTATCTCGGGGCAACACCAAAAAGAAGCCTCAGCGAGGCGGGATCGGGGTTGGCATCCTTAACGACAATGGTTCTGACGACGAGGACGCTTACGAAATGGGGCCCAAAATCAAATACAACCGCGTCATTGGAGGCGATAAGAAGAAAAAAGCAAAGAAGCTTTCTGCCGCGGCAAATCCGTCATTGAAGAACGCACCAATCTTCATACCAAAAACTTCTAGAGTCGGCGGCAGCTTGAGGAGATGCCAGGATGGGCGGCTTCCTCTGGATGGGTTTGTCCTCGCCAGTGCTACGCCGGATCTTACCGCTGCCTTGGCCAAATATGCACCCCCGCCAGTTCCACCAGGCTGGACGTCGTCCAAGGCAGTGAATGGTCCTGATCAGGCAGCCAAGTTTATCTCGGCTGCTGAGGCAGCAAAATCATCTACCCTCGATGCCAAGTCGCGAGCCGCCATTCTCGGGGAAGCGCCTCTCCCCGGGAAATCCGTATTTGACTACATATCCGCCGACGCTCGGCAGAAGTTGGCTGCGGCGTCTGGAAGAGCAGACTTGCCACCCGGTCGAGGCGAGGTGCCAGAGGGATATGCAATGTCAGAAGAAGAAAAGCAAGCAATGCTATGGGAGCAAGCTCCGAAGCTTGATCGTGAAACGGCAGTGGCGGCAATCGCGCGGGGGTTGCGAGGACCTTATTCAGACGACGAGGCCAAACGGGCTCGCTACAAACGCTATCTGGAACATCACACCAACCCCAAGCTGTCGCCTCCGGAGAAGCCCAGAGGAATGTCCGATGACGAGTTCCTGCGAGAATTGACAGAATTCCACAATTGCGCGAGGATTTTCAAGCCCATGACTGGCTTCATGGCATCAAGATTCACAACGGCTAAAGCGCCGCACGTCATCTCGGCCGACGCAACACAGAAGACGGAGCTGGTCTCTGTGCCTGAGCCAAAGCTCTCCGATCTAGCAGAAGAGGCTGCCAAGATGGGCATGTTTGGCCATATGACGAGGTCGGTGCAAGACTTCTACCCTACGCGATTACTTTGCAAGCGATTCAACGTGAAACCCCCTGCACACGCTCGACGAGATGACGAACCCGAAAGCGGCAAGGCAACGTCAGGCTCGAACGCAAGGCCGGCAGCTTATGGTAATCCAATGGACGATGTAGAGATGCCCGTGCTATCTGCATCTCGAACGTTGAATGAATCCCCCGTGGGCGCCGGTGCACCCGCCGCAGCGACGCCTGGGACAACGATACCACCTGTCAAGCAGAACCCGACAATAGAAGGCCAAGCAGGCCAGGTTAATCCCGACAGAAACGAAGCTGTAGAGGGGCAGACGGCCAATGTTGACGTCTTACGAGCCATTTTCGGGGACAGTGATAGCGAATAACGGGGAAAGGAGGTTAGAAGGCCGCGGTTTTACAGAGTCTCGAGTGGCATTTCCATGTCCAGCGCAGGATTCTCATGGGTTCGAACGTGCTACAAATGGAGTCGATACCTGCGCAAGCCATATGGTTCCCGTCCTACTCATCAGCCTCAATTTAGCGGATCACATGAAATGAGTACAAATTTCTGGCGTGAAATTGGCCCCTTTTGGTGCGAGCCTCGTTGTATCCGTACCTGGAGCCGTCGTGCTCGTTTTGGACGCTTCGTGCTTGTTGCTGTGATTTTCTCCCTCCCCCATCACTGTTGGCTGGCGGCTAATGTGAAGCTTGGTATGGCTGGAGCTCTGCGATTGGCTGCTGGGTGTGCCCAATTTAGCTACCCGTTCCATCGGCAGTGGGGCCCATGGCCAGCCCAGGCCGTTTCCTCAGAGGCTAGCATGACCTGAACCGCCTGTACTTCTAGCGGAGGAGCCCCTAAAGCGCTGCTGGAACCTCGCTGGCCTCGAGCATCTTGCAGCGGACCGGCCTATGGCGTCGCCTGTGGTTGATTGTGCTCCACCAAGGCCATGTTGATCTAACTCATTCCACCTCTGCTGCTAAACCAAGTGGCAATCCTATCGTCAACCTGGAACGTATCAATCAACCAGTCAAACAGGTCAATCTGCAGCCATCACACGGCAGGCGTACAGCTTTAGTTCTGCCCAGCAACAAGACGCGGATATCCAATCTCCAGCCGCTGGAACACCACTGCCGCAAAGGCCTTTGTTCGCAGCCGAGGGACTTTGTCTGCCTCCTCCTTTCTTCACGCCCTCCTGTCTGACAGCGCACTCGTACGAAGTAGCAGCAGCATCGATCTGCTTTGCTGGTGACAGAGCCAGATGCACTGACCCGCCCGAGGCAATCTCCCTTGTCAGCCCGCCCCCGTCGCCGTCGCCATCACCGCTCCCTCGCCGAAAACGAGCTCTTCTGCTGTGCAGAACAATCCGCCACATTGTCTGAGACGGACGAGCCTGGAACCGGACCGTCTGAGTCCTCGGAGCTGATCGAGGCCAAAGTGCATCGCCAGCACGAGCACGAGCACGAGCGTTCCGCAGCTACAGCCACCGCTGCCCAACAACAGCTGGATCTCGAACTAGGTCACGACGTTGCAGAGGACGAGAGCGCCGCCCACGAGGCCGAGCAGTCGCCGCCGCCGCAGTATCCCGTCTCGGAGGCTTCGTCGTCTTCCCGCCCGCCGCCGTTCTCCTCGCTCTTTTCGTCGGTCCAGGACCACTCAAGCGGCGAGCCCTTTGGGAAGTTTCCTGCCGTCGCCTCGGAAGGAAGCGCTTCTGCATCCGTTGCCGCTCCAGCATACGGCCACGACTCGGATTCCCGCGCCCCGGAGCCGTTCGATCCTAATCAGGCCGCTGCGCGCGCTTTCCAAGACCCTGTCGCCGAGACCAAGCGCGCTCTCCCCAGAGACACCAAGGGAGAGTCGAGTCGCAAGGACGACGACGCCGAACCGCCGCCCGCTTACTCGGAGGGGGATAGTCCTCTCCTAACATTTTCATACGTCATGGCGGCCGCTGGAGGAGCGTCGAGTATTATTACTCAGGTTCAGCAAGGCGGACCACCTATCAATGCCATTGGAGGTGAGTTGCCTCGTCACAAGTCTACATGTTTGGAAATTGTCGAAGAAGTGTAGAAGGGGCGGACAAACATGAAAGGAGGGGGAGGGTTGAGCCAATGGCGAGATTAAAGTTGCTAACGATATCCCAGATGTCGGTGCTGACGAGACAATCACGATGGACCTTCGGTAAGTGGCAATATCCTCTTCGAACAACAGTGGTTAGGGGGAAAACAGATGTAGATGAGAACCCGCTAACAAACAGCAACAGAGGTACCAGATTTGTTCTCTCTCGCGACGAGCTGCTCACCCTGCCCGAGTTCGTTCTGTTATCACTTTTTCCCAATGGGCTATTCCCTGAGGGCCACATGAGCGGGTTCCCCGACAGCGATGCAGTTCAAGTTGACGTTCGTAAACCACCACTCTCGAACTATTGACCAAAGCGCAACAACTTGCTGACGACCGCGCAGTATGATCCAGCATCACTACAATACATGCTGGACTTCTTCCGGAATGTGGCCCAGTCAATCCCTACCGAGTCATCGCCTGGCGCGTCTCAGGACGGGGAAATCGTCCCGCTGGATCCCATGGGCTCCCGGGAGGATACCTCGAAGAGAGCCGGCATTATCGTGCTGAGAGAGGATCTTGATTTCTATGCAATCACGCCCAACGCGACCATCACCAAGCCCGACATGATCGAAGTCAAGCGTGCGGCAGCACGTGCGTTGCTTAAGCAGGATGGCATCTTTTCTGGGCTGAAACGAAGCGATGAACCCGGAACGACTGAGGCTCACCTGATTGAGATGCTGACAGCAGGGTAAGGATCTAGCGCGTGTTCTGATATGCTCCTTGCTCCCTTCTGCCATGTTCTTCCTTCAAAGCCGTTTTGCTCAGTAGACCCGTTTGCTGATTTTATAACCCACAGAGGCTTCAACCACGATGATCGCTGGGGTCACCGAGCAGGCGAACCTAACAAGGCCGTCATTTGCAGTCTTGCACTGGCTCGGTTGCGCAGCGACATTCGCGGCAACGAAATGGGCAACAACGCTGTTGGCATGGCTCAGAAGCTGCTCCTCTTCTGGCGAAAACCGGCCAGGCGGTGCTGGTGGGAGGGCATTGAGCTGGAAAACGTCGAGGGTGTCGAGGGCAAGCTCAAGGTATGGATTCGGCGAGTGTGGACGTTGGAGATGAGTGTTATTGGACTTCGTTGATGGCGTTGTACACATGAAGCAAGAGCGCTGAAGAGAGTTTGTTGAAAGGAGCGATTCATTGGCCTTTTTTTTTCTTAATCGTTTTGCTGTTCTTTTCTTGAAGGGCGTCAGGGTATACAACAGATCCGGATTGGTGTCGATTCCAGAGCACAACGCCTGGTTAACATGTTACTTTTCCCTTTTCTTTATATAGCTATTGATAGTACCCTTTGATGTTGTGTGTTTGTAGGGAATTGTTTGAATTGCCTTGCTTCGTCTTTACTCTTTGCGACCACCACGCCTCGTATACCAGAGTTATAGATTCGAATTGCTGGAAGCTGAGTCGTCTCGCCAAGATCTCCTTGCATAGGTATAGTACCTCCTTAGGTAGAGACGAACTGCTGTGCGAATAGTAAACATCAGTCTGTGCCTGTAGCAGATAAGCACATAAACATACTAACTACATACATGCAATCTTTGCGCATTCCGCTCACCGTTACTGGATGGTTATGATAACCGACCTCAAAGGAAGCCCATAAGGACGATGCTCAATGCCTGTTTTCGGGAGCTGCCGCACTACTGATTCAGGCTCGCGGATAATGCCCAGTTGATTCCATGTAGCCCGGTTAGTAGGTAATAATATACCGTGCATTGAAACTGGAGCAGGATCCCGCCATGGCGCTAGATTGGGTACATGCGTGGAGAGCCACCCACTAATCTGGCCAGTTTGCCCCCCCTTGAACTCCATCTGAACTCCAGGGATCGACGTCGTGACTGGACCTGGATTTCAGGGTCTGGCTGACGGGGGTTTATTTGGCCGTTGCCAATTCACTGTTGCAGTTGGACTGCAGGCCCTTACTCTTTGTTGGCTGATGCCGTTTTCTTTGCAGCGTGTAAACGGCTAGCATCTTGGATATCTGGCCACATCTGATATATTGGCATTTCTCCATCTCCTCGTTTCTCTCTGGGCTCATCGGTCCATGTACTTCTGACTGCGTGCCACCACGCGGGACGAGATGAGGAGCAGTATTGACTTGCCATCATGGGGATAATCAATGGCATCAGCCTGCCGCGGAGAATCGGCCGCCTGGTGCTCTTCAGCGGCCTCGTGCTCACCGCCTTGGTCGTGTATTACCTGACCTCGGCCGGCCGAGTCCAGCCCGTCTTCGTCCCGAGCTCCTTCGACTGGTCGGCGGTGCAGCAGCATCACGGCGTCAAGGACATCAAGCCGCTGCCCACGGGCAAGCCGGCGGCGCTTCCCAGGATCCAGGCGGAAGCCGGGGCCTTTGTCCACTCTGCGGTCAATGAGAAGCGGCGCAGTGCCGTGCGGCGGGCCTTCAAGCGCAGCTTCGACGCCTACAAGAAGTTTGCGTGGATGAGGGACGAGCTGACGCCCGTGTCTGGATCGGCCAAGGATCCCTTTGGCGGCTGGGCTGCCACGCTGGTCGACTCCCTGGACACGCTCTGGATCATGGGCTTCAAGAACGAGTTCGCCGAGGCTGCGGCCGCCGTGGGCGCGCTGGACTGGTCCGTCACGGACTCGACGGCGGCCAACATGTTTGAGACGACGATCCGCCACCTCGGAGGGCTGCTGAGCGCCTATGACCTGAGCGGCGAGCGCGTGCTGCTACGCAAGGCGATTGAGCTGGGCGAGATGCTGTACCTGGGATTCGACACGCCCAACAGGCTGCCCGGCTTCTGGCTCGACTTTGCAAAGGCCAGATCGGGGAGGCTGGTGGCTGGGACCAACGACCCGTCGGCGTCGCCGTGCTCGCTGAGCATGGAGTTTACAAGGCTGTCGCAGCTAACGGGCGACAGCAAGTTCTACGATGCCACGGATCGGGTGACGCGCTTCCTGGAGAGGATCCAAAACGACACGCTACTGCCGGGCATGTGGCCGACGACGCTCAACTTCCAGTCCGAAAAGGCTGTGGACAGCAGCTTCACGCTCGGTGCGCTGGCGGACTCGCTGTACGAGTATTTGCCCAAGATGCATGCGCTACTGGGGGGTGTCGACGATGTCTACGAGAGGTTGTACCGCAAGGCCATCGATGCGGCGGCGAAGAACCTCCTGTTCAGGCCCATGCTGCCGGATGAGGACGACATCCTGTTCAGCGGCGAGTTCAGCGCTGGTAGTGGGCTCTCTGCTGACAGCCAGCACTTGACGTGCTTCGTCGGCGGCATGTTTGCGCTTGGGGGCAAGCTCTTTGACATTGACGGCCACGTCGACATTGGTGAGCGTCTCGCGCGAGGGTGCGGCTGGGCGTACAGCCGGTTTCCCACAGGCATCATGCCCGAGATCTTTGGCATGGTGGCGTGCAAATCGCTGGATACGTGCCCCTGGGACGAGGAGCGCTGGGACAAGGAGGGCGGCAAGACGCTGCCCAAGGGCTTCACGCACGCGCGGGACAAGCGGTACATTCTGCGGCCCGAGGCGATTGAGAGCCTCTTTGTGCTGTACCGCGTCACGGGCAAGGCGGATCTGCAGGACATTGCGTGGGACATGTTTGAGGCCATCATGAAGGCGACGGAGACGGAGCTGGCGAATTCTGCGATTGAGGACGTGACGGTTCTGGGGCCGACGAAGAAGCTGGATTCGATGGAGGTGAGTTTTCTTTTGACTCTGTTTTTGCTGACTGGGGGTTTGGCGGCGGGCTAATGATTCGTGTCTTCACGTCTTTTCAGAGCTTTTGGATGGCAGAGACGCTCAAGTACTTTTATCTCATCTTCTCGCCTCCAGACGTCATCAGCTTGGATGAGTACGTGCTGAATACGGAGGCACATCCCCTCAAGAGGCCGGGAGTGGAACTGAAATAGGCCGAGGGAAGATGAAGCGATTGAAGGAGGCGAACCGACGAGACGGACAGCATCATTTCCAACGCTTGAGCGAGTGTCCATATGATTCCCTACTATATTGAGATCTATACACACGATGATGGACGAATCCGTCTCCTCTCTGACACTGGAACCACAGCCCCTGGGGATGAGCCGTGAGGCGTGCGTGCATTGCGTGACACATGACCTTACTTCTAGATCCCTTACTGCTATCAGCTGACATACCCAGACTCACGATACCTCACCAACTGCCCAGCGTGTCCGAGTTCTCTTCAGCTTTCCCCATCATCTGCTTCGCGCCTGTCCTCCAAATCCAGGGGAAGAGCGCCTCCACCCGCGCAACTGCCTCAAATCCCAGGCCTCGATGCGCTTCTTACCTCGAATGTGCAACATCATGATCTCACCTTTAGTCCTTCCCAACCTGTCTACTCTTACTCGACGCTGCAACGGCAACAGCACCTGCCCGTCTCGCGTGTGTCAAGAGCAAGAGACACGATGGACGTCAATCAATGCCCTGTTTGGGGCTGCAGTTGACACTTGAGAAGCTCGCAACTTCCGTGTTCAACTGAGGGAAAGCGCCCTCACCCTCTCTTGCTTCCAGGCTGTCCACGAGTATAAAATCCCCTCAAGTTCCCAACGCGCCCCAAACTTGAATCTTTTCCCACTCACAGCCCTTATTCCCCAGTATCGTCATCCATATCTTTAGAGATGGCGGCTCCGACAATGGCTCGACTTGCTCCTCACACGTTGCTGCTGGCCCTCTTTGTCTTCCTCTTCGGCAGCTGCACAGCCCAGAACTGCACCACCAACAACCTCCAGGTCACGTACCCGGCACCCGTGGCAGCAGATGGCTGGGAGTACCGCCTCATCTCAACTGGATTGACGGCACCTCGATCGATCGTCTTTGACTCCACTGGCGGTCTCCTGGTGCTCGACGCGGGAGTTGGCGTGCGTCGCCTCACACTTCAGGACAACGGCGGGACTTGCTTGAGTGTGACGGCCAACGCGACGTTGATTGCGGACACGGCTGTGAGTGATCTGCTGAGTGACTGACTGGCATGAGTTCAACATCGGCTGACGAAGTGATACACACCAGCTCAACCATGGCCTCGCCATCTCAGCGGATGGCGGCACCATCTACGCCTCCACAGTCAACGACGTCTACGCTTACACGTACAATGAACAGACCAACACCGTCGATCCCACCACGAGACGGACTGTCGTCACCAACATGACCAATACGGACCACGTCACTCGCACCCTCCTCCTGTCATCGCGACTGCCAAACGAGCTCCTCGTTTCCAGGGGCAGTGCCGCCAACGAGGATCCCCAAGCTCGCAACGTTACCAGTGGACACTCGCAGATTCGTGCCTACGACATCTCCACGCTTGCAGCTACGGATCCGCCTTTTGACTTTGTCGCTGGCACTCTCATTGGCTGGGGTTTGAGAGATTCGGTAGGTGTCGGCGAGAACCCTACGAACGGTGGCATCTGGTCGGTTGAGAACTCTGTCGACGACCTCACGCGTGAGGGTGTCGACGTGCACCAGGACAATCCTGGCGAAGAGCTCAACTTCCACGGTATCCTGGGAAACACTGCCAATCAAGGAGGCAACTACGGTTATCCCGACTGCTACGCCCTCTGGTCGACGGCGGGCTTTCCTGATCTGGGGGCTCTCGAGGTTGGAGACCAGTTTGCCTCGGACAACGCAACGGCTGGCGTGACGGACGCGACCTGCAACACCAACTTTGTTGATCCTCGACTTGTTTTCCAGGCGCATGTCTCTCCTCTGGACATCAAGTTCAACACCAATGGCACGACAGCCTACATCACTTTCCACGGCAGTAGTGAGTTGACCTGAACTTGACCCCTTCTGATCAATGCCTCATGCTGACTCTACTTCAGCGGATCGAACCACCCCTGTTGGTTACAGCATCGTCTCTGTTGCGTTTGGTCTCAACGGCCAGCCCACTTCTCCGATGGACAGCACCACGGCTGCAAACAACATCCTCACAAGCCCAGACCTTACCCAGTGCCCCGATGACTGCTTCACACCAGTGGGCCTGACGTTTGACACGATTGGCCGCCTCTTCTTCTCGTCGGACTCCACTGGCGAAATCTTCGTCCTCCAGCAATCCGCCGACGACGGCAATGGAGATGGCGACGGCAATGGTGACGGTGACGGTGACGGCGATGGTGATGGGAATGGTGACGGTGACGGCAATGGCGACGGTGATGGCAATGGTGATGGCGATGGCAATGGCGATGGTGATGGCAACGGTGACGGTGACGGCGGTACCAATGCTGCAAGTGGACTGACGTCGGCATGGCCTGTCGCTGTAGGAGCGGCCATTGCCTCTCTGATGGCTGGGTTTATCCTTGCTTGAGCTGAGGCGGTAGTCGGTGTCGATTGTCCTCCCATGGGCTTTGAAATCTCTGTATTCTTATCCTGAGTACAGACTCGTCTTGCTCTCCTCCTCCTGAAACACACTTTGATAGCAATAAAAGTATTATTAGTCCCCAAAACAACCAGAGACAAGCTTCGTGAAGAGTTTCTTAGTGATAGAGATGGCCAACGAGATACTTGAAAGCACCGGCAAGGATCACCAGTGTCTTACTGTAAAGATAATATGTGATAACATGGGGGGCATGGAGCACCCCAGCATGTATGGGCTGAATGCATCAATGGGGAACGGCTATTCACGTGCTTAGGTCAGGCATTCGGAGTCTGAGATGCTGCCAGAGAGGCAAGACGTGAAGCATTCGGCTTACCTAGGAGGAAGAAATTCTGAAGCTCCCAGGGCCAGTGGGATGCTGAGCAAGTATTCGAATGACCATTTCGACCATGTGCGCAATATGGAGATATCCAATGCCTTTCAAAACTGAAAGAGGAAGGAAGGTGGAGATCGAAACGAGCGTGAAGAAAACCATATCAAAAGGTGGAAGAGAGACTGTCAAGGAGCTAGTGGTAAATGGCTTCCTGAACATGGCCCCCTATTTCTGCATACCTACCAGTTTTCTACACATGAATCACAGAGCGGCTACCACTTTTCTCTCTCCATTACTGCAGGCATCATCATCGTCATTCCATACAGCAATGAAGCTGACTTGTACCATGCTAGCGGCCATGTCCTACTCTCCGCGGCAGAGGCGCGCAAGTGCCGGAACACGTTTGCCAGGCCCGTATCAAAGTATACGCACGCGTGATGCACCTGGACGGGCGGCGTCTTTAGTATGGATCAGGACTTCCCTGCGGTGGTAACTGTGACGGCGGCTTGTCTGAGGTGTGTTCAATGATGAGAGGGGATAGAGGTTGGGTTGGGGCAGCATAATGGAGGAGAAGAGGAAGGTTTTTTTTTACTCTAGGGGGTTGAGAGGCAGAGTGTGCGGCTTATTGGTTGAGGACTGAATAATATCGATCTAGATGCTGGAGAGTTTGAGGGTTGTTGAGTGTGTTGCGGTGCTCAGTTGCCACCCCGCGATGTATTTTGCGGGACGGGAGATATTGAGGGATGTCAGGAAGATCGTGTGTGTTCTCCTTTACTCACCGGTTGATTGTATTCAAGGTTGCTGAAGATGATCCAATCGATGCTATGCTGTGTGACTGATGCACGTGGCGATAAGCCCATGCAGTATGCATGTGAGCTCGGTGAATCAATATCGCGGGTCGCATGGAATCGACGTCCATGGCTCCTTCCGTTGTTTATCTACCTCCTTGCATCTCCCCTCCAGGGGCCAAATCACTAAACCCTCCTCACTCTTCTTCACCTCAGCCTCTTCACCTCACTGCTTCCAGACCACAGTAACAGGTCGTTCTTACTTTCACGGACGTCGACGCCTCTACTCCCACGGAGACAGCCATGGAGAGCGCGTGTAACTCCTGCAAAAAGGGACCCCCTGAGGTCACCTTGAAGCAATGTTCAGGCTGCTCTCAGACCCAATACTGCTCCCACGAGTGCCAAAAGAAGGACTGGAAGTCTCACAAGAAGACTTGCCGCAAGACTCAATCTTCGAATGCGGCCTCTAAAGCTTCCACCTCTGGAGCTTCCACCTCTGGAGCTTCCACCTCTGGAGCTTCCACCTCGGAGAGCAAGTCTGCTTCCGCTCGGCCAACCCACGACATGCCTTTCACTCGCCTCGATCAGGGCACCTGGCTTCACGACCGCCCCGAAAGGGAGACTTATCAATTGCTCATTGACGCCTACCGCCTTCGGGTCGAGGATACCTACACTTTCCGCGGCGAGCTTATGGAGGGCAGTCTCTATGATAATGGTTCCCACGGACTTCGCGGCTTCCGCAAGTTCTTGAAGAAGGCCGCCACCGTACCGGGACTCCTTCCCCCGTGGTGGAACGATGAAAAGAAGAGAGCGTGCGAGCAGCTAGGCATGGATAAGTCGCAGTGGTCAGATCTGCATTACGCTGTCGACAAAAGCGACATCAGGGATCATTACAAGGATAGCTTGTTTCCGATGAAGCTGCGCATGTTTGGTGATGCCATTTATGGGTTCAATCCGAGCGGTACTGATGGGACTGTGATGCGGATGATCATGATGGCAAAAGAACAAGCAGGTTCGGGCTCGACTGGTGTTTCTTCTCAGATGGATGTGTCGGAGATGATGAGGAATTTGGGAATCTAGCAGCGTTCTGCTTGCTGCAAACGTCGGTTTGTTGCTGAGCGTCCTTGTGTGAATGGGCATTGGGGTTTACGTTGGGAGAGTTGGCACCAGAAACGGATCATGAGCATTTAGGGATGGATCTTGATGAGTTTCGAGACTGAGAGACCTGGTTTGGGGGGGTTGAGGTCATTTATGTCCGTAACAAGGCTATCTGTCAGCTCCTTCGGTAATGAAGGCAATAATATCAGAGAGAAAACTTGTGCACGACCATAATGTACCATATCATGTCAAGAATATCTCATCAATGCTCTATGGAGTTGAAGGTCGAACATAGGTCTCTCACAATCTTGCCATCTTACTATTGTGATGACAACCAATCAAACCCATTACCTTCTGTTCTCTCGGTAACTAGGATATTGTATGTACCTTTGGTGAAATCGGCACCACAGTCTCAGCATCGGTTATAGAAGTCTTCGTTCTGGATTATTCCAGATCCAAAGTATCCCAAGCGGCTTTTTTCCCATACAAGAGTGATTCATCTGTATTAGCCCGAGTCTTTCCGCAAGAAAAGGGGTTAAAGAGAAGAGGAGAGTTCCAAACGTTCACTCACCGACAATGGAATGGTTCTTGGCGGCATCGACAACCATGTTGCGCCTCAGGCGAGCGATTCCCTCGGCCTGGAGCAGGTCGTGGTTGATGACGCACTTTTCAATGGAGCCGTGCTTTTGGCGGAGCTTCTTCAGGAAGCAAAGCATGTTTTCCTTGCTGGGCACATTGACAAGGTCTGTGGTCAGTTGAAGGATTCCTCTCCTTTACCTCTCTAAGGTTTTCAGGTTTGCTAATGATTTTCTAGTAAATCAGGTGTGGATAGGGTTGGAAAACTCACCGAGAGAGGACCAAAGCCTCGGCATCCTCGCGCGTTCCCTTGAAAGCAGGGTTCCTCTGGACCTTGTCGGCGAGCGACTTGTGGTGGCACGCGAGCTCGACGTCGGTGAGGCTGTATTCGTGGGCGACGAGGTCGTCGCTGACGCCGCAGAGGGAGAGGACGAGGGCGCAGATGACGGCGGTGCGGTCTTGGCCTAGGTCACAGTGGATTAGTATCGGGGACGGCGGGTGGGAGGATGGAGACGGGGAGGAGAGGTGTTGGAGGATGCGGGCGAAGGGGCGTGATGCGTTCTGGGGGTGGGTTGCGGAGAGGAGGATTCGGGAGAGGGATTCGAGGGGGCCCTTTTGAGAGAGAATCGATCAGTATATGTGTGTCACGATCCATGAGGGAAGTTGTCTTCATCTCCTCGATGGAGAGAATAGGGAGGCTGTTTGGTCCCATCAAGGAGGGGAAAGAAAGGAGTGAGTGCAAGAAGAAGGAGAAAATCAAGGGGAAAGGCAATACTCACCTCAACACTCGTCCCAAACCTGTCAAACCGCCCAACCAGCCCACCACCACCATCGCCCGCGTACTCCTCCGGTCGGAACACAGGCACAGACACCCGCTCCGTGCCGGGCCAGAGCATCGTCGCCGGGTCGTAGCGCGCCGACGTGAGTTCCTGCCGCGAGCGGAGGTCGAACATGTGCGTGATGGCGAGCATCTTGAGCTTCTTGACGCCGCGGTCGAGGACGAGCGTCGGGCGGCCGGAGCGGAAGACGGTGTTGCGGCGGACTTGCTTGGTTGGCTGGGAGGAGAGCGGCTGGCCGCCTATGTCGCGGAAGTTGGGGACGCCGGGGATGCAGATGTATGGTGCAGGAGGCATTTTGGAATGTTCAGGGGGGGGAAGATTGGGAGGGAGTGATGAGCTGGGGTGTTGATATACTGGGAAGGGATCAGGACGATATCTGTAGGGTTAGCGGTAGGAAGAGGTTTGATGGAGGAAGTTGGCATTGCCGAATGGATGCTGTCGGGTCAGTCTTATATCGACTTGATGTGGAGGACTCGGGGGCGTCGACTCTCTCAATGTTCAGTCTCAAGGGCTGACACTATCTCGGCCTCTTTCATGGCTGTTCCCGAAGGCTGCGTCGTCAGACGTGATTGAACACGTTCGGCAGGGACATATCCTTGACTAGGTACTCTGTGTTGCCTTTGTTCCTGGTGTGTATGGAAGCTCAATGCTTTTTACCAGACAAAGCACATTTATGCGCGACGCACTGACTCCAGAGCCGTTAGCAATAGCAAGATCAAGATGAGAAAGACAGAAAATTAGAACGGGGATGTTCGATGGCCATCCTTTGCTCATTATATTGTGGGCTCAAGTAAAGAGCGTTTCGTGAACATCTATGTGATACTCTCCAGAGCAACATCGCATGCAGCCATCAAGACTCATTGAACGAGATCAATCCGCTATTTGATCATCGACATCTGATTTGCAGTCCTCCGCTCTTCAGAATGGACAAGGCAGACATGGTAAGTCGTCATATCCTGGCCATGGTGTCTCCACCCCCCTTCCTTTCCTCTTCTTGCCTAAACACCGAGCTTGCCAGCAAACGCCAAGTCATGATATCAAAGTTTCGCATTCTCTTTTCTCTTCGCTGCTTCTTCTTCTTCTCCTTCGTCGTCGTCTCTCTGCTTCCTTTCTTGCTCGTCTTACTCTTCAATCGACTTGACGCACTCCCACTCGCCGCGCAGATTCTCCTGCCACAGCGAGACCTTGTTGTCTGCGCAGCTGACGGCCAGAACGTTGCCGCTCAGAGACCAGCTGACGCGCCAAACAGGAGCCTCAAAGTTGAGCACCTTGCTGGCCCACTGGCCGCCGCTGGCTTGATCCGAGGTCCAGATGCGGACCGTCTTGTCCTGGGAGGCTGATGCAATGTATGACTTTTGCAGCACGGTGGGGGACCACGCCACATCGCGGACCCAGTCGCTGTGGCCCGTCAGAGCCTCGCCCTCTTGCTTGTACGACTGCGAAGCAGGGTCAAAGGCCCAGATCTTGATGAGGTTGTCAGAGCCGCCGGTGACGAACCGCCGGTTGCCCGTGGCGCCGGGGCCCGGGGCGCTGCTGACGATGCTGCCGGGCGTGGTGGCGGGCGCCCAGGAGACGGAGTTGACGCCGAGGCCGTGGGCGGGGAATGTGACGTGGTCGACGCTGTTGTCCTTGAACTCGAGGACGCTGACGTTGCCGTCGGAGGACGCGCAGGCGAGGAGGCAGCCGGCCTCGTGGGGGGACCACGAGACGATGTTGACCGAGGCCTTGTGCAGGGGGAAGTCGTAGATTCGCTGCCACTGGCTGCTGTTCTGGGTGCCCTGTTCTTTCCAGATGAAGACCTTTCCGTCGTAGCCAGCCGATGCCAGGATGTTGCCGTACTTGGGATGCGCCCAGGCGACGCACCATACAGCGCCTTCGTGACTGGTTGGGATGATGCAGATGTTAGCAGCTGTGGCGGCTGTGTTGTCCGCAAAGACTTAAGAGTCGGATGTACAAGGCAAGGTCAGGCGTCGTCTCACCCCTTCAGAGTCTCGACCAAGCGTTGTGTCTCGCCTTCAATCTCGAAGATCTTGATTGTCCGGTCGCTGGAGCATGTCGCCAGCTTTCGGCCATAGTAGTCGAGGACGGCATCGTGCTACGAGTTGGTGATTGTGTTAGCCAATGCGGCGTCTTGCTGCCCCGTTCTTTGATATGCAGTGGAAGCATTGGCGAAGGAGTTGAGGGCGTTCTAGGAGCAGTATCGAGGTCGATCGAGGCAAGCAACGGTCGAGGTGCAACGTACAATCATATCATCGTGGCCAGAGTTGGAGATGACCTGCGCCGCCTGTATCAAGATGCTCTGGTTAGCCATGACCGGAGTTGCGCCAACGAGGATAGGGAAAGCCGCAATGGGCTGCGTATCTTACCATTGTGACAGTGTGACAGCTGTGAGGCTGCAATACCTAGAGAGGGAGTATGTGAGGAGCAGAGAGAATTGCGGGAGGAGGGAAGAGGATCAAGTCGAAGCAGTGCGATGATGAATGGCGAATCTGGCCTGTGCTGCTCAAGTTCAAGATGCCAGCAAGCTTGGGTAGAGGTACGATGCCTCGAGGTACCGCGTTAGCGCCAATGCGGCTGCAGATGGACTAGTCGACAAGGTACATGCTGTACACGGACGAGCTGGAGGGAGCACGTGATTTCAAGGAACAACTGCTGCAGTACAAAGGGATCGAGGTTCTTGGAGAGCATCATGATGGAGACACACGACACGATCTTGGATGGTGTGCATGTTTCCTCAAGCTGATGTTGATCTACGTAGGATATGAATTATCGCCTTGATAGTGACTGCCTTGCAGCAGAGTCATTGATCGAGTTGGAGCAAACTACAAGGGGATTATCAAGATGATGAGAATACACTAGTACTGCTATCAGCATGAGGCGCTCATCACGACAACTGTAGATATATCAAACAAACCCAGCTACTATTCGAATTTAGTTGAGATCATCCAAAGAAGAGCCAAGTAAGTTACTATTAAGACGCATCACGGACATCTCAGTGGAAATGAGGGATCCGACGACAATTGGCCAGTACACATAATGAGCTCACATGTGACCCCTCATGCCCATCAAACTCCAACTTCACTCAAACTTGACATATCACCTAATACAAACTTAACATACCCTCAAACCACCACGCCGTCAAATCACCCCCAGCAAACAAACAAACACCTACCCACCACTCATTCAATCATCCACCAGCCATGAACCTCATCTTCGACTTTGACGGCACAATCACCGCCAAAGACACAATCTTCCAGCTCGCCCAATCCGCAATCTCCCTCCAGGCCCAGCGCTCCCCCAACGACAACAACAACAACAACAATGACAATGACAATCCTCCCCTGCAAACAAAATGGGACGACATTGTCCAAGCATACACCGACCAGCACGCCGCCTACGCAGAGTCCTTCTCCCCGCCCAAACATGAGCGGTGCACCCCCGCGCAGGAGCTCGCGTACCTGGCGTCCCTCAAGGACACGGAGAACGCGTCGCTGGACAGAGTCGACGGGTCCGGCCTGTTTGGCGGGCTGACTTCCGAAGACCTCTTTCGAATGGGCAGGGAGAGTGTTGAAAAGGGAGATGTCGTTGTCCGCGATGGCTTCGCAGAGATGGTGAAGCTGGCGAGGGATAAAGGGTGGCGGGTGGGCGTCATTTCGGTCAATTGGTCTGCGGCGTTTATCCAGGGCGTGCTGCATCCGCTGGGCGATGGCATTCCCATCATCACGAACTGCATCTCGAGCGACGGCACGATTAAGGGGCCCGAGGGCTTCAACGGGGGCGTCAGGCTGACTACCTCTCGCGACAAGGCCAATGTCCTCGGCGAGCTTCTTGCCAAGGAGGAGCAGCTGCTGCTGCTGCACTCGCCATCATCGTCGTCGGGGTCTCCGCCGACGACTGTCTACTTTGGGGATTCGACGACGGACATGGAGTGCCTGCTCAAACATCACGGCATCGTCATTGCTGCGGATGCCCAGTCGTCGAGTCTCTTGCAAACACTCGAGCGGGTGGGCGTGTCTGTGCCGCACGTCGGGAGCGTGCAGGACAACGACGACGGCGGCGGCGGAGCAAACATTGCATGGGCGCGCGACTTTCGCGAAGTTCTCGAGAGCCGGGTGCTGGAGCGAATTGAAAAGGGGACAACAAAGGAATGACGCAGCGCTTCCGATGTCAAGTATGATGAGAGCAGGGACCAAGGGCGGGGGAAGATGGTTGGAGTTGCTCGGCTTATATGAGGTTTCTACAAGTACCGGGTGTCCTCGCTCATCTTCTGGCGAGGTGATACGCATCAATTGTCGAGCCAACAGCCTTCTTCATCACTACGACTTTTCTCTGCCACCCTCAACGAGACTTTATCAGAATCATTGCCTCGCAATATCATTCTCTCAGCACTCTGGGACACAATGTGTGTCTACGCCTCCTCGCCATCCAGCCACAAAGACGAAACACAGCGTCAGAATCTCAAGCCATCCTGCACCGCGGATTATGCCGATACGATGACCTCCTACCATCAGATGAAGTTCTCGGATTTGGCCTGGGAGAGCGAGCATGGCATAACGTTGGCCCATAAAACCACATCACTCAAGGGCAACCTTCCTAGGATCGGCGAGTCCCTTTGCAGACGCTACCCAGAGACGACGGAGGACACCCACAAGTCAGTCAGGCGTGGCAAGCGTTGTCATTACAGACGACGCTTATCTTCTATCCCAGAGGAGCCGTGCACGCAAGATGAGAAGCGAAAATAAGCTCGTTTTGGATTTATGAAAGCTAGAAAACATGTTCATGTAACAGGGGACATACAGACACGTGGCATCGGCAGTAGAATCTCTTCTGGCTTGCAACAACGACTCCAATACCAAGAACAAGAAATCCATATCCTTCACAACAGCACAACTGAGGCATTTGAGGAAGCACAAGGCACATTCAGTGAGAATCTTGCCATCCTTCAAACACACGGTCAAGGTTGAAAGCCGCGCTGATCAGCGACAAGTGGCTGAATGCCTGCGGCGTGTTGCCCAGCTGCTCGCCACTTCGAGAAATCTCTTCCGAAAACATGGACAGGTGGTTTGAAAACTGGAGCATGTTCTGGAAGAGATTCAAGGCCCGAGGCAGGTACTTGGGTTCGTGGATGCTTGCGCGCGTCATGGCCTCGACCAGCCAGAACGTGCAGATGGAGAAGGCTCCGTCTCTTCCTCCCACGCCTATGGGGTGACCTGATGGTTAGCTTCGCCGCACCCTTTGGCTTCGGTGTCGAATCAGGACTTACCGTCATCTGACTGGTCGGTATCATAGCGAAACACCAGCCCGGTGCTCGTCAGTCCTCCCTCCTCTGGCGGCAGCATGATTCGGTTGAGCGTACTCGTAAAACGGGGGTCGCTAGGGGCGATGAAGAATACAAGAGGAGCCAACAAAATGGACGAGTCCAGTACGGTATTGGCTTCGAAGCTCTGAATAAATGATTTCATTTCCTTGTTGTATCCTGTAGCGTTCCGAGTGAGCCTTGAGCCTAGACTTGCGAGAGCCAGTAGTTAATGCATACCTTTTTCCATAATTTCCTCGTAAAGGCTATCGCGGGCTTCTAGCCACTTTGCCCTGTTCGGACATGGGAGGCATCTCTTGTCGGCAAGCCGAAGGCCGCGGTCAAATGCCACCCAGAGCATGATTTGCGAGATGGTGAAGCGTTGCTTATCGCCTCGCACCTCCCAGATAGACATGTCGGTTTCTACACTTGGTTAACTTGATCACCCCTGGACAAACATCAAGTAGCAAACTTACGGCCAATAATGGTCAAGACGTAGTCTACCGGGTAAGTAAAGTCAGTGAATTGTACTGAGGGTGTCGTGAGATGAACGATACGTACCAAGCATTCGCCGAACAGCGCACCAAATGTCCCAAGATACCGGCTTCCCGTACTTGTTATACAAGTAGATGGAGTCCATCAATTCGCCGTACACATCAAACTGGAGGTGAAAGGCGGCGCCGTTGCCGATACGGACAGGGGCACTGCCTCGGTAGCCCTCGAAGTGATCCAGGGTGATTTCAGGAATATCAGTCTCCCCGCGAATAGTAAACATGATGGGCAATCCACCATCTGGCCCTACCGACTGAGTAAAGCGCTCCATGATGAACTCCATGTAGGCGTCCGCCTCGGCTTTGAACCCCAGGCGGAGGAGGATGTAGATGGTGAAGCTGGAGTCTCGGACCCAAGAGTAACGGTAGTCCCAGTTTCTCACGCCTCCTATGTCTTCGGGCAGTGAGAAGGTAGGGGCGGCAATGATGGCGCCAGTGGGTTCTACTGCATGTTAGCCATGGCTCCAAAAGATGTTGAGACCTGTGCGGCGTACCGTATGTAAGTAACTTCAAGATCATGAGACTTCGAGAAACGACTTCTCTCCATCGCCCCTTGTACTTGGACTGGGAGATGAAGTTGTACCAGAACATCTGCGTATCGTGCTGCTGAATGTCCAAGACTTCGTCTGTGATGATTTCCGTGATGTGGTTGGGAATGTCATTTCGCAGGATGAAAGAAACAGATTGGCCAGCAGACAGAGTGAAGCGAGATGTGATGCCTTCGCCAAGCATGCCTTCTCTCATGACTTTCTGGAACGGAATATCCGGATAGCTTTGGCCGGCTGACGTGTCAACCGCAACGTCAAGTTGAAGCTGGACATGCTTGCTGTGGAAGGTTGCCATTTTGCTCTGGCGGCGCTCACAAGTGTGTTTGTCACACAAGAGAGTCGTTTGATGTGGCTCCAAGCCATAGCCAAAAGCAGGGAATATTTCAACATCTGTAGTAGGTGTAAGTTGGTCATCATACCGCCCCTAACGCAGCTCATGGGAGATTGTTCAGGCAAACGGGAGCAGCACAGCATACCTATGGGCAACGAGCCGCGGATACACTCCACTCGTCGTACGGTCCATTTCTTGAGCTCTTCCTGCACATTCGTGGCCTCGCGATAGGCGTTTTGCTTGTAGCCCTTGGTCATGACCTTGGCGCTCTTGGGCCGGGGAAAGAAGTCAACAACGTCCACGACGCCGTCCTCGTGAATGTACCTCGTTTGCAGAATGCACGAGGAGGGCAAGTACTGCTGCTTGGTGGTGCAGCCAATGTCTGGAGCTGGAGAGATGCCAAAGTAGCCGCCCTTGTTCTTGTCAAGCAGGCGACAGAAGACCGAGGGCGAGTCAAAGTCTGGCCTGGAGCGAGGTCAGATGGTTCTGGGAGATCGGCCGTGATCAGTAGCTATGAAGACGCACCAGCACATGAAATCGATGCTGCCGTCGAGGCCGACGAGGGCACAGGTGTGCATGTTGCCGACGATGCCATAGTCCTCGATGGGGAGGTAGCCGCCCGACTGGAGGCGGCGATGCGGCACCGAGTGAGAGGTGGCCATGGCGGCTGTACGGGTGCGAGCGAGGTGGTGTCTATGGTGATAACTGTGTGATCATGGATGAATATTCACACATCAAAGCCTCTGCTCTGTCTACTGGTATCTCACTCATGAAAAGGATGAGGCTGGACAGAGAGGGCAGAAGCACTCGGGAAACGCGGTTTCTCCAATCCAATTATATACCTACCTTAACATTACCTATATAACAACTACTTACTTACTTAGGTACCTACTAAACACCTAAACACTAGGTACATGTGTGACAAGTGCAGTTAGAGCCAGGAACCCCCATCCTCCAAAGCAGTACCAGCTTCACAAGTACGAGATACAATACGAGTGTGTGTCCACCCGCACGGGGGCCGAGCTGTGGGCATGTTAACAGCTGCCCTGAGGTCATCGTGGACTGCACTAATAGGTAGCTACCTGCTCTGCTGATGTATGGGGTACGCCGGACCCGAGTAGTGAGGGGTTGGCGACCAATGGCCCTCAAGACTTGTGACTATTAATTCTGGAACGGCAAGTGAAAGAAATGACAGGCGGAGGCAATGGAAGGTGCAGCTGAACCGATGGTCGTTGCTGTTGCGGTAATTGCGGTTTGCTGCTCACCCATGATGACGTATTGACTTGCTTCATGCAGGACTAAGGCGGCATCTTACCCGAGTGGAAACAAGACTGCACACGACTGATCGACTGTATGTTACGAGTACTTATAAACATACTTGAATGAGAATCTATGTACGTTGAGATAGATTATTCGCTTTGGATTAGTACTGTCTAACAAAAATGGACAGTTTCCACGAGTCCTCATCCATTCCATGGCATGCCGCGAGCAGTACGAACAAGGTACCAAGCTCCAACAGTCTGGGCGAAAAAGGCCGCCACTTCCGAGCCAACAAGCCGGGGTTGGCCAATCAACTGCTCAACCCCAGAGATGCGCAGTAATCGGGCGTATCAAATCCAACATCGTGAAGCACATGAACCGACCCAAATCATTTGCGGAGCAATATATCATAAACTTGAGAGAACAAACTTGATGATGAACTTGTGGTTTCTCTATGCCCTTGGTCAGAATCATTAAACATGTAGGGTATCAAATGCCCTTGGCGGCATGATCCCAGTTTCCAAACGCCCAAACGCCAGTCCACAGCCTTGACCCTTTTGACGAGAAAACCTGTGCAGCCATTTCCTTCGTGGTTGTTGAACCACCGACCTGTGTCTTGCAAACACATCGCTTCGTCGCACAAAGGCGACGCAATGATCTCGAGATCACTGCATGACCAGCACGTCTTCCATCTCCTCTCCTTCATCGTCATCCCCATCCTCATCCATGGCCTCGGCCGCCGCCTCCTTGGCGTCGTTACCGCCCTTGTCTCTATATGCCTCACTCAGACAGTAATGGTTGGCAAATGGGCCGCTCTTGTTGAGAACGGCAACTTCTTCCAGGACCTGGCGAAGGTAGGAATCCGGCTGCTGGGTCCTCTGCCGCAAGGCCTTCATAGACCAATACTGATACTGACGGAAGCAATCGAAAATGAGATCGAGAAGCTGGTTCTTCGGAATACGGGCCGCTTTGAGGACTTCGGTCTTCTTGGGTTTGAGGACGGAGGGGGCGTTTTTCTGTAAAAGTGCGTTAGCAGCATGACCGGGTCGCGATTAGCAACCAGTAGACATACGATAAAGTTGCCTCCCCAGTTGACGGAGCCCGCAGATCCAGGATTGATAATGGAGGACGCCTTGTTCCTGCTGATGATCTGAAGCTTCGACTTGGAGTTTTCCGCTTCAAAGATGCGCTTCGCCAGGAGCTCCTCTTCCTCTCGAAGGTTTCGTGGTTCGACTCGTAGATCATATCTAATCTTGCCGAAAATCTTTGTCTTCTCTGTAGCAAAAATGTTAAGCATTCTGCGATTATGCCCGCCATGCACATGAACAGGTCAAACATACTCGGGATAGCCTTGCGGTAGTAGGGCTGATATCGGCTCCTTCGATCGTATGTCGGTCTCTCCGTATTGCCATTGTTCCCTCGTTGGCGCAAGAGGGCGAGAGGGATTCCAGCACTGGCCGCCTCGGCTCGCGCCTTGTTCTTCGTCTTGAAACCCGGCAAGTCTTCCTCGCTGAAGATGAAGGCATTGTTCACATCCTGGTCGAGAATCTCCAGGTCGTACTCCTTGGGCAAGAGCTGATGCTCGGGAAGGCCCGGAGTGAGGAGCATGCGCAGCTTCGTAAGCTCGCGAGGGCTCCCGTCCGGCAGCGTGTCGCCCTGCGGCTCGTTCCACGTCCGCAGCGTGCCGATCTGGATCTCGTCGTCGTCGCCCAGCTTCTCCGTCAGCTTCATCCAAGCGTCCCACATGTACTTGGGGACGCGCGCAAGATACAGCGTCTCGAACGTGTTGCCGGGGACCGATTTGTCGTAGAAATCGAGATCGCCGGCGTCCTCGAAGAGCTCCTCCTCATCAATGGCCATGGGCGACGCCGGCTCGGGCTTGACGAACTCGGACTTGACAGCTGGGTCGGCCATGTTGATTCTTCTCTGGCGAGAGCGCAAAGATTCAGGTTCGGGTTATCGGATGCGGGAGAGAGCGAGCCAACGAAGAGCAGCAGCGGCGAGATGGCGAGCTGCTGTCTGTTGCGAATGTGAAGATGCAGAAAAAGGCCCCAAGGCGTCACCGCGGGCTGGAGCTTGGAGGTGACAAAGGTACATGGCGCAAGTACCGGCGCTAGCCTAAGGTGCCCAGCCTTGTTGGAGCGCCGTTTCAGCGCTCTGGTGCACTAACAGACCTGAGAGCTCCTCTGCTGTCTTGAGGCTCTGTACAGTCATGTGACCGCAGTCGCCCAATGGACTTGCACTGTAGTGAGTTACCTGCAAAGCGCAACGTACCGTGCCGAGCGCCGTTTTGAACGGAGACGGACAGCAAACACAAAAGAAAGGGCAGATGCACGCATCCGTTTGCCCCACTTCCAGTGACCTCAGGTACCCAGGTAGTAGTACCTCATATCGTACTGCTCAGACTTCACCTTGATAGATGTACCCTTACACTTCCTCGGGCCAAGCCAAATGCATCAGCAAGCACGTCTTGTCTCATACTTTTGAAGTCAAATTAGCTACTGCGAGTGGATTCAATGTGTGGCTTTGGCCTTATCTTGAGCTTAATCCAAAGGCTGTTTCGTCCATCAAACTTACGAGGAGAGCCGTCTTGACGGCGAAAGTCGGAATCAGGACCCTCATGTCGTTACCGAGGCAGCACAGCTTGACAACCTACAGTCACTCTTCTCAGAGGCAACCCGTATGATGGCAAGCAGTAGAGTCGTTCAGTCACATATATTTACGCTATTCTCACTTTTGTACCTTTGATCAAAATCTCATAGTGCGCCTTTTCAAGCAAACGCGTTTTCCTTCGTAACCATTACCGTGACTCATCCAATCAACCGGACCATCTGCAAAAGATTGTTTTGACTTTTGAGTCATCGGTTCTCTCATTCAAGCCTTTACTGCGCCACCACTTGCAGCAGTGCATATCAAGCCAGCCCGTGTAGCATAACCTTGCTTCATCTCGGACAGCAAGTACTTGTCCTGCGTGAACCATGTGAGCGGCGACGTTGCTGCTGCTGGTGCTGCTGCTTGTAGCCCAGGTAGCCAGAAGTTGTAAATATCCAGATACTCATAACGGGCAATCCAATCCATTTCTGAAAGAAAAAAAGCAGGCTTCGACAGAATATCGGCCTCTTGTTAACCCAAGGATTGGTAATCCGAGCATCAAATCGAGTCATCTGAAATGTGCAGCTTCAGGGCATGTCAGCATGCTTGGCTTTCCATGATAATGAAGATGGATGACAACTCACCAGGTATATAAAACAAACAAAATTGAAACAATGCGTCACCAGCATCTTAGACGGGAACATTCGTGAACAGGTAAGAAACCGATTCGCCGTTGTGGGTTCGGCGAATAGCCTGGCAAATGTCAGTATTCAACGTGAACGCATCCTTTGGCAGAGACATGCGTACCTCGGCAAGGGTGCCGGACACATCGATGACCTTGAGCTTGGGGCATCGCTCAGTCTTGTCGCCAACTGCATTTTACATGGTTAGACTACAGAAGTTTGGGGTGAATCAATCTGACATAACCTACGAGGGACGGCTATATACATGTTAGTAATCTGTTGCTCAGAACATGATACAAGCTCATCAGGGGCAGCTTACTGTTGGTGACAACAAGGCCGGATAAATGTGAGTTGTTGATGGTATCAATGGCGGTGCCGCTGAGAATACCGTGGGTTACAATCGCAAAGACTTGACGAGCGCCGTGGCTGTTGAGAGTCTCTGCCGCCTTGGCCAGCTGTTTTTGAAAAGCACCATTAGCCATGTGATCATGAGATGAAGGGCCCGGGCGTGTGCATACAGTTCCGCAGGTGTCCGCCATGTCATCCACAAGGATAGCCACCTTGTCCTGGACATCACCGACAAGAACCATGCGGCCCACGACGTTGGGTCGGGGACGCTCCTTGTGAATCAGAGCAAATCCGGTGTTGAGGCGATCGGCAAGCGAGGTGGCACGCTTGGCACCGCCCGCGTCCGGGGATACAATGACGCAGTTCTCAACGTCTAGGTTCTCGCTGATCCACCGGAGGACGGACGGTTCGGCGTACAAGTTATCTACGGGAACGTTAAAGAAGCCCTGGATCTGGGAGGCATGCAGGTCCATAGTTATGACATGGTTCTAGCGCATGTTAGGGTTCTCAGTTCAGAAGCAGAGCAAGGAGGGACGTCGGTTTCAACGCACGCAGCCGGAGACCTGCAGCATGTTGGCAATCAACCTAGCGCTGATGGGCGCGCGGGACTTGTCCTTCTTGTCCTGACGCGCATAAGGGTAGTTGGGGATGACGGCCGTGATGCGCCTGGCCGAGGCAGTTCGGCAGGCGTGGATCATGATGAGCAGCTCCATGAGGCCGTCGTTGACGTCTCCCGGAGCCGTCGACTGGAGGATGAAGACGTCTTCGTCCCGGACCGACTCGCCAATGGAAACACTGGTTTCCTGGTTGGAGTAGTTGAGGCTCATCGTGTTGGCAATGTTAATGCCGAGTCTGCGGCCAAATCAGCCCGGGTCCCGTCTAACTACCTGACCTCTCTGACTGTCTCATATCTCATTTCATAGACCATCTCGCGAGACATACCGATTAGCGACCAGAGCACTGAGCTCCGGGTGGGAGCTGCCCGAAATCAGCTTGATCTCATTCGCCATTTGGTCCAGCATTGCCAACGATGGTTGCAGAGCCCTTCTGCAGGAGGGAGAAGAGAAGAGAAAAAATGTCGAAAGAGAAAAAAAATAAGTGGGGGCGGGAAGGGAAGGATTCGATGGTGGTGTGCCGCTGTTGTTGATAAAGATGAGGCGCTTGATTTAGTATCAAAGAGACAAAAAAGGGGAAGATGAAGCTTGTCCGTTATCGATGAAAGAGTGCTCAAAGGTGATTGTTGACTTTTTTTTCCTCACTTGAGATATTGAATTCATCGATCGACGCAACGGCGTTTGAGCGAACCGAGACTGAACCTTCAAGGAATAACATTAGTCCTGGTCGGTGGCTTGGACCACCAGCCGGACGGGCCTCAGCGTGGGAACTTTACAGAGGTACTAGTCAAGCCTGTAGGCGGGCAAACAGCCACTGCCAGTTGGATGGAAGCCAAACACTGCCCGCACTGTGCACAGTGACGAGAAGCTTCTTGGCCAGCTTGCGGTACTGTGCCAGTACTTTGACCTTGTATCGGCGGCGATCCCGGCCATTCTATTCTCGGCCTAGCACAATGCACACAATGGCTCGTGCGCAAGGCTGCCGACTTGACCCTTTCCAGCAGCCGACGTCAGATAAAGACCGGAGCAGCCCCGAACCCATTCATTCATCTTGAACCCAAGCAAACCAACTCAGCCTCGCCGTCCAGCCCAGAAGCTTATATTCATTACACGATCCCCTTTTCTTCTTCGTTGCCATCGACATACTTCATATGGCGTCTCTTTGACTGCCCAGAAAAGGCTTCGTGGGCGAGATATTTGCCGCCACGGACTCGCCCAACTCACCTTGGCCATGCCCGTTTGATCTTGACGACGACAGCCTCACTTTGAACTCACTTTTTGGGCGCTGAGGCGGGCCGTTTTGGTCTGATCTTCCACACCAGCCTTTCCCTTTTCTATTGTTTACATTGTCCAAGCAAACTCTTCACCTTCGACTCAACTCACTTTTGACTTTTGGTGCGGCTGTTACGCATCTGTAGTAGACTGTTCAATACCTACCTACCTTATATAAGAGGCGGTCCCCCTTCGGGCCCAAACAGTCTGCCCATCATGCCCGTCAAATCACTCAAAGAGCTCGCCATAATGGTCATCTTCAAGAACATTCGCGAGGTCGACAATGTCGGCTACCTCAACTATGAAAACGTCCGCCACATCCTCCTGAGAGTTGAGAGCGGCGCCCAGCTCCGCCAGATTGAGCTCAACTCACCACACCTTCAGGGCCAAACAGCCGAAGCATGGATCAGGCTCATTGAGCGCGACTTCCCAATTGAGGCCCGGAACAAGCCCATTCGGCCCAAGGATCCCAAGAAGTGGTACAAGGTCTGGGAGAAGTACAAGGCCGACCAAGACAAGTTCCTGCGGGACAGCGAAGACACGCTCAAAGCCCAAATTTCCGACTGGAAGAAGGTGAAGGAGACGAACACAAGCAAGATTATCGAACTCGGCGCCATTCCCAGCTCGAAAAAGGGCGCCATCAGGCGTCCCCGCGCAAGAAACGCCAGCTCCCTCCCTTCCACTGGTGGCAGTCGCACCAAGGCTGTCAACGGCACCAGCGTCATGCGCAAGGTCCGCCGCGAAGCCAAGGAGATTACCCAGATCCACGGCAGCCTTTCCCAGCCCGTCAAGGCGCCGACTGCACCCTCCACCATCACCAAGGCCCCAGAGGCCATGGTCAACGACCACAAGAGAGCCGCCCTGCCGCCATACCGCCCCGCCCTCCTCACGGAGGCAAAGGAATTGGAGAGGGATCTGCAGCTCAAATACAACGGCAAGCCAGAAGCCTTGAGGAATTGGCAAGCAGAGACTGCCTCCAAGGACTATCACAGCCGATCCTTGGTTCTCTCAGACTCCGAGCTGAGCAGCGACAGCGCCGACGGCCAACCGGAACAGTCAGCTCCTGCTGCACACAAGCCCACTGCTGCACCCAAGTCCACTGCTGCCAGACCCGCTGCACCCAAGGTGCCGACAACCTCCCTCAAGCGCAAGTTTGGAAGTTCAAAGTCCGCCTTCATGGCGCCCGCCGCCCCCTCCGCGCCCGTCATCAAGGCACGCGAGCCGATGGCAAAGCCAAAGCCGGAGCAGCAGAAGCCGGAGCACAAGTCAGAGCAGCCGGACCCCAAGCGGCCTCGCCTTCGCGCCTTTCCCGCCCCAGATCTGCCCACCACTCAGACCACTCCGTGCTGGGAAAAAGGCGACGAGCCTGAAAATGCCTGGCACGTCTTGTTTCACGCTGACGACGAGGCTGAGAGGAAGCTGCAAGAGAAAGCACCGGCCACAGCCGCAAGGATGGCCCAGATCTACCGCAAGCGCAAGACTGTCGACATCTTTGCCCACCCCAAGAAGAGGGTCCATTGAGCTGGGAAGGGCGACACTCGATAATTCGGTTTCCTCCCTTGTTCGGTTTTCGGCTGGGAATGTTTGGGGCTTGTTGCCCATTGCCTTGTCGTTGTTTTTTTTTTCTTTGTTTCCCCCTTTTATTTCCTTTCTCTTGATACCTCAGGCGGGATATACCCACGTCGATTGTTTATTGGAGGCGTTTCGGTACAGCCCTCGAGGCTTTGGAATTCGGTACGGCCCTTGAGGCTTTGGAATTTGTTTTTCGAAGGTGAAAGGGGGGGCGAAATCTTGTTGTCTTTTCTCGGTTTCGGTTCAGGCTAGATGGACGGCTACTTGCGTATGACACAGGACTGCAGCGATGCTAGGTAGTAGAGATGGTTATAGGCCGTTTAAATAGAGAAAAGGTTTTCGGACCACACTTACAGTTGTGCCTTTATCAAGTGAAAGTCCCTCTTTTGCCTGTATCATAATGTTCCATTGTCTCCCATCCGCCATCGTGTATCCATAGCATGTGTATATTAGCCCAACTACTCCGTTTGGCCGATATATCATCATGGTGACAACATCCGCTTCTCATCTTCACGAAACAGAGGACAGCCTCATAGAGAGCTTCAAATGTATTTCCATAGCTCCATCTATCAAAATGGCCCAAATGTACGCAACAAAACCGGCAGAAACAACCTCCCCCCTCCCCGCGTTACATCCCAACCCAACCGCCTTCCAGTCTACCGCTCTCTCTCTCTCTCTCTCTCTCTCTCTCTCTCTTCTTCTCTCCTCTCGGTTCCTCTTTCAAGAAGGACATGGTTCGACATCATAATCGGCTTTTATCTTTCGCTTCTTCCGTCGCTACATTCTTTCATCCAAAGTACCGTCCCCCCCTAAGGGCGAGGACGAGATGCAGAGTGTCGCCTGCGACGAGGTTGTACTCGGCCGCGGTCTTGTCGTCGGTCCTGCACGAGGAAAACATGTTGAATTAGTAAGCTGCGATGTCTTTGCTTTCCGAAGAGGGAGGGGGGAAAAGAATGGACTGGGCTTGATGATGAAAAGAAAAGAAAAGAAAAAAAGGTTGGGGAGATTGGGACGGGTTTATTGCGTACATTTGCTTGCCGCCGTGGATGAGGCGCTGTTGCACGGGCGGGATGCCCTCCTTCTCCTCGACCTTTTCCTTGATCTGGGACACCTGCAACGCCGGGGAGCGCTATTCAGTCACCCGTCTTCGTCTTTTTGTTTCGTTCGGTAGGGGGTGGTGGATTTTCGACGGCATGTGACGAGGGAAGCTATCTATACCTTGTAGTCCAGCTCAATGTCGAGCTCAATCTCCTTGCCGGTCAACGTTCGCACCCTGTCACATTGCACGCTGTGTCAGCCTCATGTATTCAGTTTCGTTTCGGAGGGGCGGCATCATCAAAAGGAAAGTAACGGGCGAGCTCTCTCTTACTTGATCAACATGGTCGCGGTGGGAGGTTCGAGGTATCGATGGGTGTATTAATGGCAGAGCTGGCTTGTGGAAAGACTCTGTTGCAGGTGTGTGCTGCTGGTGCCGACAAAGGGTCCTGTCGTGACAAATACCTAGGTGGTGGAAGTTGACAAGTTCTGGATCAACAAGGCTGACTGGCAGTGACGGCACGGAAGCTGGAGGTGGGATGTTGGAGCTGGTCTGGTGGGGTTGCAGGTACCCGTTGTAAGTACCGTCGTAGGTCCCGTTGTACTACTAAGGTACTAGTACTCGCACCAAGTCAGAAGGTGCGATTGGGCATGCCCAAGAAACTGAAAAGCAAGAGCGCTATTGCGCTGATAATGATGACACTCGATGAACGGGATACGACGTTTCTACTCAGACATCACAAGCAGTATCTTTGCAGCGAGAGCAACAGCTCTCATACAATATGAGGGAGGAGTCGTAATTGTATATTCCGGCGACCGGTGCACCAAGTGCCGGGCCCCATTACAGCCTCCCTAGAGTTCCTATAATACAAGTTTTCTTTTTCTTCATTACACAGACAAGCATGCAAGCGGAGAGTTCATCATCTCATCCCCCAGTTCACACCAAGGTCCCCTGCCTGATCACCTCATTTCTTATCCGAATCCTCAAACACGTTCAAGCCCAGGCCCTCGGCATCCAGCATCAGCCTGTTCTTGGCTCCAGACTCCTGCAGCTGCTGGGCAATGAGCCTGGCGTTCTCAATCTTCTTCAGCTCCACGTAGGCCTTGCTCTTCTTGATGGCGTCGCCAATCAGCTCGGCGGATCGGGCCTCACCCTGCGCCTTGACGACCATGGCCTGCTTCTCCTGGCGGGCCTTGTCGACGATGAAAGCCGCTCGCTGAGCCTCTTGTTGGGCGACCTGCTTGGCTTCGACAGCAGCTGTGAACTCTGGCGAAAAGGCGAGGTGCTGTATCACGAACAGAAGCGTTAGAACAGAGCTATAGGAAGAATGCAAGGAAAAATTCAGAGTGGCCTACCGTCAGAGATACATCGTCAAGAAGAATGTTGAACCGCGCTGCTCTGCGGGACAGGTTCTCTCGTACTAGCCGAGCCACCATCTCTCGCTGTGTGATGAGCTGACTGGCGTTGAACTGGGCAACGACGCTCTTCAGGACCTCGTTCACAATCGACGGCAGCACTCGCTCGTCATAGTCGGTTCCGAGCGTCCGGTAGATCTGGGGCAGGGCCTCGATGTTTGGTCTTGAGAGCACACGGCAGGTGATGTTGACCATCTGCAGGTCCTTGGTGCCCGTCAGCGAAGCGACGTTGCGCGGCTTCGCTCGGACGTCGTAGATGACGGGCGTCTCGAACCAGGGAATGTTGATGTGTGTTCCTGGAAGAAGAGAAACCTCATCGTTAGCCTCCTTCCGCACATATCCGAGAACATTGAGCCAGCTCTATCCCCATCTCCATCTCTCGCTCGCCCGCCCTCAACTCACCTTCGCTGTAAATCTCCTTGCTCACGCCCCTCAGCCGCTGGTACTTGATCGCGCGGTGACCTCCGTCCACGTTGAACAGCGAGTTGGACAGCAGCCAGGCGCCGCCCGCCAGCAGAATGCCTCCCACCACGGCGCCGTTGGCTCCCCGGGGCATCTGCGGCCCTCCTCGTCCTCCGGGATACCCGCCCCGCGTCTGCATCTGGCGCAGGCGCCGCATCGCCTCCTCCTGCCAATTGTTCGGGTTCGACATCTGTCCTCTTGCTGTGCCTTGCTTTGCGCTCGAGTTGGGGTTTCGTGGCTGTCGGTTGCGGGCGCTGTCGCGAGGCATCAACTTGCCGGTGCTGGTGCTGGTGCGGATGCGAGTGCTTGGGATGATGTTTGCGACTTGGACCAGCTGCCTGCCTCTGCCTGCCTTTGCCGCTCAATCTTTCTTGCATGAGCTAAGCTTGGGTGGCTCGAGGCCCAGTGTTTTGAGCCAATGGGATGCGCCAGCTCTTTCCCCGCGCTGGCCTTGACAATCTACCCTGGAAAGTCGGACTGAGAGAGGAAGGCGATCACCGCAAAGTATAGTAGTAGTGTCTTCAGAATATTGGGCAGGACATGGCAATCCCAGTCGGTTGATGGTTTATTCATATGATATTTAAGTCTTCGGTCATAGACCTTGATAGTAAACGACGATTCTCATGATATATCGTATTCCATTCGTTTTCGTATTGTAGCTAGTAAGTGATATAATCTGGGTATATGCCATGGTATGAATTCTGTGCCACCATCGTCATCATTCGCTCCTCAATCCAAACCCCCAAAGTGACAACTCCAACCTCAGTCTCTGCCCTGTCCTAGCAGGACGTCAAGACACCTCTGCCATTTCACGGCTCACAATGTCCATCCAGGGACCAAAACCGTCTGCATTAAATCATAACCCCCCCAGAACAAAGGACAACCGTGGCTAAGCCGACAAAAGAAACAAACGAATAACGACCGTCCTGGCTCTTCGAATCTTCACACCAAAAGCTTCACAGCGCCGCGGCCGTTATGCCGCAGCCATCAGCGGCTTCCTGGCATACCCGTTGAGCATCCGGAAGCCCGCTCTGCAGTTGCGTCCCTCCTCCATCACAGCGTGGACACCCTCCAGACACTTGCCCGCCTCCTTGATGGCAGGGCTAGCAGTCACGGTGTCTGCGAGTCTCAGCTCACCCGCCACCTTCTCCATCTCGCACCGGAGAAGCCACCTCTCCCAGCTCCAGCCGCCAGCGATGCTGCAGACGCTGGCGATGTCGTCGGTGCTCCCCATGACCATGGCGTCCATCTGGCAGACCTTGACATCTGCTCCGGATGGGCCGTCCTTGGGAGGAGTCGGAGGCTTGACCGCCGGCTTGGCTCCCACGGGGAGACATAGCCAGCCGCGACGAACATTGCAGAAACCAGCACGAGCAAGCCGGCTCAGCCACAGCTTAGTAGGGCTGGGATCATAGCCGAGAGTCTTGAGGGTGAACCCAAACTCCACGCTCTTAGCGAGGCCCAAAGGCCCGGCGTTCATGATGTCCGAGTCCAGCAGGGAGAATTCAAGATAGCCGCCAGGCTTCAAGACTCGCATGCACTCCTTGAGGCAGCTCTCCCACTCGTCCTCGCCGTTCTCTCCGATGAACTTGAGTAAACCGTGGAGCTCGCGGGCGGAAATCAGGTCGAACTGGTTGTCTGCAAAGGGAAGCTTCGTGAGCCTGTCAACAGCGACTTGACGGTGGTTGGGCGGGCCTCGGATGTTGGAGTTGGAGAGCTGGCGGACCGCCTTGGTGGTGACCGTGTAGACCTTGGTGTTGGGATAAAGGAGGGCGCAGTGCCACGCCCAATCGCAGCTCGACTGGCCACCAAGATCCAAGATCCGGGCCCTGTCACGGCCAACTCCATCTTTTCCGGAGCCCATTCGGGAGAGTCGAGCCAAGCGCTTGGTCACGGGTGCAGAAATGAGCTTTCCACCGTTGAGAAACTTGACTGCCGCCACATGCCAGGCAGCCATGGTCATTTGCTTCATTGCCTCGGCCTCCTTCTCCTTTCGCAGGGTTTCGGGGTCGTCAACCAGGATGTCGTCGCCGCGGACGACATTGGCGCTGAGGCGCTTCTTTGCAGACTGAGGGACGACGCTGAGCTGGTATTTTCCCAGCAGTTGGCTGTGATGAGAGGTGCGAAGCGCGACCCTCTGCGCTTGAAGGGCCTCGAAGCGAGCGAGCTGGAAAATAAACACATCGCTGAGCTGAGTGCGGACAATGTAATCCTGGAAGGCCCTGTAGTACGCCGACTCCTTGCGGAGGAGCTTCGACGGGAGGCTCTTGGCTATCACAGTGGTGGTGATGATGTTGGAAAACCGGACTGTTTTCTTTGCCGTAACATCCTTCTGGCCTTGTTTTTGTCCAGATGCGAACTCGACCTGGGCCACAGACTTGGCCTGGTCTTCCTCTTCCTCATCCAAGTCTTCCTCAATTGTCTCCAAAGCGCCAGTAGCCTCAACGTCGTCAACGCCCTTGAGGTATGCTCGCTGTGCAACAAGCCACAGCTCAGTGCGATCCAGGTTTGACAGCGCCTCTAGCTGTTGCTTCCGAGCATAGCTGGGATCGTAATCTTCGACAATCTCTGTTGGAATGACCTCGGCCTCCGGCGAAGAAGGAGACTTGACAGCCTCGCTTCCGTGGCCACTGGTCTGAACATGGACGATAGGCCTCGCAGTGGGCAAATCATCTTCGTCAACCACATCGACTGGAACCTCTACGATGTGCTCAACAGGCGCGGACGACGTCAATCCCACGCTTCGGTAAAAGTCCTCTGCCTCGTCACGCTGAGGGACAGGAGGGATGGAGGCATTGGAGCTGGCATTGGCATTCCAGGGGCAGCGATAGAATTGCTCTGCTGTAGTAGAAGTTGGCGGAACTACATCGATTGGCGAAAGGGTTCGAGGATGCCATGTGTTCCTGCTTCGGGGTGACAGCCCAGAGAAGAAGCCACCTGGAGACGGGATGCTGAGCCTAGTAAGGCCGGCCAAGGACTGGCGGGCAACGCTCGACGGGAGACTGTTTCCCCGAGTTGTCTGAGACATAAAGTTGGTGACAAGTCGGAGTGAGCTCTGTTGCATTTCCGGTTGCTGGGCGGGTTGCGACTGGTTGAGCTCAACAGCCTGGTCATCTTGCTCCTCAAAGTCCTCATCTTCATCCCCACCGGACAAGGCATGTAAAGTTGCTAAAGCTCCTGGCTGCAAATGCACACCTGTCCAGGGGGCCTCCGCGGAGGACTCATCGTTGCCAATCACGGGAGTCGGAGGAGAACTCATGGTCGCGAGTTGCTCCGATGAAAGGCTCCCGTCAAGAGACGGAGGAGCAGAGACGGTCGGGAGAGCCAAAGCTTGCTGCTTGCCGAAGAAATCCATCTGCGCCGGCGACATGGGAAGGTTTGCAGATGGGGTCAGCGGAAGCGGCGAGGTGATTTTCTTGAGCTCATCGACGGCCGTCCAGCCTTCGTCGCCCTCGTCTCGTGTAGGCGGGATGACCAGAGGCGTGGGCTCTCGAATGACCGGTTCGAAGACCATGGACGTCGTGCGAGATCTCCGGATGGACGATGAACGGCGCAGTCCTCGCTGAGCTTCGTCGTCAGACACATCGTAGAGATCGTACAGCTCATCGAACTCGGTACCATCCGTGAGTGAGCTGGTGCGGTTCCATGAGTTGGAGTTGGAGAAGGACGTCAGGGAGCTGTCATCGCCGGAAATCGACGACGGCGAGGACGGCAGGATCGGGGCAGCCAGATAGTGCACTCCCCTTGGCGTGGGAAAATGGTCGCTCATCGGTGAAAGCCATGCCGTGATGTTGAGATGCGACGTATCGACCCGCTTCCCCTTTGCACTAACTTGACCATAGCCATCCTCGGTTTCCTCCTCTATTATGGGATTAAGGCACCGCCTTGAGCTTCGATCCAGCGAAGGCTCTTGGGGCTGACGGTTGTTGGGGGTATATGTCGTTGGCTCAGCCATTTCGAAAACGCAGGGCACTATTCCAGATAGTGGCCACAATATGTCCAGCAAAAGGTCAAAAGAAATCAAAGACAATCAAAGAAGAACAATAGAAACCAAATTAGTCGATACCGAAGCTCGGGCAAAGAAAAAAAAATTAATAAGATAATAGAGAGACTCAAAGACAGTCGGCGGCCGGCGACGATATGCAAGATGCTCAACGATGGGCTGCTTCGATCAACAAAGCGTCTATTAGTGCATATACAGACAACGCCGCAAAGAAGAGAATAGAGAGAAGCAAAGGCAAAGAGCGAGAGTTGCCGGCGCTGTTGGTTCGGGATGGCTGCGGCTTATTAGAGATGGAAGACGGCGCTCGATTGGGCGGCTAGATGCCTCTCGGCGCGTAACGTATACGAAGCCCTGGCTCGTATGACGCCGCGGTGCATCTTGGACACAGCGTGATGTGGCGCATGGCGAAGCGACACTGCAACAGTGTCCAATATCGATGTGCCGTGCCAGCGCACCGGATCCTGGCACGGCCTCGGTCACCTTCATCCATTCGTCTATCGGCAGCTTGATGGGCATCACGACCCCAGACGGACGGGACTTGCTTGGGACGAGGTTCCATCAGAGGCGAGATCGAGGTCCAGCCGCTATTGACAGAAACATCCAATCAGCAGGCCAATATTGCTTCTATATTTGGAAAACTGTCTGGGTCGCAACCTGGACGATGCGATGACTGGCTGGCGGCTGCACACACACGAGAGCCGTCGTGGGGAGTCGAGCTGGAGGCGCGGCCAATGGCGATGGCTCTCGTCTGAGCTGGGCGGCTAACATGCTTGTCGTCACCAAGGATGGCATCTGCAGCTGAGAGGCCGCTATCATGGCGCGAAATGCCAGTATTCCTAGACGAGACAGCTCGTTGTTGACGCGTAGAAACCTGGTTTGCAATGAAATGGCAACGGCTGTTGATGCAGATGGAATGATGAAGCTGTCAGGTGCATTGCTTGAGGTGGAGGAGTCAGCTAATCCAGGTACTACTATGTATTGAAGCGCTGTAAAATCAGCGGCAGATGCTCACCAGCTTCAGTGCATGTGTGCTGACCGTCAACTGTCCAGCGCTACCGGCGCGGGTATGCAGCAAGAAATTGCCATCACCAGATTGTTGGCAGAACAGAAGAATAATGTCTTATAAGAGCATGGCGGTTATCAAACTGCGACTCGGCTTATGTGACGAGAATCACACGAAGCATGGCTGCATGCATCAGTGATGCTGGGCGTTTGGCCTCAGGCGTCGAGCTGCCTCACTTGCTCACCCATCCATCGATGGTGGATTCAGAGGACAGCCACAGGAGAGCCACAGGGGAACCCGCCCGCTGAAGGCGCCGTGGGTTGATACTAGGTACCTGCTAGTAGTACTACAGTACTTTGGTACATCCATGCACTCCCCCCCCAATTGACGTCGCCAGCGAAAACGAGCCCCGCCATGAAATGCTGAATTTACCCCGCCATGGCACTTTGGTCGTGACTTGACTGGAAAAGACGGACGACTCAAAGACGGAGACGCACAGCAACGCGTCTTTGCTCCTGTAGCTCCTTCAACAGCACCGGCGTCTGCGATCCAAAACCGAAAATGGCAGATTCAGAACAGCCCGAGGCGCCCGTGGAGCCCCAGGGCAGACATGTGGTTTACTGTGGAGGTACGATGGGCTTCCTCTTCCTTTTTCTTTGGCCCCCCCCCCCCCCCCCCCTTTGGAAGCATTGTTTCCATCACTGCAGCATCATTGCAGGGAAGCTTTCTCGATACCTTTCTTACTGACTTGTGCTTGGAATTACAGTGTGTACTCTGCCGCCAGAGGTATGAGTTGACCGAAAACCCTTTGAACGATGCCCTCATACACCTCCCCCCTTCCTTCCCTCGCTGTATCCATTTCGATGACCACGAGCTCAAACGACAAACCAAGTAGTACTGCGAGTATGGAGGCACCGTCAAAAAGTGCCAGGAGTGGCTAGAAAAGAACCAGCCGGCTATGTACGAGCGGATATGGTCCGCCGAGGCCCTCGAGGCGGCGGCCTCGTCCCTCTCCCTCGACGCCCAGAAGCGGGCGGCCAAGGACGCGCAGAAGAAGGCCGCCAAGGCCGAGGCCGCGGAGCAGAAGCAGGCTACCAAGCTCGCCACGAGCGTCGTCACCATCAAGCGCATCGAGCGGAACAAGAAAAAGTTTGTCACGGCCGTCATTGGCCTGGAGGCGTTTGGTCTGGACCTGAAAAAGGTGAGTCCCTGGCTCCAGCTCTGTTTCCCTTGACAGTTGAATGGCTCCCAGCTCATGATGTTTGTTTCGTGACAGGTTGCCAAGGACTTTGGCAAAAAGTTCGCTACGGGATCATCCGTGACGAAGCTTCCGAGCGGTGGTGAGGAAATCGTGGTGCAGGGAGACGTGAGCGACGAACTGGAAGAATTCATTCTGGAAAAGTACAAGGATGTACCAGAAGACAATATCGAGCTAGTTGACGACAAGAAGAAGAAATGATATTCTTATAAGCAATCATAATAAACGCCCGATTCCCGTTGGTCTCTGTCCAACAATGCCCTGGTATTGTTACAATCCGAAACGCCGTTTGCCTGCCAAATGCCAACAAGAAGAACCAAAACCACAATCTGAACAATTTCCCCAAAAAACAAGCTCTGCCTGTTGCCGAGGCTTCTTCCACGAGGATTGCGATGAAGTAAACACTCTCAAAACGTTCTGATCCGGACCCGAATGTCCATCGTTCCATCGTTTCATCCCCTCTTTCTCAAGGTCCTCCGGGTAGTAGTGGTCGACACGGCGGATGCTGCCTTTGTCGTCGACTTCACTACCCCCGCCGCAACAGGCTTTCTCGGACTGCTCATCACGGGCTTTCTGGTGATGGCGCCGCTACCCTTGCCCGCAGCCTTCCGGGGCATCGCATTTGCGCTTCCGTCGCTCGACTCGGCAGTTTCACTAGTTCTGCGCGTTGTTCGAGCTGCAGCAGTTTTTCCGCGAGGCCCCTTGGGCGCAACTGTTGTAGTGCGCTTTGTTCGCGCTGCCGCTGCCACCGTCGCTCCGCCAGAGCTGGAGCTTGAGTTTGATGTTGTCGTGACTTTTCTGACTCCTCTAGTCCGCGCCTCTGCCGCCTTATCCGAAAGGCTTGAGGCCGTTGCGGGTCGAGGGATTGTAGTCTTCAGAGGAGAGCTGGACTTGTACAGGTAGGACTTGGTGGGGGATGTTGCGCGGTTGAAGTTCGTCAAACGAGAGTTGGACGAGGTCGGCGACAGAACCAGCGCCGGGCGAACTAGCCCGGCATCCGCGCCACCACGAGCTCTCTTGCTAGGACGCTCGCCCTTTTGAAGCTCATTCTCCTTGTCCACATTGATCTCATTGCTAGCATTGCGGTTAGTCCAGAAAGAAGAGGAAGAGAAACACAAAAGTACGGCGTATGTAGACGCAATTCACCTCAACCGCTTCTGGGCGCGTCCAACCTGCGGCGCGCGAGTGGTTTGGTGGATAGGCTTCTGAGGACTGGGGAGCAACGGCAGATCCTTGACGGGAAGCGGCAGCGGGCGACTGGGCGCCCGCTGCGCCTGCGCCTGTTCTGCGTATTTGAGCAGTAAATCGCCCATGGTGGCCTTCCTGAGAGCGGTTGGTATCCGGTTGAGACGGATCTCGATGCGCGACCTGAGGCCCTGCGCCTGGAGATGGTACTGGGCGCGTAATCTGCGAGCTCGCTCGGTGACTAGGGGTGCAGAAGAAGATGAACAGATTAGTGTAAGTTCGAGCCTTGTCGAGGGCCAAGATCGCGTACTCTCTAGCCGCAGATTCTCGATCAACGCCTGCTTCTGCTGCAGCGTGATTCCCGTCGGCTTCTTCTGAATCGGGCTTCGCTTGGGGGTGGAAGGGGCGTCGCTGCCGCTGGACGTCGCGCGCTTCTCGAGCGACGAGCCCGACTCTGCCGAGGCCTGCTTTCGCGGGCGTGTAGGGGCCATGGTTTGTGGTCGTCTGTGGTTTGCACTTTGGTAGTGCTCGTGGCTGAGGAGAGGAGAAGAGAGACAGGAAATCGCAGTGTGAGTGAGCGACTGCGCGAGTGCGTGCCTCGGGTTGCGCCAGAGTGAGACAATGACTTGGAAGTAAACAAACCAAGGCGACGAGCGACATGCCGGTTACATAAGCAGCTCAATCTGGTCCACGAATCATGCGAGCTTGGAAGCCTGTACTAGTACCGCAGATTCATCGATTTCCACACTACAGCTGCCCACCACCAAAGTACAGCTACTAGGTACCTAGAGCCCCTAGCGCTTGTGTATGTACCGATCTTGCACTTACCAGGCTGAACCGCCTTACGACACTCGGAGCTCCAACAACCTAACCGTCAGACAACTTCCAGGACCTCGAAGCTACCACCAACACATCTCAGTCTCTTCTTGGGCTTCCGCCTTGCAGTACCATCGCCGACACAGCAGTCAAAGTCTCTTCATACTGTTCATATACAAAGTTTCGCCCGAATTCACGAATCAGTGGCCCGGTGCCCTCACTAGCAGCTACAATGGTTCTCGAGGCTGTCATGATCGTTGTGGACAACAGCGAAAGCAGCCGGAATGGAGACTATCAGCCGACGCGATTCGACTCACAAGTTGACGCCGTCAACGTGCTCTTCCAGACCATCACCTCGGGCAACCCGGAGTCATCCGTCGGCCTCATGAGCATGGGCGGAAAGGGCCCGGAAGTGCTCGTCACCCTCACCACAGAGCAGGGCAAGATCCTGGAAGGCCTGCACCGGACGAAGAAGAAGATTGGTGGATCATCCCACCTGAAGACTGGTATCCAGATCGCAGCGGTAAGGCACCATCCTTTGTGGGCTTGCTACGATGATCTCTGAGAGCTAACCTTTTCTTGCGTTCCCAGCTCGCCCTCAAGCACCGACAGAACCGATCGCAGCGCCAACGAATAATAGCATTTGTCTGCTCTCCCGTCGAGGAGTCAGAGAAGGAGCTGGTGCAGCTGGCCAAGAAGATGAAGAAGGGCAACATCTCCATCGACTTTGTCCTGTTCGGCGAGCTCGACGACGACACCACGCAGAAGAAGCTGCAGGCATTCAACGACGCCGTCAAGGGCAACGAGGGCTCACACCTGGTCGTCATCCCACCTAGCAGCAAGCTGTTGAGTGACCAGCTCATCTCGACACCCATCATGCTTGGCGAAGGGGCTGGAGCGGGCGGCGGCGGCTCCGGCGCCAACGACGAGTTTGAGTTTGGCTTCGATCCGGCGATTGAGCCCGAGCTGGCCCTTGCTCTGCGCATGAGCATGGAAGAGGAGAAGGCTAGACAAGAGCGGGTAGCAAAGGAACAGGAGGAGGAGGCGAAGAAGGCGTCCTTGGAGAGCGTCAAGGAGGAGAATGAGGCTAGTGGGAGCGGGAGCGGCAGCGGAGGTAGCGCGGACAAGGACAAGGACAAGGACAGCGGCGACAAGATGGATACCTCGTGAGCAGCATGATGAATCTGGTCACTTTGACGGAAAGTGTATACACTCAATAAGCCGATCCAGTGGAGACTCTTAGAGGAGAATGCTAGACATGATAATTCACGATTTAATTGAGGGCTTGATATTTAATGAGTCTAAGTTTGGTTTCCGGTACCCTTCCTTCCCCAGCCGCTTCCTCCTCACCGGTTGTTGATCTCTCTGATGTAGGACAATAACTTGCGGTCAAAGATGTCGCATCGGATGGGCATTTCCAATGAGTAAAAGGGGTTCTTCATCACGTAGTCGGCGTACAAGTCGTATATCCTCTTGATGGTGACGTCCACGTTGGTCTGCGTGGTCTCGGTGAAGAGGAGGAACTTGGTGCCGGTCAGAGTGTTGAAGCACTGCATGCGAAAGTTCTCCGTCTCGAGGACTTCGAGCCCGGACGAAGGCTCCGGGCGGTTGGGCGGCTCATTCGTGCCGGGAGTAGGGGGCGGTGCCACTGGCTTGACGGGGTTCAACCGCGCGGTGATGGCATGAACTCTAGTAGGGGGGTGATATGATGAATTAGTATGTGGTTTGGCGGTTGTTGGTGGACGAGCGTGGCATTCTTACCCGTGAAAGGTTCCGGCTAGTACGAGGTAGTCGTTTGTGCTGATTTTGTTGAGGCCGCCTTCGTGGAAAGTCTTGTTGTATATCAGACCGCCGGCCTTGTTGATGATGATGAGAGAGAAGACGGTCCTTGAGTCGGGGGAGACGAGAGTCAGGTTAAGAGTGCCCGGCCTGTGGAAAGGAGGAATTGGATGCATACATGTTGTAAGGAGAGATTGAATGCGAGCCGGATGCGGGATGCTGTCGTCGTCTATAAGGCCCTTGCAGGCTCATGAACCCATGAAGGCGAGACCATGAATCTAGTCATGAGTGAGTTTGGCGTCTTATGTCTGAACAGGCAGGGGGGATATTTCACCCCCCTTGTCCGGGTACGCAGCCATCACATACCGTGTCTCCGCCCTTGAGTTCGTCTTGAGGATATCAGTCTTGTCTTGGCTATTTGAGAACCAGATCCTGCGAGTGCTGTTGATTCTGAAGAGCAAATGTCCCTTTGAAGCCACCTTCATGAGATGGCGGTGCTTGGTTGGAGGATGGCGGCACAGGCAACTGAACGGAACCGTCGCTGCTTTTAGCTCGGAGCCGGCCCGTGTTTCTCTCGTCTGCTGCTGAACCGTCCAAAGGCAAACGGAGAAACAACAGTCGGGTAGGAACTAGGTATCCAGAGTCTTCGAAATCTATCACTAGTGTCTCCGAGTTTCAGATCGATTTTATTCCATCTTTTGTAGCAAAATCGCAGCTTGCGTCGTCTGCTTGCACTGCAACCATGACAACCTTGCTCAGGTGTAGTGCGCGAAGGGAGTTGTGAGAGATATAGCGGCGACAGGGCTAGTCCCGTTACGGCACTCTCAGGACGCGCCTTGGAGCGGCGCCACTAAAACCGTATCTGCCGCCTTAGCAGCTGGGCCGAGCAGCTTAGAAAGCCGCCAGAACTTTGCGAGAGCCTCACTCCGTCCTGCTGAACCTTGATTCGCCATTCTCCGAAGCGACCTTTTGCCCTTTCTTTTTCCCCTCTCTCTTTTTATTCCGGGCATTGCCCAACCTTTTCGACTTTGCATCCATCAATCCGACTTACGCCTTTCCTTTTACCGCCCCGTCGCTTTCTAGGAGTCAGAGCGACACGTCTTGGAAGAGAAGAGAGAGGCGGAGAAAGAAAAAAGTCGAAAAAAAGAACAATGTCTCATCGCACGTCACGCCCGAAGCCTCCTCCGCCAGGCAACGAAGAAGCCGGCGCGGTCCTCAACCTGGGCGAGTTCCAGGACGTCGACACCCTCACCCTCTCCGAAGCCGCGCTCGTGCTCAATGCGCTGGTCGCCAAGCGTCGAAACGACCGCAAGAACGTCAACGAGACGGAGTACGTCGTGCCTTTCTTCTTTGCGAATTCCTGGCGGGGGGCATTGAGGAGAGAGGAAAGCTGAGAGATGGGCGGAGGAGAAGAAGAAGGACAAGCAGAAGAAAATGCGCTCTTGGGCTCTTGACGGATGGCTGGCTAACTGGGGACCTGTGTGCCTCTGTTCTAGAATGCTGAACCAGACGCTCAACTACCTGGATCACTTTGCGCGCTTCACGCAGAAGGAGAATGTCGAGGCTGTCGAGCGCTTGCTGAGCGCGCACAAGAATCTGGCAAAGTTTGAGAGGGCGCAGCTTGGTAATTCTCGCCTCCCCTTACAGAAGAAAGAGGGAGATGGGATGGCACGGAACAGCGATACAAGGAGAGGGAGAGAGATGGCAGAATTGCTAACAGCCTGGTTTCTATTCTTCAGGGTCGCTCTGCTGCGAAAACGCCGACGAGGCCAAGACGCTGATTCCGTCCTTGGCGGACAAGATTTCGGACGAGGATCTGCAAGACCTGCTGGATGAGATTTCGAAGCTCCAGAACCGATGATGCTTGACAACGACAATGAGAACGACGATGACGAACGAGGGTGCAAGGGTCCTTTTTTTTTTTTTTTTTTTTTTTTTTTTTTTCACGGTTGGTTTGTCTTTCGAGATATATGGCCCGTCACGAACTGTTGATAATGTTACTGCGCGAGGAAAACCATTAGACTGCTGCTGATACAGGGGATACGCGAGAACGGATGGGATACAGGCTGCATCAGGGCTGCAAGGTGTTTGCATCTCCTTTCCATCCCCTATCATGTCTTTTCCCCCGTTAAGACCGTCCAAACCCTTGTTAAAACCTTTACACTCTTCCTACCTTTTTGATTTTGGGGCGCTTGGGAAAAGGGACAAATAATGTTTTTTTTGCTTCTGTCTGCGTTTCTTTTCTTCCGTTTTTTTGCGTGCGGACATTGTAAAAGCACGGGTAGGGCAGCCTAAATACCCCTTGATAAACTGAAAACCAGAAAAACGAAGACTTGATTACTATATTGTGGTGGCGACCGCATCCCCGTGCACCCACAACCTGAAGTGTTGGGTTTTAGAAACGAGAGAGTCACTACCTACTATTATTTGAACATTCATCTATATCATTGATCCCCTTTTCCTTTTCGTTTCGTTGCTCCCTTGTTTATCGGGAGAGCAGCAGTACCAAGGCTGAAAGCAAACGTTTGAGATTTGCAGTACAAAGCCTCGACTCCTGATTGAAGAGCAGCGCACATTACGCGGCCCATCCCCCCCCCCTTTCTTCTTTCTTCTATCTCGCCGCCTCTCTTCCCTTTTCTCCCTTTTTATTTTCTCTGTTCTTTCCTGTATCTTCCTTCCGGTGAACTTGTCTGTATTTTCTCTCCGGTGAAGTCGCCGCTTTAGTGAAGGGGGTCTTTTTTTTCTGCTACACTCCTCTCATTCCAAATCCATCCTCGTCCATGCCTCATCCCAAGTTCTTGTACTGGTTCCAGTGGTTGACATACACCGGCTTGCCATCGTCTGCCGGCCCTGGCGTGAGGTTAGCACGCGGATCCGCAGCGGTGACCTCCTGGACGGGCTCAAGGCGAGTTCCCTTGTTGTGAGTGCTCGGGCCCGGGCTCGAGGCGCTCACAGCAGGTAACTCGACTGGAGCGGCGCTGGTTCCATCCATTTCAAAGGTGCCGCTGGGTGGTCGATAGGGGTCGTCTGGTTGATCAGCTCGACCTATGTAAGGGAGTCCTTTGTTAGCGAGGGGGGAAAACATCGCAAGATACGCAAGTCAAAGAGAGGAGAGGAGGAGAGGGGGGAGAGACTTGCCTCCAAACGGGGCAAAGGGATCGCTGCTTGCTTGGGTGCCGGTGGTGTGAGCTGATACGGTATGAGGGAAGTGCTTGTCCTCGACGACTTCGTCTCGACCAGTGTCTTGCTGGACGACGGAGGCGGTCTCGGATCCGGACTGCTGCTTCTTGCGGCGGCGCAGGAGAGCGAATCCCAGGACGACGAGGATGGCGATGACGACGGCGCCGCCGATAGCGATGCCGACGATGACTCCTGTCGACAGGGGGCTTGCTGCTGCTGCTGAAGAAGAAGAAGAAGAAGAAGACGCGGAGGGACTTGCTGTGGTCTCAGCATCGGTGGACGAGGGCGCTGGGGTGATGTCGGACGTTGCTGGGATTGTTCCCGTGAGCGGCACGTCTGTTGTCGATGGAGAGATCAAGTCAGACGTGTCCGAGGGGGTCGTTGTTGGCCTGCCGGTGGTGATGGTCGTGTGCCTTGTGATTGTGACGATGGAGTTGTTGGGGATGGTGTGGGTGATGCCCGAGTCCGTCATGGTTGCCGACTTCTTGGACGTCGGCGTTGGCCGTGACGAGGTCGACTCCTCGTCCCTCTGCCGGCCCTGGGCATCATCGTCAGTCGGCGTCGGCTTCGCCCTGTCCGGCTCTGGTTGCGTCTTCGAGGGCATGGGACCGCCGTTGAGGTCGGACGAGGCCTTGAAGAGCACCCCGTCTGGGCATGAGCGCAGGGCACACGGATCCGTGGAGCAACATCCTCTAAATCGGTTGGCAACACAGGAGTAGAACGTGGTGCCTGGCAAGCAGTCGGTCTCGCCACGAGCGAGCAGCGGGTTGGGAGACATGGTGAGGGCGTTTGAGAGAGGCGGCGGGCGAAAGGCGGTAGGTATGCCCTGTTTTCCTTTTACTCCTGTTTCCCCCCCTCTTCCTCTATTCAGAGAAAGAGAACAAAGAAGAATCTCGGTGAAACTCGTTCTCCTCTTTTTTTTTTTTTTCCAAGTCTTATTCTTTCTTGGCTCTGGACGGTTCAGGTTCGTTTAACCAGCCCCGTGACTTGGGGCAGGTCGTAGGCGAATCAAGTCGGCCTGCAGGCCAGCTGGTGGCAGCTGGTCGAGGCTGATGGGGGGGGCTGCTGTTGTCAGTCCCGGAGAGTCTCTGGCAAACGAGGCCTGGAGTCTGTCTGTCTGTCTGACGCCCAAAAGGCTGAGAGTAGAGCTTGCCGCCCCGTTTGGGCCGTGTGAAACAGCGAGCAAACGATGCTGAGTGGAATTAAGAGTAGAATATAAGGGAAGAGGAATTTCTAGAGAACCGAAGAGAGATACAAAAGGATGCGGTGATGCAGTGATGCAGAGACGGGCGAGGTGCAGAGGGAACAGCAGCGGTTGGGTGCTGGAATGCCCGTCCGGCTTGCATGTGGTCAATGCAGCTGTGCAGAGGCGTTGGATGGTTTCTGAGCGCGGGATTGTGTGATGGTGGCCAAAGTGCGAGAGAAGGAAGAGAATAAGAGGAATAAGAAGAAGCGGAATCGCAGCTTGGGCTCGGATTATGGGGTTTGGTGTGGTGCTCGAGGCGTGGAGACGAGGTACAAACACGAGACAGAGAGAGAGAGCAAACGAAGCAAGGCATGAAGAAGGGGAAATGGCAGTACCGATACCAAGACGTACGTAAATCAAGACTCAACGCCCTCTTTTCTCTTTGCTGCTGCCATCTAATCAGATCTCAATGCTGAGACGGATCACTGGCTGAGCTGATATCATTCTTTGTTGCTGAATCCGGGGCTGGGGAATGGAGTGCATCTAACAAATTTGGCCAAGGCATCCTCTATCTACTAAGGTAGGTATCTCAGGGGTGGGCTGAACGTTGAGCTGCCTCGTCTTGTAATGTCCCTTGCCCTCTCCTGTGCCACAGAGAAATGCCAGCAAGGCCATATAGACACGATCTACAAGACAGCTAGCTGTCCATGTCCGATATCTCGTCAATTGCTGCCTACCTACCTACTCAATGTGCCTACTACTGCTTCACAACGCCCGACTCCTCCCGCATCAGCCATTGCAACCAAGGCCAGCAAACGGCCAGATGCATGTCTGGGAACTTCCCCCCTTGAAAAAAAAAGAACAGCAAACTCAGCAAACTCGGGCCACGCCGCGATCCATTCTCGAGCCTCGCTCTCTTGCTGGCTTCAAACACTGACCAACAATGCAGCCCCCGTCATACTTCCACCTTGCGTAACCTTGGCCCCTTTGACACACCCAACCTCAAACTCGTCAGGGGGGGCGACGCCGGAGGACTCTTCGTCACGACACAAACATCTCGGCTCCTCGCATGTTGTTTTGGGTGATGGGCAGGCAAACCGGCCGAAGCATCTCCAGCACCCCGTCCGCCCTGCTTTTTGTTCTGTGCGACCACGCGGTGTCTTCTTTGTCGACAGCCGTTACGTCCCCACTCGCTTGCCTTTTCATCATCATCGTCATCGTTGCTTGGGGGGTTTCAAGGTTCGCTTCAGGACAGTTTTGGAAAATCGTTATAGTATTAGGCTGCTGCAATGGAAAGAGAAAAAAAAAAAGAGTCAACAGAGCTGGAAAGGGAGGTGTATCTCTCACTACATGCTCCGCTGGAGGGATATGGGGGAAAGAGCATGACCCATCCTATGCAAACATACAGAATCCACCGTGCCCGCCGCTTCATAGCTTTTCAAGCAGCAGCTTGCTGCCCTTGTTGCCCACAGGCGCCTCCGTCTTCTTGCCCTTCTTCCCACTCTCTTCACCCTCGCCAGCTTCCTTGGCAGCCTTCTGCTCGGCCGTGGGCTCGGTGGCCGCCTTTTCCAGCTGCTTCTTGTTCTTCTTCAGAGTCTTCTTCAGCTCTTCCGCACTCGTAAATTCCTCGCTCTCAAGAAGAGCTACGACAACAAAGGAGCTCGGTCCAGTAGCCCAGTCCATAATATTCTTCTTGATGACAGGATACAGGATATCGGGAAAGCCCAACGGCGGGTCAACCAGCTTCACTTTGCCCAGGGCTCTGTCGAAACGGCCGCCCTGAATGAGAGACTTGAGCATGCGGCCGCCAAACGGCGTGTTGGCAATGTGTGGCCTGGACGCAATCTCGTCTTCTGCCGGCTCCTGCTTCGGGTCGCCGCTGACGGACTGGGCGAGGGCCTCGAGCGCCTTCTGCTTGTCTCCGATGCCAGAAAGGAGGACTTCGGCAACGAATTGGCAACCGAAAGGCGTGGCTGTGAAATCAGAAGGCGACGTCGCAATCGCTGCGATCAATGAGGGAGACAGCGCTGCCGCAAGCTCCTTGCGTCGAACGTCGGTTTCCTTCTTGCTTGTCGTTTTGCGAATCTCGTGGACCTCCTTCAGCACCTCCAAGTCGTAAGCGTGGCTCGCCGGGAACAGCGACTTGGCCAGTCCTTCAAAGAGGTAGAGGAGAGTGATTCGGGCGTTGGCGTTGTTGGCGGCCGCGACGACGTTCTGTGCAATCTCCTCCTCCTTCTCTCCCACCAGTTCGGGGAAGATGGCTTTTGAGGTGAGCTTCGTGTCATCGATGACATCGTAGGCTGTCAAGAGCACCAGGTGGCCGTACTGGTCTCCAGACATGAGCGTAAAGGTGTCCTTGTACGCTTTCAGCAGCACCTTTCGGTCCTTGGCCGTACCGTACGCCAGGAGCAGGCAGACGAGCTTTGCGCCCGACCGCGTGAATGCCAGGTTCTTGAGCAAATCGCCAGTCTCGTCGCCCTTGATCAACTCCATAAACTCGGTGAATTCCTCGGATCCGGGCTGCGTATTTGTGTAGTACTGGAGCATTGCGTCGTGCAGCATGGTGAAGCCAGTCATTCGTTTCTGCACGAGCGAGTTGATGAGGTCCAGCAGACTCTTCATGATCGGTCCTCTCTTGTTCGGTTCAGCCTCGAGGATCTGCTTCAAGTCGGCCGTCGCCTTGACGTCCTTGGTCATCTCCTTGATGGTAAACTCGGGGCCGTACCATTCTCGCAGCAGGAGGGCCTTTTGCTCCTTCGTCGCGACCGTCCGGTAAATGTCATCCAGGATCCACGAGGCCTCGGAGTGGTTGATGAGCTTTCGAACTTTGCCGTAGAAGTTAGGTATAATGATGTCGCGGATCTCGTCGTCATTGTTGACGAGGAGTTTTCCGATGAGGAACTTGGCGTAGCGCCCCTCTGCAAGCTGAGCGTAGGTTCCCTGAAGCTCTGTGGCAATCTGTTTTCGCTGCTCCGGAGTGGAGTATTTGATAGCGGTCTGGACGGCGCGGACGGCGTCGTGCTTGAGGACAAAGTCGCGGATGCGGCCTGTAATAATGCTGTAGAGTTCCGCCACCAGCTGCTGTCGCTCCTCCTTGGGGACGTGAGACTTGAGACGCAGGCGTTCCCAGATCTTCTTTGTCCGCTGGACTTCGTCGGCTAACGGCTTGGCGGCCTTTCGCTCCAGCGCGAGTTGCTTCTGCTTCGCATGCGATTCTCGAGAGGTTTGCTCTATCCATGAGTGAGCATTCAGCCCAGTCAGAGAGACGGGCACAAGGGGGAGACGAAGAATTCCATACCTGATCCTGATGGCTTTCCATTTGCGTTCCCCTCCAACCGAGGCTTCTTGTTCTTGAAGTCGCCCTTTTCCTTGCCATCGGAAGAGACTTTTCTCTTGCTGTTGAAAGTAGAGTCTTTGGTAGCCATATTGACTGAATGGATTGCCGCTTCAAAGCAAGGCAATTCGAGATCCGTTCTTTGGAGACAACCAGGTAGACTCAAAATCTGGATATCAGATAATACCTAGACTATCAATCCGTCGTCGAGTAATTTTTTTTTTAGGAATACTGCCGGGCGGTGACAATCAAGCGCACCGAAATTCTCTTTTATCTCTTATCACCCGTCCCAATTGGGAAATGGCAGGGGTCCACTGCGCCATCACTTTGCTAGTACACGATACTATAAGGTACCTGCCTGATATCACGATGCTGCCTACAATACCTAAGGTACGGTTCCGATGGAAACACTTGGACGTTTGTATTTAGTAGGCATGTCATGTCAGTGCAAACGAGAAACCTGGCCTCGCCTAGAAGGGTATCATTCAGCCCTTTTATGGTGCAGAATCATCCCTTCACCCATATACGTGACAGAAAGAAGGCGACTAGGTAGGTAGGTACCTTGCTTAGGTTGATGCATTTGATACCAGTGGATCAATTGACCACCGCTTCCAATATACATGGGTGGGTAATGAAGCACTTCTTCAAGCCCTTGAAATATAGTATATGCATACAGTAAATAGAGAAGATACAAGAAAATGAGACAACAGATACAGACAGGAGAACTTGGACCCGCTCATCCCGTCGATATCGTTTAAAAAGTTGGCCCTTCCGTCTTGAACAGCCAGTCGCTATTCGCATCAATCATGAAATTGGTAATGTTAAACTCATTTGGCTGGTATTGAGGATGGTCGATATTCGCATTTGCCGCGGTAATGTCAGGGTTGGACATGAGCCCCTCGGTGGCTCCAGAGAGGTTCTCCCCGCCAAAGGGCAATCGCGGGACGTTGAAAAAGTTGAAGACATCCAGGTACTCCAACTCGTTGGGAGCCGGTGTCCTCGCAGGCGTCACGCCTCCCAGTTGGCCGTGGCTCTGGGGGCCATTGCGTGGCTGTCGCGAGATCAAAAAGTCTAGGTCAAACGCTGTTCGGCGCATGTCGGCCAGGATCTTGACCGAGCTGGGCGTGACTCCGCTGCCTTGCCGCTCGCTGTCCCGGTGCTCGTCCAATACCCGCTGCAGCAGCCTCGAGTACCCAGCGGCCACAGGCCAATATCGCCCCATCTCGCGCAATATGTCTACGAAGAAGGAAATCTGAGGCGAGAGCTTGTGCTCGACGGTCGAGCCATGGACCAGAAGCACTCGCGCCGCAACCCAGATAGTAAAGGCGAACGGCGGCCCTAGCTTTGGCAAAAAGCCATTGTTCACAACAAAGTCTCCCAGGGCAGAGATGTTTTCGACGGCGCTGTGACATCTCTGGGCCGCACTGAACGACGGCGTAAAGATGGCTGATCGAGTCGTTGGGTAGGCGGCCGAAGAATGGAGCCGAATGACGGCCGTGTGATAGGTCGCATGGAGCATGATCCAGTTGCAGTTGAGATTTCTGCTTCCTGGCTGAAAGAGCTTGCTCATGTTTCCGAATTCCCCAGGCAGTGCAAAGTTCCAAGAGGTCAGCTCCTTGTCAAGCTCCTTGTAGCGGAGCTGCCACTTTTCGACGTCGGTAAGCCTGCCGATGTCGACCGGCTGCTTCAAGAACTTGTGAATCTTGGAAAGGATCCCGAGAATCTCGATGTAGTAGGCAAAGGCACCCAGATTCTCAGGTCTCCCATGTGAGCGCTGGTGACTCTCATCGTCGTGTTGATCGCTCGTGGAGAACCATCGCGTTTCCACCTTTTGGTTCTCCATCCAGAGGTCGTCACGGCAGGGCAGCATTCGGTCAATCTCCGTATCGGCCAGCGCAAACTCAAAGGCGGTAGCAATGGTTGCGTATCTGTCGAGAAGGTAAATCATCCAGAATAGCCTCCTGCGGGATTCTTCCTCTATAAAGTCTTTGGGCTCGGGAAGGATCATGGCACGGAGTGTGTATATAGATGTATAGTGAGGTGCCACGCTGAAGGAATTAGTCTCGACGGCCAATCCCAGCTGCACCACCGATCTGGTGATGAGGGCCATTATGTTCCATCCAGGAGGGCCGTTGCTGCTGCCGCATATATCCAGGGCCAGGATGAGCAATGCCAGAAGCGACTTGACAGACGAGTTTTCCATGCCGTAAAGCAAGACCTTTTGTTTCGACACTCGATGGTAGTGCTGCCGCCGCTCGTCGGTCAGCCTTGGGTCGCTGGAGAACCGCATGGTGGTCGCAACAATGGCGTGGAGCAGCACCCGATCCGCCTCTTGGAGATCGGAAATTCCAAAGAGGCTATCCAAAGTCGTCCTTCTGTGAAGTATCGGACACCACGTGTTGATGTGCTTGAAATACAAGTCCACTAGATTGAAGACCAAATTGTAAGGCGGAAGGTCATCAGCCTCGGCAGAAGGCAGCGCTGCGCCCGGCGTCGGCGTAACTGTCGACAAGCCGATGCCTTGTTGAGCTGGAATATCGGAGATGGAGACACCAGGTAGCGGCGTTCGACTCTGAAACTCGTTGAGAGCTTGCTCAGCAGGTGCATGCCCAGAGGGACCATTGTTGGACTGTGAATTGTAGAACATGTTGTTGTTGTTGTTCATGTTGGACGCCTGGTACAGCTTCGATGAGCCCACAGTATTGCTGGTCTCGCTTTGGGTATCATGATCGCTGGCAAGGTTCTGGCGTCCCGGCTGCGCACCGGACTCGGGATTGTCGGAGCGTAGAGACGGCAGCGGTGACATCTGAAGCAATTCGGAATGCTTGCGCAGGATTTCCTCCATCTTGTCCAGTCTCGATTCCATTTCCCGACTTCGATTCTCCAGAAACCTTCCAAAGCCGGCCCGCAGCCCCGGTGGCTTTCGCTCTTTGTACTCGCAATTCTGGCCATGGCGCTTGCACCAGCCACACGAAGGTTGTCCTCGATCACATTTCACCTAATACTTGGTAAGGAGAAGAACGGCGTTAAACAAGGGAAGACTCTTGAGGGAGATGAGGTGGGAAAGGCAAGTGGAAGAGCTGCACAGGGGGCAAGCATACCTTGCGCTGTTTGCATAGTTCGCAGCTATCAAGCAGGTCGTTAGCAACAGATTGTGGTGAGGCCAGAGGTCTTGAGACAGGATTCATAACCCATGATCCATGTGCCCAAGACCAAGGTTCGAATTCGAATCTGCTTCATGGTTGGTAGACGTACGAGACGGAGATGGGCCGCTTGCGCTTGGCTGTGTGGGAGGCCTGGTCCGCGTCATTGTCGCAGCTCTGGTCGTCGCTGTCGGGCTCGGGCTGGCGCTCGCGGACGGAGGTCGAGGACGGCGGCGACGGGCGTTTGTGATCCTCGCTGCCGCTGCGCATGGCGCCTCGCAAGGTGAAGGGTGAGCCCACGTCGCGCGGCGAGAGGCTCCTTCGGTGGATTGACGATCCGACACCGACACCGACGGCCCCAGGCAACTGGATCGGGTGGGCAGCGAGCGGGGCGACGGCCAGCGGTGAGCGGCGAGCAGCGAAGAGAGATGATGCGCACGCGTGGATTCGGGATAAAGGCGAGCGGGAGGACGTTGGGCGGCCGGGTCAATGATAGCAGAGGCCGACGATGCGGAGCTGGTGGTTGTCCTGGTTCGCGAGAGACGGAGCTGCCAGGCCGCGGGTTCCTCTGAGAGGCTGGCCAGAACTGGCGCTCATTGGCGACGAGAGCCGGGCGGTTTGACCTGCTTGTGCCGCGGAACCCACAGTGTGGAGCTTGCAGATGTGAGATTGATGAGCCGGGGGAGGGGGGAGGGAAATCGAAGAAGTGATACCTTGGATACCTAGGTAAGTGAGGAGGAGGCGGAGAGGGTTTGGAGGCGGGAAATGGGGATTTGTGCTACTACCAAGTAACAAGTAAGGTAAGGTAGGTACTCGTTTCTGGTGTCTGTGCATACGATGACACCACAAAATTATAGAAGGCTATAAAAGGCTACCTACGTTCCAGTGTCTGCTGCCAGGTTCTCTCAGCTGTAAATGATGCTGCAGACGGAAATTGTAGAAGCATTCAGTTTGAGACTATACTCTCATATGGACCTATTCATCTCTACCGCTGAGGAAATCCAGTCAACCGTAGAGAGGGCCTATATAGGGCGCAGCAGATGGCAGCAGATGGATCCCGTAGGTTCGGGACTCAACACTGAGATGGTGGCCAAGAGCTCCCATTTGAATTGAAACCTAGCAAATAACATGTAATATGTACTGCTATTTTCGCGTTCGAATCAGTATTTTGAAGGCCTCGGGAGACTCAACGTTGTGGACTGTGGAAATCACAACCATGTCTCACTGTCCCTATGTAATCCCACCTTTCTAGTACCTACTCACTCTCCATCACTACGACTTCATCGACCTAGTAGATGCACCCCCAGGGACCCAACTGTGATAAGATGCTACAATCATGAGACTTTAAAGCTGCTCAGCTCTCAATCAAGGCATGATCCCTCACAGCATAATCGTCAGGAAGGCCCATGCAGACTATCGCCTTTGTCATCTTCCCAGACAGACATAGGTAGTCACTCCTCACCAAGGCGGCCTCGGGTCATCTCAGCCCGATTCTCGTCAACACCAGCAGCCCCCCCACACGTCGATTTGCACACCGTCACCCGCATCTCCATCTCCGGACGTCGCTGGCAGACCCCAATCTCTAATCTCTACACATCGAATCCTTCTACTATTATATCTCAGCCTTCTCCTGTTGTTGCAGCTGCTGCATGCTGCTCCTTCCTCTGCCAACTCCAACCAGTCACCACTCATCATGCACAGCTCGTCGGTCCGGCAATTTCCCACAATCAAAGCCGTGCGATCCTACGTCATCGGCGGCGTGGGCTCCGGTATGTATTGACAACTGCTTGTGGCCGTTTGTTGATAGTTTTGTTTCATATTGATTCCTGAACCATGTTTCATTCATATATGCTAACAGCGTGGAACAGGTGGTGATTACCATAATGTGAAAGGAGGTCACTGGTACGTGGGGAGTCACTTACACAGACTGAGTATGACAACTTTGAACAACGAGGGCTAATCGCTTATTCTCCCTTCTCCAGGCTCATCGACAGTGACATCTCTACGCCGTGCTCGCAATGGGCGCAGTACCGCAAGTCACGTACCAGCTGGGGCATCAACGTCCTCGGTTCCTTTCTCGTGGAGATAGAGGCATCTGACGGGACTGTCGGTTTTGCAACTGGGTTCGGAGGTGAGATCCCGTGATATACAGCGATCTGAATCAATCAGCATCACCGTCATGCGGGCTCGTCGTACTGACGAATTTCTTTCTACCCCTAGGCCCTCCTGCTTGCTGGCTGGTCCACCAGCATTTTGAGCGCTTCTTAGTAGGGGCTGATCCGCGAAATACGAACCTGCTCTTTGAGCAGATGTACCGGGCTTCCATGTTCTACGGCCGCAAGGGGCTTCCCATTGCCGTCATCTCTGTCATTGACCTGGCCCTCTGGGACTTGCTGGGCAAGGTCAGGAACGAGCCTGTCTATCGACTCATTGGCGGAGCCACCAAGGAACGCCTCAACTTTTACTGTACCGGGCCCGAGCCGACAGCAGCCAGGGAAATGGGCTTCTGGGGTGCCAAAGTGCCGCTTCCTTTCTGTCCAGAGGAGGGCCATGAGGGGCTTCGGAAGAACGTCGAATTTTTGCGGAAGCATCGCGAGTCCGTTGGGCCAAACTTCCCCATCATGGTGGACTGCTACATGAGCCTCAACGTCTCTTATACGATTGAGCTGGTCAAGGCGTGCGCCGAGTTCAACATCAACTGGTGGGAAGAGTGCTTGTCTCCCGACGACACGGACGGCTTCGAGCAGATCAAGCGCGCGCACCCGACGGTCAAGTTTACGACGGGCGAGCACGAGTACTCTCGCTATGGCTTCCGCAAGCTTCTTGAAGGCCGCAACCTCGACATCATCCAGCCCGACGTCATGTGGCTGGGCGGCATGACGGAGCTGCTCAAGGTCGCAGCCATGGCGGCCGCATACGACATCCCCGTTGTTCCGCACGCCAGCGGCCCCTACAGCTACCACTTTGTCATTTCGCAGCCCAACACGCCGTTCCAGGAGTACCTCGCCAACTCGCCCGACGGCAAGAGCGTGTTGCCCGTCTTTGGCGACCTGTTCGTCGACGAGCCCATTCCGACCAAGGGCTATCTCCTGACGAGCGATTTGGATAAGCCTGGATTTGGGTTGACGATCAACAGTGCCGCCCGCTTCAAGCTCATTCCTTCCAACTACCTCCTCAGCCCTCCGCCTGTACAGCAGCCGGCGCCGCCATCCCAGAACGGTCAAGGCAAACCAGCCAACGGCGAGACAGCGTGAGCATTATTGGATCGATGATGTCTAACTGTTTATGCGAGACTGTAATGGGTCGCACCATCGAGTGTAGTTGATATATAAGCCATTGAGCCGGGGCTGTAGAGCTTGCATTGTCAAGCGATGGTTTTCAAGCGAGCTTACCAATCAAGGACAATAAAGTATTTTTTCTACATACCTGTATGCATAATACCCATTCAAGATTACATTCAGCAGGTGAACACGGCATATAATAATGATAGCACAACACGGTAAGGCTTGCCATTCTTGTATGGCATCGTCATGAACCGGGGCTTAATCCTAGCATCGTTCATGATGAAGGCGTTCTTTGAAGAATCTGACATATCGTAGTGGCCATGATCAAAGCTACGGGATATGTACACGACTCCATAAAAGATAACCATGTGCTAAAAGCTGGGGAAGACTCTGGGGAAACCGATTTCAGAGAGGCATCGTGACTCCACCGGCTTGCGGGTGCCCTGGCAAGCGGCGTGTTGCGTCGACTCCCCAAGATCCAGGGGGGGGCCCAAGATCGTGGAGACGGGGTTGACCAATATTTTACGGTGGTCCCAGAAAGGGGCATCTGACTCGCCGTCAAAGATTCAGAGGTGACTTCAAATAGCAGTTCGCCGTTTCTACCGTTTTGTGGGTCAAGTCGAAAACGGTGCGATGGGGCCAAGGGGGCTTTCTCGCCCTAGAAGCCCCCGAGGGCTCGGACGGAGTTCTGCCGGTGGTTGAATGGCATCTCACGGAGGCGTTGCCGCATTTATAGAGCTGTTGAGATGGCTTCGCGACAACATCAGTGGCATAGCTGAAGGACGGAACGGCAGCCAAACGATTGTCGCTGGATATATCGAGAGACGACTAATTCTACGGCACGCTTCCTTGAACCTTGGCAGCGTCTCTAATGCCCCTCAACGCCTTCTTCCCCGCATGGTGAACTGTTACAGAGATCGACGGCAAAACGGTTTCACTAACAGCCTACGCTCTGGCTTCAAGATTGATACAGAGGCCTCTAGGTCGTGTCAATTGCTCGGACACATTTGGCAATCGCACAGATTCCACGTCTATCCAGAAGTGAGACCTATTCCACTCTTCTGTGATCAAAAGGCGGACTCGACAACGCCACAACTACCATGCCGCTCAAGGGGCTCCTGGCAGGCAAGACCGCCATCATCACGGGGGGTACAACTGGCATCGGACGGGCCATCTGCCTCGGCTATCTGCGCCAAGGATGCAGCGTCGTTGTCAACCACCTCGGCCTGGAAAAGGACCAGGCGCACCTGGACTCGCTGATAGCCGAAGCCAACGCCATCCTGGCCGAGGACCCAGCCGCCGGCCGTCTCGCTCACGAGGCCGGAGACGTTCGCGAGGTTGAAACCGCAGCCAAGCTGGTGGCCAGGGCCGTCGAGCACTCCGGGCCGGCACGGCGCCTCGACATTTGCGTCTCCAACGCGGGAGTCTGCACCTTTGCCGACTTCCTGACGCTGTCGCCAGACCTGCTGGAGCTGACGTTCCGGACCAACGTCGACGGCGCCTTTTACGTGACGCAGGCGGCCGCCCGGCAGATGGCGCTGCACCAGACGCCAACGGGGGGCAGCATCATCGGCATGTCGTCCATCTCGGCGCTGGTGGGCGGCGGCCTGCAGACGCACTACACGCCGACCAAGGCGGGCGTGCTGAGCCTGATGCAGAGCACGGCCGTGGCGCTGGGCAAGTACGGCATCCGCTGCAACGCGCTGCTGCCGGGCACCATCCGCACGCAGCTCAACGACGAGGACCTGGCCGACGACGCCAAGCGGCGCTACATGGAGGGCCGGATACCGCTCGGGCGGACGGGCGAGCCTGCGGATCTGGCGGGGCCGGCCATCTTCTTGGCCTGCGAGGAGCTGAGCGGCTATGTGACGGGGGCTCAGCTGCTGGTGGATGGCGGGCTGTTTGTCAATCTGCAGTAGAATGAATTAGTACTTAGTTGTTGCATGCGCTGTTTTTTTTTCTTGTTGTCTTTCGAAGCGAGCTGATGATGGTGGGTTATCCATGAATACGCAGCAAGTGTTTCAACTTTCACGGCCAAGAAGAGACCACGACATGTCACTGGCAGCGTCATGATGGGGTTCGAAGCGCATCTAGCGCGTCTACTTGGACGCAGTTGATTCATCGGCTCAACGCACATGTATGTAAAACAACGGCGGCGGCGGGTACTTTTACGTTTTGCATCAGCCCGGCAAGGACTTGGGATGAAAAAGGGTCCCTGCATCAAGGGATTAGAAAAAGCGCGCAACAGGGAATAATAAAGACAGAGACTATCACCAACATACATGTAGCCGTATGTCATTATGGAGCTCGCCTCGCCTTGGTGTTGTCTTCGCGCCCACAATCCGCCCTCTTACCGTCGTCCTTCCCCTCCTCCTTCTCATTCTCCCCTGTCGGCCCCTGAAAGACTTGTGACAAGCCACCGTAACGACACAGGGCTTGGCGGTTAGATACTATTAAGACCAAGAACAAGCAGGTGCAGGGAAGCTTTTCTGCTCATTGACGGATGAGTCGTGGATTCTGTTTAGCCTCTGGCATCTCTGCTGCTTATTTGATGGAGAGGTTCCTCCCTTGTCCGATGGTTTCCGGGGAGGATCCGCTTGCCCCGTTCCGGGTCCGGGGTTGACCCTCTCGGGTGGATCGGGCTTGACGTCACGGGTGGAACCGCCCAGCCTTGGATGACTTCCTTCCCTCCTCGTCTGTTGTTAGTATACTACAAGTACCTAGCATGAGTAGGTATGTAGTGTTTGACATGTGCCAGGTATCTCCTCCGTCCTCCAAGGCGTCTTCTCACATCTCATCAGCCCAAACTCAAAGGCGGTCTACCAACAATGCACGTATCCAGAAAGTGCCATGGCGATCCCTTTTTTTCGGGATCCGAGCAAGGGACACACATTCCGTGTGGCGCCTTGTTGCAACATGCAGGGTCAAGAGGGCGGCGACGAGGGCAACCAACATCTCGCCATCCTGTACCTATTTGCCGATGTAGATATCGCTCAGATCTGCGCTTCTCCTAGTGATGTGTAGCAATCTCACGGCGCGGAAACAGCTGATCAGTCTTTTGAGCTCCCATTCCGCCCATCCTTTTCTTACTTCTTCTCAAATCTCAAGTTCCCTTCTTCCCGTTGCAAGCCAATAGGATGCCCCTTCTCACACACCACAACAGTTTACAAGTACCACGAGCCCAGGGGCCGCGGCGCTTTTTTTCCTCAGATTCTCGAGAGATCGTCATCCACCTCACCCTCCATCAGAGGGAGCTTTTTCGGGCCAGCTGTTTCACGCAACGGCCGTTATCAGCTCGTCCATTATCATTCGCGCCTTTTGCTTGGAAGCAGAAAAAAAAAATGCCGCTGGCTGGTCACATCAATGGGGATTTCCCCCTGCCTGCTTGGCCGCAAAAGCAAGGCGGAGGCGCTGGTTGGAGGCAGGGCTTTGGCAGCTGCTTCTTCTTTCCTGCATTCATATGGCGTTTGCCACCCATGTCGATGTTGCCCCGACGTGCAGGGCAAAGATCCGCGCGACGGGACCACGGGAGTCGGCCGTTTCCCTGCCTTACATACATCCAGGAGATAAGGTATTCGTAGCAAGATACCTGAGTGCCATGTGTTGCTTACCGTGATAATGCATGTACCTTATATCTTCGTCGACGCTTCTTCTGTGATAGGCTACATGTGCCTTGGGGACATGTACATTGTGCAGTCGTCACAATTGTGAGCTGAGTATGACGTCTTCGTGTAAGAGCCACCTGAAGGCTACACGACCCTACATGCAGTCTCATCTGCAAGCTCTCGCCAATGGCAATGCAAGCAAGCAAAGAGGCGCCACCCGCCATCACGGGCGAGAGCTTCCAGATCCTGGGTTAGGTAGCCTTCACTGGTCAAGTAGGTACTACCTTAGGTACGCAAGCAGGCAAGCAGATAAGCAAGGTACCTTGGCGTATATCACATTTCACATGGAATATAGGTATCTTCTCAGCCTCCTCAGCCTGGCTCCGACCTACGTAGTGGCTTACCGGCCCGTTCTCCACAACACCGTCACCGATTGCCCATTATCTCAGCCCGCGGGTTTCACGGAGGTGGAACCGGGCGGTGGATAACAAAACAACTGGAGAACTTGTCAACATGCTGTTTGTCAAAGTTTAGGATCGCCAACGCAAAAACCTGGAGAAATCAGGCAAGGAAGATGACTCGAAGTGCTCCAGCGTCGCCCGGTGTGGAACCCGCGTGGAGAGAGGAGGAGCTCAGCCAAGTGTTGGGTTCACTCAGGGGGGTGTGGGATCGAAGCTGGGAAGCTCGAGACGGCGAGATCTATAAAGACCTATACCTCTCCCACCGTTCTTGACGGTAGAATCATTGCATCTACAGGGACCTCTTCCGACTTTACACATCTCTCTTCGTCCTTGTCGATTCCCCACCACTTCCTCTTACACCCTGGTGAGAGCACTGGGCTACCACACACCAAGATTACCACGACAAGGGATATAACATATTCGTCCATCATCATGGCCACTCTCAGCAAGGAGCAGCAGACCGAGTTCTACCAGCACGTCTCACAGGTCAAGAAGGACCTTGACGTGAGGGTAGCAGAGTCAGAGTCGTTGCCTAGCTCCCCTGAGCTGGCATCATCAGGCAGTTCCAGAGACAGCATCTCTAGCATCCCTACCCCCATCTCACCCCTCGACTCTTCGGTCATTGCCGATTCTTTTGTCTTTGCGTTTGATATCGACGGCGTGCTCGTCCGAGGCGGCCGCCCCATCCCCGAGGCTATCGAGGCCATGAAAGTTCTTGATGGCGAGAATGAATATGGCATGAAGATGTAAGTCCACCGTTCTTTGTATTACCTCATCACCTCATCTAGCGAGCATCTCTCTAACGCATGCTTTCTTAGCCCTCACATCTTCCTTACCAACGGCGGCGGCAAGACCGAGGAAGAGCGCTGCCAAGATCTATCCCGCCAACTCCAGCGTGAGATCAAGCCCGGCCAGTTCATCTGCGGACACACGCCCATGAGGGAAATGGCCGACAAGTACAACACGGTCCTGGTCATTGGCGGCGAAGGCGAGAAGTGCCGTCTCGTTGCCGAGGGCTACGGCTTCAAGGACGTCGTGACCCCCGGAGACATCATCAAGCACAACGCGGCCACCACGCCGTTCCGCAAGCTGACGCCCGAGGAGCTGGCCAACTCGCGCGAGCGCAACTTTGACGACGTCGTCATCGATGCCGTCTTTGTCTTTGCCGACTCCCGGGACTGGGCAGGCGACATCCAGATCATGCTGGACGTGGCCATGTCAAAGCAAGGCCGGCTCGGGACCCGCAGCGAGACCTTTGACGAGGGCCCCCCTTTCTACTTCTCCCACAACGACGTCGTCTGGTCGGCGGCCCACGAGCACGTACGGCTCGGCATGGGGGCACTCCGGCGCATGTTCGAGACCACCTTCCGCGATCTGACAGATGGCAAGGGCAAGCTTCACACGCACGCCTTTGGCAAGCCCCAGGTCTCGACCTTTGAGTTCGCCGAGCGGCTGATGCAGTCGTGGCGAAGCACTGAGCACGGCATCTCCGGGCCCCCGCAGACGGTGTACTTTGTCGGCGACACGCCCGAGAGCGACATCCAGGGCACCAACGCCATCAACCAGGTCGCCGACAACGACTGGTACAGCATCTTGGTCAAGACAGGCGTGTACCAGGACGGCACGGAGCCGGCACACAAGCCGCGTGCGACTGTCGACACCGTGCTCGATGCTGTGCACCACGGTATCCAGCGCGAGATGCGCAAGAAGGTGGTCTCGTCGCTCAAGCGCGATGTTCTGGGTCAGTCGGAATGTGGTGGTGCTGAGACCAACCCGACGATCGCGGATGATGATATGCTCGTTTCTGTATGAAGCGTTTGATTGCCTGCCGATACTGGATATTGTTTTGGAAAGGGCATTATGTGACGGAGTACCTGGAGTTTTTGACGCACTCAGAAGGAGCATGAGTGATTTTGTTTTGTTCTTCCTTCAATTCTTTTCTTCTCTTCCAACACACCTTCGTTGTCATCGGCGAAGCTGATGTCCCCTTTCATATACCCCCAAGCGATCCATCGCGCTTTTAGATTCTACTGCATCGAACAGGATGTTAGACACTTGACTAGATAGGTCGTCTTTGTTTATGATTAACTTACTCTGATATCACAATGTTCCGCCGTGAAAATGAATCATTCGAGAAACACATATCTCCCCCACTGCGAGGTTGCAGCCCAGCCAGTACGGTCGACGACTTCCTGTCTCTCAGGACGTCTCTCAAAGGCTTCTTCCAAGGTGATTCTGGTAGAATACTCTGGGACGTGTTCACGTTCCACGTGAAGCCAGCCTTTCCATGCAGCAACCAGGTCGCCCGCTCCCAGTCCGCCCAACACAATCGTGCCCCAGAACTCGCGGGAGAGGGACGCCGCAGATGATTGGTCGTAGATCATGAAGTGCTCGGCTTCTGAGATGTATGAGCGCATAGCTTCCACGCTGGTGCTGGAAATTTCGTCGCACGGCGGCTGCTGGACGTAGACATGCTGCAAATCATCGTCGGCGCATGTGAGGCGAGTGGCATCGAAGCGACCCTCAAGGTCGAGGACGAACAGCGCCATGGAATGGGGCGACGAGACGAGAGTCGATATCACCTTGTATATCAGCGGAAGGCTGCGGCCAGAGAGGGCGATTGTGGGAGCTTGGGTAGCCCGAAATTGTCGGGCAGCGAGCTGGTCGAGTTCATCCAGGTGCGTGCGCTTGACTCGCCCGCTGCCAGTTCCGCTTGCTGGAGTCTTTTCGAGAGCCAGTGAGGCGCGGAAGCTATCGAGAATCTGATGACATTGACAGAGATTAGTATTTGGTACTCGGTGGAGAGTCGATAACACGTCATAAGAGGCACATCAAGAGAAGTGGTGTTTTATCAAGGGTGAGGGTCATGGACGGAGGTTTGACTCTGGCCTCTCCGCTGGATCTCCCTTTCGGAAATCTCATACTGGTCTTTAGTTGCCTTGATCATCATATAAGAAAGCACTCCGAAGTCCTGAGAGAGCTGTCGCATTTGCTGTCGGGGTTTCTGTGCCTTGAGGCTCAAACCGTCGGCCAGCGCGGTCCCGGCATTTCGCGCCTTAAAGCCATAGCTAGAAACAGCGCCAGCGACACAACAATCTTCACTCCAAAACTTACCTCATCCAATCTTGCCTCCTCAACAGCCTTGAGCAGCTGTCCCCCCATCGCCGCCTCCATCGTTGTTCCCCTCTCACCAAATAAAACCCCCCCAATTGGCAGATCCAAAAGAATGACGCCTCCGTGCCGCTCATTCCCCGCCTCGGAGCTGCCTCTTCGGATCCAGCAGGATGCCTCTGGCCGCCGCCGGAAGCTCGACGACGCGGGCGCCGTGTCGCGCAGGATCGATCTCTCGGCGTGCGAGCTCTTCCGGATGCTGCAGTACAAGTGCGAGGTGCAGCGGCCACTGACGCGCGAGAGTCCCGTGCGGTGCTTTGCTGTTGACCGGCTGTTTCGAAGGTGTGTAGAGCAAAAGAATTTGGGAGGGAGGGAACCCCACCAGGCGAGGGATGGCTTCACACTGGCTTGCTTTTGCTATGTAATCTGCCACCACACAGATCGACTAACAGTTGATGATGCAGGTGTAAGGACAAAAAGGGCGTGTTTACTGTAGAGACGACGGCTTGGGAAGGGGAGAGGACGCGAGCGGACGGCAGCAGCTCGGAGGGCACCGGGGCGAAAGAGCCGCCGAAGCCGCACCAGTGGTCGTCGAGCTGGCACGATGCCGACGAGGCAGCGCCGTGATGATCCGGCAGCACCTTGGCAATGATGAGCAAGCTGGAAGCATCGGCACCCTACTTCTGCGACTCGTCTCTGGAGTGTTTAACCTTCAGGATCATTAGGCGAGACATGATCAAGACGAGACATGGCGGAGCATGTCGTTGGCTCTCGGGAATCCGTCTCACATGCTCACTTCGACTCCTTATGTCAGGGTCGCCTTTAGCTCCAGTGAGCCGAGCCGAGCTCCCTTTACAGATAGATGCGCGAACATTACCCTCGCAGAGCTCCCGAGACTACGTCCTTTTGGCGGCAAACGTCTCGACTACACCTGGGACTACGAAGAACCAGCTTTGCTTGAGACGGACTCAAAGCACACCAAAAAGGAACCCCGACCCCTCGGCATACCTCCTCTCACTAGGAAAGAGCATCCGCACGAAAGTTGAACGCCGTGCGGCAAGTAAAATAGTAATACAGTCGAATTGCCCCGAGACTCAATAAGTCTAAGCAGAGGTTCGCCTAGCTGCCACTCATCTTCCCGTGATATCCGATGTTTTCCCCCTACAGGGCAGCCATGCTCCTGCAGCCATGGACGGACTATTGGCCCCCCGTCAATCCAACCTCTATTCGACGAGCAATTGCTCGTGTCGCATTCCTTCTCCGTCTGCCGGTGTCTAAGTAGAATGACCCTCCTTTACTGTGCCTGTGACTGCGCGGCGGCTCGCTCGGCCTCCTTCTTGGCGTAGTAGGCGTCTCGGCTATTGGTTCGGGGCATGTGGTAGCCGTACCTATGTCGTTGTTAGACAAGTCTTCCCTTGCGAGGTTTGGAGTTCGGGTGGTTGTGGTTGTCGAGTCCGTACCAGTACCAGTTGGCCATGACGAAACCAGCTCCTGTATTTGCGATGTAAGCCAAAGGGAACAAGCAAAGATGATGATTCCCAGTGTCGAAGCAGCGCCAAAACTTTGCGGGCAACTGGAGGGAGGTTCGGTATTTACCAAGACCGACGCCGAGGTCGAGGATAAGCTGTCGTCGCAGCATCTGCAATTCTGTTGTCAGCTTGCGTCCTGGGCCAAAAGCTTCATGGCGGGACCGGCCGAGGAAGATGCCGTGCGATTCCGCGCCATTGGTCGAGTGTCGGACGTACGCCAGTGATCGGTGCAATAGCCATCGTGAGTGAGGAGCTTTAAGAAGCTGTGTTTGAAGCTGCGAGAGTCGTTGTGCTGTCTGATGGGGACTTGGAATAGCGAAAATGGAGAATCTCGGCATGGATCGAGCAAGTGTATGGTCTGATGTTAATCCCGCTAAAGGTGTATCACGTGATGGCACGATGATGGCTATCGGCGGATTCTCGGGTATGCGAAAAAGAAGCCCGTTTCGTGAGATTGTGCTAGTAGCATTACTTTTGTTAGTTGAAGCAGGAAAAAGATTGGGTCGGATCGCATATTCCGGTTCCTCTTCAATGGGCTGTAGACCAGCAAGTTGAGGTCAAGTCAGCTTGCTACTGCATCGTCGCATCAATGAGTCTACGGCTGGCCTCTCGGCGGCTGGTGCTTCCAGGTAAATCAATGTCTTGGGAAACCTCGATCGCCGTATACTCTACCCGTGTTTCGCTTGGGCTGACCGAAATCTCCAATTGCACACAGGCCCGTCCTCATCAGCCTCATTGTTGGCGCCGACGCAATGCGTTACGTCCCGAAGCCCCTGCGCAGTCTCCCAGCGCCGTCACAAGTGGTCCATCAACGTCTTCAAAGGATGGGGCAACTCTAGCTCCAAAGACTCTGGCGACAAGGGCCAGGTCCCAGTCGCCTCCGAACTCGACGATCCCAAGAAGCGACAACAGTTCCTGCAGAGGAATATGCGGGGAGGAGTCGAGGACAACATCTTCCAGGAGGAGATTGAGGCCGCCAAGCCGGCCGACGACGCGCCCGCCGCCCAGGAGCCTTCAGAAGTCCGGACCAAGGAGAGCCTGGCCATGGTGGTCGATCCAGATGTCCGGAGTCGGATCCGGTGGCAGCGGAAAAAGGTCATCCAGTCGGTGCGCCGGAACGGAGAGCTGACGAAGGAGGAGAGGATCAAGATGACGGAGCGAGAGCTCCTCCACAAGAGCGACTTCTTCCCCACCAGCGTCAAGAAGCTGGTCATGCTGGCGCGACAAATCGCCGGCAAGCCCGTCGACGAGGCCATCCAGCAGATGAAGTGGTCCAAGAAGAAGTTTGCCGCCGAGGTCAAGTACCACCTGGAGGAGGCCCGCGACTTGGCCGTCGTCCAGCGCGGCATGGGCCTTGGCAAGGTCAACGGCGACGTCTTCGACAAGCCTCGAAAAGTACAGGACAAGGACGGCAAGTGGATCGAGATTGCAGACCCGACTCGCCTCTACGTGGCACAGTCGTGGGTTGGGCGAGGACCCTGGCGTGGAAAGGAGATCGACTACAAGGGCCGAGGGAGAATGGGCGTCATCCAGCCTCCAAGCACCAGTAAGACATATTCGCGACCCCTCGTACCTTTCTCTCAAGATGCTGTCGCAATCGATTCACGGCGGCCCTTCATTGGCCCCTCCCTTCTCTCATTTTGATCAGATTTGCTGACCTGTGCCCTCTCCGCGGGTGTATCATTCTAGGCTTCACAGTCATCCTGAAAGAGGAGAAGACCAGAATCCGAGAATACGAAGAGTTGAAAGCCAAGGAGGCACAGAAGGGCCCCTGGGTCCATTTACCGAATCGCAAGGTGCATGGCCAGAGGCCCTATTACTCGTGGTAGAGACAAGGAGACGTTGCGGTCCGAGTGAAGCTTGGTAGCAAACCATTCTTTCGAAACTTGACCCAGCAATTTAGAGCCGGCATGACAATGAGCATGTACCTGTATCAATATAGTATGTACAATGAAAAGAAACAGCACACTCGGGCAACTGGATAGACTCCTATCATCAGCTTTGGCTCCCCGCGTCATGTAACTCGAGGTTCCCTTTCGCAAAATCCCGTACGTGGAAAGAAAGACTGCTCGGGAACACACATCCAGCCCTGGCTTGAGATGGCCCATCGCCCAACCGTACTGCTGTACCAACCGCCAAATACTACATCATATAGAGGGTTACTCGGCATAAAGGGCATCGCCTAGGGCCCTTTCCATTCGAATCATCGACATAACCCGTGCAACGGAAACACATGGCAATCGGATCAAGGTTCGGTCCTCAATTGTGAGCTAATCCCACTACCAGAGTACAGATCGCTAGTTCGTCTGAGGACTATCAAGGACACGATCTGCGGATTACACCATGGCTCTTGGCTGCTGTCGAGGTACCATATCTTCATAGCGGTTGGATACCATCTCGATGTCGTTGGAGTATTTTTCGAACGCGCCCTGGCTGTGCCCCGAACTGGGAGGGGGTTGAGAAATGTCGAACGAGTCGTGAGTCCGGCCGCGGCTTTTCAAGAACCAGAACGCGGCAGCCAATCCGATTCCAACGACAGCAACCGCGACTCCCAGGCCGATTCCAATGGCCGCACCGCGAGACAAGCCTGAACCACCAGCCGCAGGAGTTGCATCAGACGTTTCACTAGCCGTCGGAGTAGATGTGGTAGAGGCGACAGAGGTGGAAGAGTCTGCCGACGTGGTGGTGGCAGGCGGAGATGTTTCGGAAGACTAGGTCACCCAGCGTTAGCGATCTTGCAGCTCCATGGTCATGGGACGTGAGAAAGCGTACCACGGCGGCGCTCGTGGTGCCCGAGGGGGGAGCGGCCGTAGTCGATGGAGCCGAGGTCTGAGTGGCAGTGGTAGCCGGTGCTGTGGTGGCACCCTGCTCGGTCGTGGTCGGTGGCACCGTAGTCTGGACAGCCGTTTCCGGCGCCGAAGTGGTCGTGGCCGGGGGCGCTGTTGGGATCGGGGTCGTCTCGCCTGGCGGAGCGCTTGTCTCTGCCGCTGCTGGCGCTGTCGAGGCAGCCGGCACTCCAGTCGGCGTGAAAGCCAATTGTTGACCTATCAGCAGATGAGTACACGAGATGCTCCGTCCGTATGGTTAGACCCTGATTTACCCTGGCAGAAGGATCCCGCTAGAAAAGCCTGGACCTGGACATCCGTAGCACCGCATCCATTCTGGCCGCAGTCTCGAATGCCAAACCCGAAGTTGGCGTTGGAACACAGACAGGCAGCGTCATCTGCACTGACACAGCCGTACTGGGCAAATTGGCCTCTGACTTGGTCCGTACATGTAGGCTGTTGTAACGTCAGTGGTCAGAAACTGCTCAACCTTGTCAACATCTGGATTGACCTACTACACAGGCCGGTGTATCCTGGGCGGCAACACCATCCACGTAAAACAGACTGAGTGCGCCAAGCACTGCCGGAAGAAGGGATCGCATGTCGAAAAGATGTCTAATTTCCCAGTTGCTGTTCTCGCACGCTCTGAAGGCTCCAGAAAAGAAAAAAAAAAAAAGAAGAAGAAGTAGAAGAAGAGGGAGAAAGAAAAGAAAACGCCGAAGAGCTAGAAACAGTTGTGGTGAAACAGGAAACCCGTCCGCTGGAGCGAAATGGATGAGCAGAAAGACCGGTTGGAGCCGCCGAATTTTTTTTCTCTATCTCTCCTTCTCAAATCGCTCTTTCTATTGTATTGCTATTGTGCTGCAACGCCACGAAGCTCCGGTGTAAGAAGGTTGAAACGACGGGCAATTAGGAAGTAGGAAGGCTAAGATAGGCGTCGACGACCGAGCGTTACCAGCACACACGGTCAAACAGCTATCGGAAACGGACTCGCACGAGGCTGCGCAGGATGCGAGCAGAAAGAATGACGCCAAAGGAGTGGAATGCAGATCTCGCAGGGAAAGGGAGAGCGAATCAGTGAGAATGGTCGAGGTCTGCGAATGGAATGGCCGCAGAAGGGGGCTTGAAAAGGGAGAAGCGACGAGGAGTCAAAGGAGCGTATAGAAGGAGAAGAGTCTCGGGTAGAGTCGTAGGGAGCGTGGGTGGTCTGGATCTGGATGAAGCAGACCTCGTCAGATAAAGAGTGAAATCGAGAGAGAGAGAGAGAGAGCGAAGAAGAAGAGAAGAAGAAGAAGAACAAGAGGCCGAATCGCAGTCGCTTGCAGAAAGACACGATGGAGGAGTGAAGGCTTCAAGTCCCTGGAAGGAATGGATGGAACGCTGTCCGGCTGCTGCGCTGCGGTAATACCAGCCAGACCTTAATTGATCTACGGAGCCCAGATCATTAATGATAGGGATGCAATCCCGGTCCAGGGCCCACTGCGAGCACCCGGCCAGCGCTAATAACGCGCCCCAACGGCGCTGCTGTGCCCTGGGCATCCAGCTCCGTAGCCGCTGAGGGACCTGCTGCATTCTGCAAAGTACCGGATACAAGTAGGGGGGCCCATCTGAAACATGGAATCATGAGTCGTTTCTGGCTCATTGGTAGTACCTGGGCAGTCTGTAACGAGGGCAGAAACAGGAATAGCGCGGCAGTGGTGAAAATTATCGATGCCGGCAGTACTGTTTGAGAGGAATTATTATGGAGTCGAGTCAAGGCAAGGTAGACCGAGTACCGAGTAGAGATGCTAGTAATATATTGAATGATAAGAGTTGGTTGTATGAGACGGAGCATTGTGGTGTCGTTGCTTTGCTCGAGGGGACACACGGCTTGGTAGAGCAGCAGCCCTACGACTACCTAGTACTACCCTAGTACTACTTGTACTTAGCAGGTATCTACGTGACCTGACCTCGTGTTAAGATCGGAAAGTACCCTCGGTATCCCGTACATCTAAGGGCTGCTGCTGCTGCTTGACTGGTAGTAGCGCGCCTCAGCTGAGATGGGTACAAGTACCTTAGGTACAGGCTTGAGCTCTCGGCATTACATCAGGCGGTAAGCTACCTAGTACTAGCTGCAAAAGTACCTATCTACTCTTACTTTGGTAGCACAAACAACAACCACCAGCATTTTGCAGCTTGCAGATCCCATCAGCCCCAGGTCGCGGCCATCCTCACCGTCGACACCCGAGCGCTGCCCTTTGTTTCTTGCACTCTCCATACACCAATCTCGCCTTCCCCTTCCATCGGCCTCCGCCCTGCCGCATCTCTTCCTGCTGAATGCCGCAGGCCCTGTGATGCCGCACCGGAAGCCCCGAAGACGACGACGACCATGGCTAATCCTGTAGGCGAAGACAGCTGGGTGGCCTACCTTGATGAAACCACCCGCAACGCCTCCGATCTCGAGCAGCGCGTCAATGCCGTCGAACTCTTCAAGCGCGCCGCCGGCGCCGAGCCTGGCAGCCTGCGAATATGGCTGGCCTACTGCAACTATTTCTGGTCCCTCTGGGCGGACAGCCAGTCCGATGCCGCCGGATGGTCCGAGGAGGAGCAGATGATGGGCCGCGAGCTGTTTCCCTTTGGCTCCGCATTGGACCTCTGGCAGCAGGGCTACGAAGCCATCAAGTACCGCATCAGCGACAGCCATGTTCTCTGGAACCGCTGGATATCGCTCGAGATGGAGCTGCTGGAGAAGACCAAGACTGCAGAGGGTGTTAAGCGCATCACCCACCTGTTCCGCGATCGGCTCGTCACGCCCCATCTCACCTGGGACGACACGTCGCAAATGTTCTCGAGCTTCCTGTCGGAATACAATCGCGCCGCGTGGGAGGAGTTGATGAAGGACATCACCGCGCTGTCCCAGGAAGCAAAGCGCCTCATGGCGGAGCGAGATCCCTTTGAGCTCAGGCTGCAACAGGCAGTTCGGGCAGATGATGTAGAGGCCCAAAAGACCGTCATGGCAGAATATCTCGAGTGGGAAACATCACATGCCCGCGGCGGCCAGCCCATGGCTGACATCAATTTCAATCTCTGCTGTGGACTCTATGCCAGAGCCTTGACCGGCGTATTCGCATCCGACGAGTCCGTTTGGCACCAGCACATAGTCTTCCTTTCGTCCTCATACGCCGACACCAAAGCCCCTGAGTATCTACTCAATGCCCTCCGCAGGGCGGTTCAACATTGCCCCTGGTCGGGTCGCTTATGGAATAGGTTAATTCTATGCGCGGAAGAGGCGAAATTGGACTTTTCTGAAGTGGAGTCAATCAAACACGCCGCGACGAGCGAAGACCAGCTGTACAAGCACGGCATGGAGAGCATGATTGAGATGTATGTGGCGTGGTGTGGGTTCCTCAAGCGCACCGCCATGGACGCGAACGCGGGAGACGAGGCTGTCGACGTGGCTGATGTAGGGCTGAGCGCGGCTCTCGAGGACGTCGAGGTCGTCGGCAAGAGGCTCTACGGCAAAGACTTTCAGGGCGACCCCAAGTTTCGACTGGAACGCATCTACATCCAGTACCTGACGGAGAAGAAGGGGGCAATCGACGAGGCGAGGATGCAGTGGAACAAGCTCGCCAAGGCTCAAATTCACGCAGACAGCCACGACTTCTGGTTCCGCTACTATATGTGGGAGATGCTCATCTTCTCTTCCACCAACACGGGCAACAGCCCCGCGCCCTCCTCTGGCGGCGCCAGCTTTCGTATCCCCACGCTCGCCACCGCAGTCCTCCAGCGCGCTGTCAACCGGCGGACCATTGACTGGCCCGAGAAGGTGCTGGAGGTGTATATGCAGCATTGCAACGACTACGAACTATCGCACTCTGTGCGGAGAGCGGCAGATGTTGTGCACAAGGCCGAGACGGCCATTGCGAAGCGACGTGCTCGAGAGCAGGAGGAAAAGGCCGCCGCATATGCTGCCTTCTATGGCGCGCAGACGGAGGGCCGTGACGAGCCCATGTCAGGGGAGGCGTCGCCTGGCCAGCCTAAGAGGAAACGAGACGACCCAGCAGACACCCAGGAGCCCGTCAATACCAGCAACAAGCGCCAAAAGAACGATCACGAAGCGCGCGAAGCTTCATCGAGTCAACGGAGAGACAGAGAAAACACGTCTGTGCTCGTCACAAACCTGCCCGCCGAGATCACCCAGACCAAACTGCGCCAGTACTTCAAGGAGTATGGTCACATAAATAACATCACAGCGCTTGTCCGGGAAGAAGATGGTCAATCGTCGACGGCCTTGATTGAGTTCAGCACCCCAGAAGAGGCCCAGTCCGCACTCCTCAGGGACGGCAAGTTCTTTGGGCAGTCTCAAATCAATGTGCGATCTGCGCATGACTTGACCATCTATGTCACCAACTATCCCCCTGCGGCAGATGAAAAGTACATGCGTCGGCTGTTTCAGGATTGCGGAGAGATCTTGAGCGTTCGATGGCCGAGTCTCAAGGTAAATTCGCACCGCCGGTTCTGCTACATCTCTTTCCGCGATGGCGATGCGTCTGCCAAGGCAGTGGCCAGGGACGGCACTCTTCTCGAGGGCAGATACAAGCTCATGGTCAAGTACTCAGACCCCAGTCGCAAGAAGAATCGCGAGGGTGCTGTTGCCGAGGGCCGCGAAGTCCATGTTTCGGGTCTAAACCCCTCAACGAGTGAAGACGAGCTCCGCGACGTTTTCTCCAAATATGGCACAATACAGAGAGTCAACATCCCCCGAAGCATCAATGGCAGGGGCCGGGGATTCGCCTTTGTTGTCTTTGGAACCAAGGATGAAGCTGAAAAGGCTACGTCAGAACTGAACAAGGCCAAGTTCCAGAACCAAATCATTGAGGTCGAGGTCTCGAAGCCTTCCATCGTGAAACCCACGGCTCAGATCATAGCACACGATCGCGCGTCTCCGGCACAGCAAGCGCCCGAGGACGCCGACGGCGACAAGGCGTCAAAGCCCTCGGCTGCCGAGATCGCCGCGCGCACCATTGCCCTCATGGGTCTGCCCGACACCGTCAACGATGCCCGAGTGCGGGCGCTTGTCGAGCCCTTTGGCCCCATCGTCAAGCTCGTCCTGCAGCCCGGGCATGGCGGCGCAAAGATTGAGTTTGCAGACTCCTCGGCGGCGGGCAGGGCAAGCCTACAGCTAGACAACCTCGAGTTTGAAGGCCACAAGTTGCACATTGGGTCCGTCGATGATCTCCGTCACGCAAAAGCCGAGAGAGTCCAAGACCGCATTGTCCCGCGCAGCCAGGATCCGACGACACAGGACAAGGACAAGCCACCGAGCAACACACTCAAAGGCTTCACGCCCACGTCGGTCAATGTGAGGCGGCCGACGCTGGGAAGACCGGGTCCAAAGCGCGGACTGGGCTTTGTTGCCCCGAAGGCGTCATCTGCGTCGAATGCCAAGGCTGGAGAAGAAAAGGGGCGAGAAGACGGAAAGCCAGCTCCCAAGAGCAATGCAGATTTCAAAGAGATGTTTTTGAGAGGCTCAAAACCGGAGGATAAACCGGAGGATAACAACTCAAGGACTGACTAAAGGAAGACTGTCGGTTACCGCACGTCCTTTTTTAGATGTTTCCTCCATCAATTTACAGCTCGTCTCGAAATAAAGTTTTGATGTACGGACATATATATAATACATTCTATGCGTAAGTAGTGGTCGTGATTTCTAGGTGCTTGATGGACAACAATCAAGTCTTGGCAAGGTCCAATCCGAATACTGCCTTGGTTTTCGTGCCCTGAGATTTCCCATTTCGCCCTCAGAAGGCGGACGTGCCTATCCCAAATGCCTCCCAGATGCATTTCCCTATTGTGTATATATCCATGTTCCGTGGCCGGTCTTTGCAAGACTGGCGAAACAAAAAGAAGAAGAAAAAGAGAACCCCCAACCTATATTCAAGCCGAACATTTACAGAGTGATGGTGTTGACGGTCCTGTCTTGGTTAAAGTCCTGCGAAAACAAGCGCTGCCACACATCAAACCACTTCTCCTGTTGGGCGGTGAGCAGTTTGCCAGGCTGCTTGAAGCTCCTCGTGAGCAATTCGCGCAGTCGTGTGCGCAGGACTTTGATGACGAGCATCGTCTTCCAATCCGGGACGGCGAAACGACCTCGATTGCCATCCAGCACTATCACCCCCGAGTATAGCTAAATAGGGAACGATGTTAGATATGCCAAACTCCAAGTACTGATATCCAAGAAGCCATCAATGTCGACTTACATCACAGCGTACGTCGCCGCAGAGTAGTGCTATGGCAAAAGGCTCTGTCACAGTGGTTTCATGTGCACGATAAACCCTAGATTGAGAATCAGTCTTAGAAAGTGCTTCGACAATGAGGCATTGTGGTGGAACCAAGGGATAACCCACGATTTGGTCTGCATGATGGTGTAGTATGACAGCCATCGCGCATCAAACAGCCCCCGATTGACAGACGTCGGATGAAGGCTGATGGACTGGTTGTTGCCAATGTTGCGGAGCCCCTTGGAGCCTGGAATATCCCTCACAAGAAGCTTGGGGTAAAAGCTCCATGCAATAACGGAAGTCGAAACAATGTCGTTGTCGCTGTTGAGGTTCACCCGCTGAGGCACCTCGACAAACTGCTGTTGTCGACGGCCGCGTCCGCCGGCGGAGAAACGGAGTCGCAGAAGCGCTCGCCGCTCCTCCTCTGTCAGTAACAGAAACCCGGAATCGGCCAAAGACGTCAGCAGCTGTCCTTTCAGGTCTTCAATATTGGTAAGCGTCTGCTGGTTGAGGTAATTCTTTCTGCAGAATTGGAATTCTTTTCCAAAACCTCCATTCGCCTGGCATACCCGCTTCCACGCAAGATATGCATTGTAGGTTGTGAGTATATCCGAGTCCGCACGACGAAATGCTGCTCTCGCATTGTTTGCTTGCGTTTGTTGTCCAAAGGGGGCAGAAAAGGGGGACTTGGAAGACAGAATGGCTGCAACGGTGATGGCCATGTCCAGGCATTTGAAGATCGTCCCCAGGAGGATGAGCTTCCCCAGGAAGACATCCAAGGGTAATCTCGCCAACTGGTAGCCAAGGGGCGTGAGGTCTTCGGTGCCGGTCAAAGCTCGCACGTCCACGAGTGCGTCCACAGCGCGGCGTATATTCTTGGCCGAAGGGGGGTCCAAAGCGTCGCCCAGGGTTTCTTCTATCCCGCCGAGCTTGCAAATCTTGACACGGATGGCCAAGTCCTGCAAGGAGAGACGCAGCATCTCCGGAGTCTGCTGGTCGCTCATCAGAGTATCGTGCCGATACCGCGAGAACATGTGAAAGCACAGCCCATTCTGCACACGGCCAGCACGCCCCCTACGTTGCTTCGCGTTCGCTCTCGAAATGAATGTATCAATCAGCCGGGAAAGCTGCTTCTTTTCATCGAAACGCATCTCCCGGTGCTTGCCGGTGTCGATGACGCAAGTAACGTCTGGAATGGTGATTCCAGTCTCCGCAATATTCGTCGCTAGTACAATCTTCCTCATGCCCTGAGGGGGCAGCAGGAAAGCGGCCTCCTGATCCTCCATGGCAATTGTGGAGTGCAGAGGGTAGACAAGCCAACCAGCCGAAAATCGAGGGTCTCCCAAGAGCAGATCATTCAGCGATCTAATGTCTCCCATTCCGGGTAGGAAGACGAGGATTGCATTGCTATATTGCTGTAGTGATTCATCCACCGCGATGCGAGCAATCAATTCGACAATGAGGTCGTGGTCGATCTGGTACTCGTTCATTTGAGCGAGCACAGCCTTGGTTCTGTTTGAGTAACCGGAAAGGCTCTGAACCATCTCGGCTTTGAGTCCGTCCACTTCGGGCTCGACCGTGTCATCATCGAGGTCGACAATCCGATCGGTTTCTGAGTTGCTTGGGACATAACCAGTGAGCTCAACAGCATCCTCGAGGTAGCGAACCATGACTGGGAACGTTCTGCCAGGAACGTTTAGCACTGGCGCTCCGCCAAGGTACGCTGAAAACCGCTCTGCGTCAACAGTGGCAGACATAAGAATGACCTTTAAGTCTTTGCGGCGTTTCAGGAGGCGTTTGAGGACGATGAGGAGGAAGTCACTGTCAATGGAGCGTTCATGAACCTCGTCGAGGACGAGATGTGTGACTTCTTGAAGGTCATTAGAGCCTTCAAGCATTCTCATGACAATTCCCGTCGTAGCATACACAAGCCGCGTTTCTTTGGACGTGTTCGACTCTAGGCGGATGGAATAGCCGACAAGGGACCTCGAGGTTCCTAAATCGCCTTTTTCATCACCCAACTCTTCACTTACTCGACGAGCCAGAGAGATGGCGGAAATACGGCGAGGCTCTGTGCAGAAGATCTTGCACTGTCTGCCTTGTGACAGTTCGTGTTCCAGCAAAAAGGCCGGTACTTGTGTGCTTTTGCCACTATCACACTGTTAGTTGAGGATCGCGGTCGTCAGGGACACCACTTCACAACTTACCAGCCAGTCTCTCCGCAGATAATAATCACCTGATTCTTATCTACAGCATCCAGAACATGGTCTTTGAATTTCCACATTGGAAGTTGTTCTCGATATTGCTGGGGTATGGGTCAACAAACCGCACTTGTAATCAAGAATTGGGAATGGGCTTGTTGCATACCAGCATGGCTTCATACTTCTTCCTACTCGACCTTGCGGCCCACAGCCTCTTCAGATTGTCATCGCTTTCAACGTGCCTTGATCGCTCAGTATGCCCCGAGTCGGTGGCTTCTGGTGTACTCTTGGCGTTGTTGCGGCCCCGGAACGCGCCCTGCAGCACAACACCATCTTCAAGCTCCTGATCTTGCCTTTGGCGGACAAGGGCCTTGATCTGCTTCACGACTTGGCGATCCTGCGCATCGAAGTGCTCCTTCTTGGCTTCGGCCATCTCAGACCAGAAATCTCGCCAGACGTTTGGAAGCCTGAGGTTGACCTTTTCTTCCTTGGGATTACCGCTGAATATGTGGAACAGCGCTGCGGTGGCGATGTAAGCCTCCGATTGCTTCAAGTCGGGGGTAGCAACCTTGGTCATGGTGAATCTGAAGCGGGTGGACTCAATCACGGCTTCGACATCCGCATTTGCCACGACATGGGCAGTGTCCTGCGGCTTTGACCACCCGATTACCACCGAGTGGCGGTTAGCGAATGTGGCCTCGGACACGACAGTGTAGGTAATGTTGACAGAAGGGTCTCTGAGCATTGTTAGTAGTGTAATCGCATAACCGAGACATGGGGGTATATTGTCTCGACTTGCCTGGAACGGCAGGCTTCCTCCAAGATGCGTTTAGGGCTGACACCAGTCCATTTGGCAAACTCTCGAATAACCAGCCGTGCTCCGTCGGCAGAGTTGACAACGGTCTGGATCTTTCCGGTGGTCGGGTCGACCTCGCTCTGTGGAAGTGACTCGAACAAGCCCGTAATGTCTTCGTCCTCGTTGTTCTCAGCCAGGAGTTCCTTTGCCATTTGCTCGGCTATAGCAGTGATGTCGTCGTCTGCTTCCGGCGTGGGCGTGGCATCTCCGGGCTGAGGCTGGCTGCTTGAGTCAATGGCAGCCGTCTTCCTAGCCAAAGCAAGTTGCTTTTCCAGGTCGACCTTGTCCTTCTTCCACTGTTGCTCTGCTAAGAACTTGTCGAACAGAACATCGGATTCTATTGTCCTCAGTTTGGATTCCAGATAAGCCACCGATGCCGCATTCGATTCGTCTTCCTTTTGTTGCTTGGCGTTTTTCGATGTCTTTTCCAGGTAGCTCAACTCGAGTAGCTTGGCCTTCGTGGCAACGTATTCTGGTATCAAATCCTCCGGTTCGATGTCGCCGTTGAATGTCGCACTTGGATGGGACCGTGTCTTGCTCGACCGTTGGTTCGGCGCGTTGTTCTTCTCATTCCGAGTGGCTTGATTCGAGGTCAACTTCGGGGTGCTCGTGCGAGAAGGCGGGGCAGATGTTCCTTCGGTAGCGTCTGGATATAAGGAATTAGAGAAAGGTCATGATCGAATACTCCAGAGAAGCTGACCTTTGGGGGCCGCCTTGGACCTGTTGCCGTACGAAGGCAGCTCGTCCGGCGGAGATTCACGAGCCAGCCACTCGAGGGCTTCCTCCAGACCCCAGATGTAATCTCGAGGGGCCGGCGATATATTCGGTGCAATGTCCAAGATGTGTCGAACAGCATTGTCGACAATGTGTGCAGAGAAGCCGGCGCTGGTGAGTGTCTGCTGCAGCGTCCAAATGCGTGACACCAGGTCTTCTTCAGACGGCATCTTCCCAGGCCCAGCATTCTCGGACGAGAGGCTGGACGCATAGAACCGGCTCTCGGCCTTGATGAGGTCCAGGATATGATCCATCAACTCCCGCGGCAGCCATTTTTGTGTGTTAAGGTTCTCGGCTTGGCTCCGTAGCAGGCGTCGATCAGTCTCCAGCCGCAAGCATTGGCGCTGGGCATCTCGCTTGACCTTTTGGGCGTACTTGTCTACGAACAGCTGCAGCTCGGATTCCTCGAGCTGCCGTTCAAACTCCTCGGGGCTCAATTCGACTTTCTTGGAGGCCGCATGCTCGCCACTCTGCTCTGCGGGCTTCGACTGCGACGAGGGGCCATCCGATGCTGCTGCTGGAGGGGCAGTCTTGGGAGTGTTGACGCCCGAGGAAGGCTGAGACCCTGTCGGCTCTGCTACCTCCAGGCGAGGTTTAGACGCAACGGATGTCGTGGCGAAGCCTCGCGCCGGGTTGGCTGCTGGCTTCTTCTTTTTCTTTGCGCCAGCCATGGTGAGGCCCGGATACTGTAAGGTGACGATGAAGGACGGCCGATATCAGCAAGGTGGGCAGTTGAAGGACAGGGGCATACAGAGTGCAGGATGCTAAGATAAGGCGGCAAACACTAGCGCAGCAAATGTTATGTATGATGCTGGCTGCGTTTGCGTGATGGTATCAGGTTGATCAGCTACCCGATAACAACAAACACATGTTTTGGATGGGGTCATCAAAGCACTATCAGCATATCATGTAAACATACCCTTCTACCTAATTGAACAACAGACGTATAGTCTTGCAGAAAGAAATAGAAAATAGAAGAAATGAATAATTGGATAGTAGATAAAAAGCTGAGTAAGGAAATAGTAGTAATAATACTATGGTATATACTAGGCACTATAGCTGCATTGTGTTTTTTCTCCTCGGGGCTTGTATGAGTAGATGTCATCGTGTTATCTATATAGAACGTGCTTATAAGGTATATAACAATAGCTGACATGCTCTCTCAGGCAAGTATCTCCATTTGAGTCACTACCTTATTAGGTACTAATATCTGCGTACCTTATCATGAAGCAACCAGAAGCTGAGCATGTGAATGTATGATATACCTACTAAGGTATACTCGCGAGATGTGTGATACCTGCCGGGTACCTGAACGCATAAACGCTTGATGCCCGGTTAATGATGCAGGTCCATGTACTTTGCAGCCATCCAGTAACAATATTTCTATGACAAGTGCCGAGTGCTCAACCTCCAGCCACCCCATAATAGAGTCTATCCAACTCGACCAGGCTGGAACCCTGGCCCTCCGCACGCCAAATCACCTCCCCGGCATCATCACCAGACTTGCCGCGCCGAACTCGCTTCAACGGCCCCTCAGCTCCCGCTCCAGCTGTCATAGGAAAAAGGCTTTTTTCCCCATCCTTGCCTGCATGGCGCACTACACTATTAGATTGTGTAGGCTAGCGCATCCAGCCCAGACGCTGATACCTGCGCCTCCTTTGCCTGCTGGCTCATCGACGTCCCGGCATCTTCGCACCAGCTGGGCCATTTGGGCCATACAGCGCCCCTGTGGACTTCTCATAGCCAGCTGACCGCAAGCTGAAAAAAACTCTTCTGCAAATGTCTCCCGAACGAACATCCTCTGGCATCGTCCCAGACAGCGGCGCACAAGACTGTTGATCGTATCGTTTATACACCAGAGCTTCGTTCGGCTGCCTAGCCCGTGCTTTCTTCTGCCTTGACTGCCCAGCTTGGAAGGGCGATTCCGGATCGGTTCATGAACCCAGGCGTCTCGTTTCCCTCTGTGCTGTCCGCTTGATCGTCGGAATCGTTCAGTTGGATACAATGTTCGCCTTCGATCCGTCGGCGCTGCCCCAGCTCACAACCCGCAAGGCTCTCATAGTGGTTGACCTCCAAAACGACTTTGTTGATGCCGTTGACGGCGGATTGCCAGTCACGCAACCCGATGGATTCGTTGACCGCATAGTCGAGGTGGCAAATGCCTTCCGTTCGGTGGGCGACGTTATCTGGGTGCAGTCTCAGTTCGACAAGGCCCGTGAGATCGATAGCGACCAGATCATACTGTCCGCCAACACGCCAACGTCACAAAGCAAGTCCAAAAGCCCGGCCACCGAGGCTTCTTCTGATGACTTGTCGGATGCTGAGGCTTTTCTGAGTCACGAGGAGCCGTCTTGCGTAAAGCCGTCTCATCCAGGGTGCAGCATGCCTCCGGTCGTTGCCGAGACTGTCCGCAAAAGCGATATCAAACTGATAAAGTCTCACTACTCCGCGTTTCATGGTACCCATTTGCTACGCTCTCTGCGCGGCAAGATGGTCATGGAAGTCTTCATCTGCGGCTCCCTGGCCAACATCGGCGTCTTTGCCACCGCCATGGATGCGGCGGGCCATGGAATGGCCATTACGGTTATCAAGGATTGCTGCGGCTATCGTCACGAATCCAGACGGATCGCAGCAATGAAGAGCTTGGTTGAGCTGACTGGCTGCGAGTTCATGTCCTCACAAGAGGTTCTCAGCACCTTGCCGCCGGTTGAGCCAGAGACCAAGGTGTCACCTGAGGCGCCAAAACGGGCATCAGCAAAAGCAACAGGCATCAGCACGGCTGAAGATATTACTCAGTCCCTGCTGGAACTCAAACTGGATCCCAGCACATCTAGTCCCGCCGAGGCTGCAAAGAAAACAACACCGGAGCCGGCGTCAAAGAACAAGTCTCAGGGTTCCGAGACGGCCAACGCACCGGAACAGCCTACTGATAGCAACCCCGAGCCCCCAGTCGAGGATGACACGGCGAAAGCTGTTGATCCTGACAATGAACCGCATGCTTTGCCCCAAAAGAAGCTCTGCGAAGGCGATGCCGATGTCATTATGAATGCGTTGCCAAGCGACCTAGCAGAAGAAGCGTTTGAAAAGCTGGAAAAGGAGGTGCTTTGGCAGCGCATGTCACACCAAGGTGGCGAGGTTCCTCGGCTGGTTGCCGTTCAAGGCGAGGTGAGCGAAGACGGTACCATGCCGGTCTATCGCCATCCCGCCGATGAATCCCCGCCGCTGCATCCCTTCTCTCCAACGGTTGAGGCCATCAAGGTCGAGGTAGAGAAGCATCTCGGCCACCCCCTGAACCATGTCCTCATACAATTCTACCGTGACGGAAACGACTACATCTCCGAGCATAGTGACAAGACCTTGGATATTGTCAAGGGGTCGTACATTGCCAACCTCAGCCTCGGAGCAGAAAGGACCATGACTCTAAGGACTAAGAAGCTAGATAAGGGTCTTTCTGGAGAGGCATCCGACGATGGAAGGCGTAAAATACAACGAGCGAAGCTGTCTCACAACTCTCTCTTCCGCATGGGCTTACAGACCAATATGAAATGGCTCCATGCCATCCGACGCGACAGACGAGCAGACCGCGATAGGTCTGACGCCGAGCTGGCCTATGGCGGTCGCCGTATATCGCTCACGTTCAGGCACATTGGCACGTTTCTGGACCGTGACGAGACCATCATCTGGGGCCAGGGAGCGACCGGCAAGACTCGCGACGCTGCGCACGCCATCAAGAACGGCCAGAGCTCCGACGCCGTAAACATGATCCGGGCATTTGGCATGGAAAACCATGCGTCCGACTTTGACTGGGACGCCCATTACGGCGGCGGCTTTGACGTGCTACACATTAGCAACTCGCCGAGGTTCTTTGCCTCGGCGGATCCCGTGGTCAACATGCGGATTGTGCTCATGCTGAATGAATTCGGCATCAAGTTCGCCAAGGGGAGCATGGCCTCTGGTGCAGACGCCCACAGCAGCAGTCAAGGCAGCCCGTCAACGTTCTGGTCGCCGCCCATCAAGTTCGTCGACAACGACGCTGCCCGATCCGTCGTCCAGGGCGACATGGCCATCATGCTGTATCTGCACTCTCGGTATGGCCCCGGCCGCAGTACCGAGGCAGGCTCCGCTTCAGACAATCTAGAGAAGCTTGCCATCCTCTACAGCCAGCTGCAGCAAGGGCTCAATCTCTTGCCCATCTGGCGGCAAGTCAAGGGCGAAGGCGCTGTCCCCGGCGGAGCATTGCCCGGGAAATTGAAGCAAGAGCTTACCGTTTGGGAGGGCTACCTTGCCGACAAGGCCAGAGACAAACATCCCGCGTTCCTCTGCGAGGACACTCTGACCCTGCCTGATTTTGCCACATGGCCAGTCCTGCATGCCATCGTGGAAGAGTATGGCCTTGACGCGACGTTCAAGGGCCTGACAAGATTGCGAACCTATTATGAGACTGTTCGACAACTGGAGACTGTCGCTGCGGCTCTTGGGAGTCAGTAGCTTTACCTGGCCGTTTAGTACGAGAGAGGGCACTTTTGCTGTGTTCCGTTTTCCCCTGGAGTGTATTAGCAAACACCCACCCTTTGTTTCCTTTCACTGTCCTCCATCGTTACTTAGAAGCACTCACTTTTGTTTTTGTTCAATCCAGAGCGGAGCGGACCCGCAAGGGTTATGTTTGACTACATCAAAGCAATATGGCACTCTTGCTTTTCCTACCTTTCCCTCCTTTTGCTTTTCACTCAGAGTGTGCCTCCATGTCTGTATATGAACGCCCCCCTTTTGTAGCTACACAAGCGACCATTGGACTTATAGCAAAAAATATATATATGGCACGCAACTAGTCAGATCATAACCTTTTGTAAACCTCTTATATGAAGACGACAGTCACTTGACACATCATGCAAGGTAGCTTTGGAGAGGAATTTACTTTATTCGACCTTTTGCATCTACTGAGTTGAGTCCCAAGGGAGAGGATACGTGCCTACCCAGTCCGCGACTTCGCTCCTCAGCTGCACAATCTCCGGATCTCCATCCCCGTTGCCAAGGTGCTCTACGAACAGCTTGAGTTTGCCAGGCGACTTCTCACCTCGCTCCTCTGCTGCGGCCCTGACCGTCTTGTTGATGCGCGTGGCAATCGTGACGGCGCGGTCAACAACATCAGCCACTCGTACGAAATCATCCTCGTGGAACCCGCGAGTCGTCATGGCGGGCGTACCCATGCGAAGACCACCGGGCACAAGAGCCGATCGATCGCCCGGCACGGTGTTCTTGTTGGCGGCGACGCCGACGAGCTCCAAGACGCGCTCTACTCTGCTGCCGTCGATGCCGTGGGGCTTGAGGTCGACAAGCACCAGGTGGTTATCGGTGCCGCCACTGACGAGGCTGTATCCAAGGCCGCCTTTGCCCTTCTCCTCGCCCAGCCGCTTGGCAAAAGCCTTGGCATTCGCCAGCACTTGCGACTGGTACGCCTGGAACTCTGGGGTTTGTGTCTGCTTCAGGGCCACGGCAAGGGCAGTGATGGTGTGGTTGTGGGGGCCTCCCTGATGGCCGGGGAACACCGAGTTGTTGATGGGTCCTTCGAGGTTGTACAGTTCCTCCTCCTTGGTCTTGGGGTTCTGCCTGCGCACACCCTTGCGGAAGAAGATCAACGCTCCGCGAGGCCCGCGGAGACTCTTGTGGCTGGTGGTGGTGACAATGTCTGCGAAGGGGAAGGGGCCGGGCAGCACTTTGGCGGCAACGAGACCAGAGATGTGCGCCATATCTGCCACCATGTAAGCGTTAACCTTGTCGCAAATCTCGCGGATGCGCTTGTAGTCAATCAGGCGGCTGTAGGCACTCGTTCCGGCAACAATGATCTTGGGCCGGTAGATGGAAGCCATCTTCTCGAGGTTGTCGTAATCGATGTAGCCGGTGCGCTCATCTAGCTGGTACGGCAGGGTCTCAAAGTACTTGGACACGGCAGAAATCTTCTTGGTCGGCGTCTGGTAGCCGTGAGATAGATGTCCACCGTGAGGAAGGTCGAGGCCCATCAGTCGGTCGTGGGTATCCATAAGCGCCGAGTACACATAGAGGTTGGCCGGAGCGCCAGAGAGAGCTGAAGACGAATCACCGTTAGAGGAGGTGCTAAAGGGGAAACCCTCTCGGTCGCCATGATGAACCTGCCTTGAACATTGACGCCCCATGACTTGGGATCGAGGCCAAATGCTTCTAGAGCTCGCTGCTGGCACAGCCTCTCGGACTGGTCGATGAACTCGTTACCACCATAATACCGTGCGCCAGGGTAGCCCTCAGAGTACTTGTCTGCAGGCACCGTTCGTCAGCTAGCCGATTCTTATATGATACATCTTGCGGCGTGGTGTGTCTTCCAGCTGTAGGGAGGCGCTTACTCTGCATGACACTCCCCAGAGCATCCAGCACGGCCTGCGAGGTGAAGTTCTCGGACGGGATGAGGTTGATGAAGTGCTTCTGTCGGTTTTTCTCCTGCTCCAAGGCTCAGCATGCGCCACAACAAGCTGCGCGGGTTTCTCAAGCGGAATTTCAGACGGACTCGTTCGATGATGTCAAACACGGCCGGGTCGGCCTTTGCCAGATGCGCCGAAAGAAGCTGTCGGGTTCCTCTAGTTAGCATCGCAAGAGCCCTTTTGCCTGCCACTGCCAATGGGAATTGAATCGTCGCCGACCTGCTGTTGGCCATCCTGGGCGAGCGAGGCCTTTGTCCGTCGAGCACCGAGACATGCCGTGGCCGCAGACGGCCTCGCTGCCAGTCTTTTCAGGCCGCCGAGGGGAAGCGCCGTGCTTCGCAGATAAGAGGCTGCCATGGTGGTCTTGAAACAAGTTTCGACTGCGAGTAAGATAGAGGGGCAGAGGGGGCAGAGGGACACAGAGAGAGAAAGAAAGAAAGAGGGAGGGAAGAGCAAAGAACTGCGCGCCTGCGACAGCCGCTTATTGTTGTCGTTGTCGTTGTCGTTGTTGTTATATAGCGGCCAACTGTCCGCCAAGAAGAGGTGCAGGATGCCGGCGATGCTTGCCGGTCACGCAAGTCCGAATCAGCGCGGTCCAGAAAGCGGCGCCCGTGCCCTGACCGTGGCTATCCGTCCTGCCATAGTCTCGTCCCATCACCCCACACATGCGAGTTACTAGTACTACCTATTACCTACGGGCAACGCCTGTGCTTGCAAGTGCTAATTGAACGGCCTGGCCATTGAGGCTATTATTGTCCTTTACAGCGATGGGTACAAAAGCAGAAAGATCAGTAATGGAACAAGCCTTACAAGGCCTCACAAGAGGGGGTACTTGATACCATGCGTTCGGTCCCATTCATTCAAACAACCAAAAGGCGCCCGCATCCATCCCTCATCGCACAATAATCGAACTATTACTAGGTACTAGGTAGTAGTATCTTAGTACTAGGTACGCATGCTGCCTCCATTCTGGAACAACTTCACCCGCATCACGGATCAACAAAGCACACCGGCGATGCGCGTCGGCTTATCCTTTTCCCGCTCCCCCACAAACTCCCCGCTACTCACAATCAAAGAGATCCATCACAGGTCCGATCGACCGGCCTCAGCTCGAAAAACCACGTTTGGTAGTGTCCTAGACCAGTCGCCAATAATGCTCAGATGAGTAACCAGTAGGTACAGTATCGTCCTGTGAATCTGGTTTTTGATGCATCACTCGTGATCCTGCTTGTGTAAAGTAATGTTTGCGAGAGTAGGAAGCTACTACATCTTCTCAGTGACACAATTATGAGACAACAAGTTAAGTCTATAGCGACCTACCTCAAGAAGCCCTCTTACTATCTACCAGACACCTAAGGTAGGGGGCAGCCAGTCCATCTCCTCGTAAAAGTCGTCCAGCAAATCGTCAAAAAGTCACAGCCATATCCTGACAGACAAAAAGAGGTTCATCAACCACATGGTTTGCAGCACTGGTGGGGCGGACAAACACCTCGAGCATTTACCATTCCATTTTTTGTTTCAATGCTACATGCCACAAACCCACCGGTACGACTGTAAAAACCAGAAGGGCGTAGAAAAAAAACCCAACCCGTAGACTCCAAATGCAGCCCCTCAGACCGAGAATGTCCTTCACAACTGGTTTTACTCGTCGCCGACCATCAGAGCATTTCGCTTCGCCGCCACCCTCTCCAACTTGCGCTCACGGGCGGCCTTGGTCTTGGCACGCTTGGCGTCCATCTCGTCCTTCAGAGCCTTCTCACGCTGCTTCTCGGCCTTGGCACGGTGGATCTAGAACAAGACAAGATTGTTAGCACAACATTATCCTCTCGCAAACTCCAGGCTGCGCTCTCAGCCTTTCAACCCCCCCCAACAAAGATAATGGACGGATAGAAACGTACGTGCTCCACCAGAGCACGCTTGTGCTTGAATGTGTTACCCTTGCTCAGGTGGTAGAGCTCGTGGTAGAGGTGCTTGTCGATCTTGCCGCTGGCACGGTACTTGACCAGGAGGCGTCGGAGGACTCGGAGGCGGCGCATCCAGAGGACCTGGCTGGGCATACGAGCATCGGCGGTACCCTTCCTCTTACCGAATCCACGGTGTCGGCCTTCTCTTCGGGAGAGGTTCAGCTCGCGGGCTCGGGATCGCGAGTGCATCGTCACCGGCTTTCGGATAATGAGGCCATCGGCGACGAGCTTTCGGATGGTCTGGCGGGAGTTGGCGTTGGAGATCTCGCTCTGCTCGCTGGGATCAAGCCAGATCTTGCGCTTGCCGCAGCCGATGACCGACGCGGCGAGGCGCTTCTGAGTTCGCAGGTTGACCCTACATCATGGGAAAGCACAAGGTTTTTTTTGTCAGCAATCACACAATCTTTTGCTGGTTGGAGTCATCGGCTTCGGCGAGGGGCTGTCGTCTTCATCGCCCAATTCTTTCCGTGCAGCGTGCGAGGAAGCGTGGGCTTACATCTTGAATAACTTCGGTATTGATGGCCGGCCCTCGATGGCGATGAGGTTGGATGAAGTTTTGGGGGGGGGAGGGTTTACGAAGTGCTAGAATTTCCAGCGGCCGGTAGCAGTTCTGCTGAAAGTTTGTGGGTTCACGTGCACTAGACCCGGAATTTTAGCACAACTTTCAAAGAGTGGGCTAAGCGAGGGCTCTGATGAGTAATGGCTTGGCACTCGCAATGCCTGTATCACGTGATCAGTTGAGCTCCGGACGGTGGATCTCCGAGATTTTGCCCTAGAACGGCAGCGCTCTTCCTCCGTGCCGCCGTACACGTACATACCTGTATGTACGGTACTGTCCTCTGCCTGAGCTCTTCAACGGACATCGACGGACCGCCTCAAATATACTTTGATATACAGTATGAGACACAGGCGGTGTCGATCAATATGCCCGAGACAGGCTGTCGGTGGCTGCGCTCAGGCAGAGCTGAGAATAGATCTTTCTATGGTCAAGGAGATGGGTACCTAGCTAGAGCCCTCTGCTGCTGTGCTTCTTCCAGGCCAAAAGCCGCTCACACAAGGTTCTCCTGAGTTCTATGCATTGTATACTGGAGTGCTATGATGCCCGTAAATGCTACGATAAAACTTTTTGATTCCGGTCACATGTCGTCTACATTTGTTCTACAAGATCCTTTGCTTCTCCCCCTGGCACCACCATAGGTACCTATATACATGCTTCCGCTCACACAACCGCCTCGCCTCCGTCGATTTCCACTTTGCCAACGCTCCATATCTCACGCTCATCCTCCAACTCATCATTGGAGAGACCCAGGCCTCCCTGCCCTCCCTCTGCCTCTCTCCTCTCCCTGGCTTGCACGCCCAGCCTCATGGCAACCCGCTTGAAGTAGTCGCTCATACTCCTCTTCACGTTCGGAGGCAGTTCGTTGCCTGGTCCTGCCATGTACTTATCGAATATCCGGCTTTCCTCGTCCGCGACACTGAAGAGCTCGATAAAGGCCGCCTCGGCAGATAGCTTGACTGGAATCACAGGATCCCTAACACTCGCGAAAATCGGCGGTGCTAAAAGAGATACATGAGGTCGTACCAGATCGGCATTCTTCCGGCTCAATGTGCGAATGATCACCAACGCGAGCCGCCGCGAGTCTGTAGCGTTTCCGGGCTGAACAACGGCTGCCAGCGTGTCGAATATCTGCTTGATGTCATCAAATGACTTTGGAGGCGAAGAAAGCAGCAGCTTGCCCGTAGCAAGGATGAAATTGTCCGCAATGAATGTCTGCGCAAAGGTTGTAAGTCTATTGGCTCATACAAGGCATCACTCATCACTTCACTGGAAGCACTTACCCTCTTGTCCTTCATCCCCCCACAGAGCAAGCCTGGCAATTCGTCCATTATACCGCTTGACTGCAGGATGCTTGGTGACTCGACCAGAACCGCGTTCAAGGCCAGTGCGGAAGAGTGGCTCAATTGAAGTGTGATGACTCTGTTCCTGAGCAAGCTCGTAGCAACGTCGTCGGCCACATTCTTAATCAAGGCGCCGAGGAGCTTTGCATTGGTGACCACCATGGCCTCGTCTCGCTCGTCAGCATCCGCGTCAATCAAAGACAGCACGGCGGATCTGGAGGATTCTCCCATGTTTGCGCCAGCTCTGCTCACAACCTCGTACAAGGCCTTGAACATTGCTGTCCTCACACCCGGATCAGTGGTCTTTGCTCCCGTGACCAGCTCGGTGATCAGGGGGTCGATGCGAGGCGTGTAGTTGATCAGAGTTCCCAGAGCCTTTGCTGCCCTGGTCCTCAGAACCTCACTTGAGGGGTCGGCCAACGACTTGGCAAAAGTACGCTGGAGCTGAGGTAAGAAAGGCTTTAGCGCTGTTGGCATCTTCTCGAGCAAGTTGTTCAACGTGAGCAAAATGGCCGATTTGACCTCCGTAGCACGTTCTGACACCACACGAATGAGCGGTCCTGTGATTTGCGTAACAAATGGTTTCAGTGACGCCTCGCTAGTTCGGTCCACAATGTCCGAGATACCGAGTGCCGCCTGCACCCTTTGCTCGACAGTTCCGTTGATGAGGCCCTGTAGGAAGATTGGGAGGATGGCGCTGATGCCCTTGGGGAGTTCGAAGCCGCGCAGGTTGGCACCCGCAACACCAACGCGCTGGAGTGTCTGTCGAGTCGACACAACGAGTGACTCCATTTCTTCCTTCTTGAGCCTCTTGGTGAATTCCGCAAGCGCGGCCCAGGCAGCCTTCACCACATCCATGTCTCCGTCATCGAACGAGTTCAACAGCGACCGAATGATATCCTGGTTATATCGCGAGTAGTCAACACTCGACACGGCGAAGAAATTTCTCAAGTGTCGAGCCGTAGCAGCTCTCCGTCGATGATCCTCATGTTTGAGCAGGCCGAGAAGGACGTTCATCACCGTATTAAGGCCGTCGTACTCGTCGATCGACTGGATCACAGTGTCGAACGATGCTGCCAGCTCCTCTCGCAGATCCTCGTCAGTACAGTTGATTTCGTTCTCCATCAATGACTGGATTATGTTAGGGAGTCGGCGGTTCATAGCTGCGCCGGCAACCTTGGACAGGGAAGCCAAGGCCTTTGCATCAAATGCCGAGATCGGTGGGGTCGTCAATGTCGGAATGAGATTCGGTAGAATGATGTTGGACCGGGTGGCCTCAGTAAGCAGCGTCAAGAGCGCCGACAAGGCATTCTCCGCCTCGGTCTCGGATCGTAGGAGATTCAGTAGGAACGGAAGAACTTGGTCAACTGCCCTCTTACCAAAGATCTGCTGAAGGGAATCAAAGGCTTCGGCCGCAGCCTCTCTGACCTCAGCATCTGAGTCAATGAGAGCAGTGCGGACGACCGAAATGAGGGTCTTGTCATGTTCCTCGAGTGACTCCGGAGACGCTGACGAGATGAGCTCGCGCAGAGCAAGACAGATACCTTGCTTCGCATCGGTATCCGTGGACGTTTGCAAGCCCCTCTCCAGAGTGGGCAGCAGTGTGGCGAGGACACCATCGCCGGCTTTCCTGATCAGCTCACCAAGCGCGTTACTGGCAATGACCTTGTGCTCCATGTTGGAGCTTCCGAGTCGCTGGATCAGGAGCTTCGTAAGAGTTGGTACCAACTCCTTCAACGTCCTAGGACTGTGGACCAGAGCCTTCCACACTGAAATGGCAGCAGACCGGACCGCCCCAGCAGTGTCGCATCGGCAGATGTAGAGGGTCGACAATATCTTGTTTCGCTTCTCCTCACCGAGTACTTCCTTGAGGGAGGCACTTGCTTCTTTGACGTTTTCGTCTTCCTCGTCCCCTGGTTCCGCGCCAGCTTTCACACCCGTGAGGTTGAAGAGCAGATCACCAACCAGCTCGACGGAGCTGAGACGAATTCTGTAGCTGTCATCTGCCAGTCCTCGCTCCAATTCCGGCAAGAGAAGGTCTACAGCTCGAATAGCGAAATTCTTGACAAGCAATCGCCCGGCACGGAGAGCTGTTTCGCGAATGGACTCCACGTCATCTGCAAGGCCCGCCAGGATAGGGGGAACAATTCGGCCCAGGTATGCCGAGAAACTGTTACCAAAGCAGACCGGGAGGAAGATGAAAAGCGACATGAAGCCTTCGCGGACTGCTGGTTTTGATGACTCGACATTCTGGAGAATAGTCGGCAGAGTCTCCTCGAGTCTGCTCGTGCCCAGGCCGGCCAGGACTTCACTCAAAGCTTGCGCGGATCCAAGGCGGTCGCCGGCGCCAGTATCGGACTTCAAAGTCTGCATCAACTCGGGAATCAAGTTCGGCAGTGAGTCCTCTCCCAGCTTCTCGACCAGAGAGCCGAGAGCCCTGGATGCTGTCGCGCGAGTCGTCGGCACCGGGTCAACGGCTGCAAGTTTCAGGCCGGAAACGAGCACCGGGAGATGCATGACAATGTCCTTCTTCTCCGTCAGATGGGCCAGACTACCAATCACCTGTGCTGCCTTGCGTTTTGTGTTGGAACGATCGCCTAGGCCGCGTTGCAGGATGCGGGTGATCAAAGCCAGAGAGGGTGCGTCAAGGTAATGCACGAACTGGACCTTGATCAGGGCATCCAACGCCTCATCAGTGTACTTGGTTGGGTCACTGAGAGCCTTCAGTATCACGTCGACCAAGCTCTTCACTTCAGGATTGTTGATGACATCACCAAATCTCTTCAAGCTTCTGTTGGCGGCAGCCCTGACTTCCTTGTGGCTGTCATTCAGCACAGCAGTCAGAGGAGGAATGATGTCGGGAAGGCTGGTCGCGAGTTGGTTCGGATCAAGGTATGCCATTGCGCCGAGTAGATCGCAGGCGCCTCGCTTGCTACGCCACTGCTGGTCGTCGAGCCCTTCCAAGAGCGTTGGCATGATCTTCTTGACACCATACGAGCTCAGCTTACCAAAGCAAGCCTTTGCGGCCGCCAAGCAAGCATCTCTGACGTCGGCGTTGGCATCTCCGAACCCGCTGAGGAGCAAGGGCACTATTTGAATGACATAGGGTTCGAAGAGACGGCCCAGCATAGTAGATAGAACTTCAAATGCCACGAGAGCAGCCTCTCTTTGGTGTGAATCCTTCTTGTTCTCTAGGGCTGACCGAAGGTCCGACATGATGCGGAACTCTTTGATGGTAGAAATGCCTCTACCAAGGATCAAACCTGCCAGACCGTATGCAGCTCCTCGTTGGGTCGCATACTTCTTGGAGTTCAGAAGCTCGTTCATCATTTGCTGGACATACTCGGGCAGCTTTGACGGGTAGGCCTTGATGAGAGGAGGCAGACATTCAGCAATCGCGTACTGTACCATTTCGGATGGCGTATTCAAGGTTGCCAAGAGTCGCTCAATCACAACAGGGATCTTTTCGTCGCCCGGCTGGAGATGGCGAGCCAAAGCGCCATACATGATAACCACTGCCTCGTTGACACGGTCGGCTTCGTCGCTGTTCTTGTCGGGCTGCTCCAGGGTCGATTCGAACTTCTTCATCAGCTCATCGATGATGCTGCCACCCTGGAATTCGATCACCCTGATGGCAGCATCGAGCGTTTCTGATCGAACAGAGGCATTCTTGTCCGCTAGAGGTCCAGACTGAATCATGAAATCCAACAGATGGCCAGCCTGCGAAGAATCCAGGACATCGGCCAGTTCCTTGAAGGCGGTGGCAATGCCGTGCCTCGCTTCCCACGGGTCTGACAAGTCCATCTTCTTTGGCATTCCGAATTCGTCGAGTAGCTGGACCTTTGGCTTGGCCATTTCCAGATAGATGGACTCGAGCGTCTGGATCACAGTCTGGAGGGTTTCCCTATGGACTTGCGCCGCCTTTGCAAGAGAACGAGCCGCAGCTCGGCGGAGTTGTCCGTCTTTGCTTTCGAGGAATGGCACCATGAGCATAGGAAGTTCGGCTGTGATTGTAAACCCGCTCTCTTCCCAGATCTCCGTGCCCAGCTCTCGATTTTCCTCTATATCGTCATGACAAGCCAGCCAAATCTCGCTACTGGAGCCCAGTTCACTCATGTCGACATCTGCGCTGATGGACTGCAACACGGCAGTTCTGACGTTGGCCTGTGGTACTGTGGCCCCCCGGGCAAGGACCATCATTTCTTCAGTACTGATGTTTGGTGCGATACACCGGCAAATGTCAGAAAAGCAGTCCTTGATGAGTTTGTAGTGTTGGGCATGGTTCTGCATCGAGAGGATCAGGACGCTGAGGAGCTCTGCGCGCGGTATTGACTCCTCAGCAAAGGTGATACTGTGGAACGAGATGAACTCGACGGCCAGGACAATTTGGGTATCTCGATCATCCAGAGTTGCGCCGACACCTCCTTCTCTCAAGATATGGAAGAGCAGCGGGAAGATGTATATCAAGGACACCGCGTCAAACGGCCGCTGCTCGCCGGCAAACCGGAGCTTATACAGCACCCTCGTCGTAAGATCGGCAAGTTCTTCGTCTCCATATGCCCCCGGCGGGGACAGGTTTCGAAGCCTGAGCGTGGCAATGCCAATCGCAGGTCGAATGGGCCCCAGTCGGGAGCTCACCTTTTCGGCGCAGGCGATGTAGACCTTGGATGCGGCATCGCCTACGATGAGGCTTGCGCCAGCTTCCATGACAGCAAGGAGTGAACTTATGGCAGAACCGAGCCAGAGTGTTGCATCAGTTGGCGGCCCAATAGCCAACGAGTGGATGATGCCAACGCCACGGAGAAGCCTGGCCTCGATTGCTTGAACCGACGCTCGAATCTGAGCCTCTTTCTTCAATTGAGCGTTCACTTTAGACGTCTCTTCGGCAGTCAGTTTCCGTTGCGGGCCTTTCTTCTTTTCAAGCTGCTCTCTCAGCTCCATTTCCCATTTCAAGGTATCATAATCCTTGACATTCTTGTTGATGGGCTCGTTTTGTCCTTTCTTGCTTAGCACATCCACGAAGCAGGTGCCTTCTGGGGTTCTGAAGATGGCGGCATCGACAGGTCCGATTGCGCTCACGGGCTGCGGGTCAAGATCTTGTTTGATAAGGTCCGTGAGTCGGGGGATGATGGCTTCTGGAGCAACGAAAGCCAACTCTGCCGCAGCACGGTATGCAGCAGTACGGATGACATCGGCCTATGAGATCTCGTCAGCAAAATTCTCACCACTTAGACATTTGGAGACCCGGTCATACTTTTTGGTGAACTGATGTCCGTTCGCTAATCTCATTGAGTAGTGTGTCAGCGTGTTTGGTGGCAAGTCTTCCGGGATCGATGCCCATTCGAAGGCAGGAGTCTATCCAAGAAGCACGGGGTATCAGCTCTGCTCGGCAGAGAATGAGGAGGGAACAAGCTTGGTGCTCCAGTGTCTCTTCTGAGACCGTGCCCCCAAGTGCTTCCAGTTCCTTGGAGCTGATGCAAATCGCTTTCAGAGCCCTGATCAAATCGCGCGTCTCGGTAGCCAAATCTTTGTCCCCGGCATGAATAGTCTGCATCAGGTGAGACCACAGACCATTGATGATGACATCTGCTATGACACTAGGGTTCTGAGCATAGAGGGAGGAAAGTGATTTGGCACTCTCTTGTCGCACATTTGAGGGAACAGTGGAGGCTGTGACGAGATGTATGAAAGCCTCAGCCCACGCTAGATCTATCTCCTTGGACTTGCTGCTAGCTAACTTGGTAGCAACAGAAGATAGAGCAAGACGGAACCAATGAGAGTCCTCCTCGATTGCGATCTTGTTAAAGATCTTGGAGTTGAGGAGGAAGGATTGTGGCGAGGCTAACGCAAGAGTTGGCGGCGACAGCTTCAACAGCTCAGATCCAACCTTTGAGTCAGCGAGCCATTGTTGTGTCCGAGGGAACAAAGCAGTAAGGATGTAGGCCCCGACTATGATGCCGCTCTGAGCAGTCAGCGTAGGATTGGCAACGACTTCATTGAAGTTGTCGACGAACTTTGGAATAACTGCTTCCGCGAAGGAAGACAAGGCAGCATTTGGGGCCAAGCCATCCACGGCGCGGAAGACAGAACCTACACGGAGAAGCCAGATCTTGCGAGTCGCCGCCTTTTTGTCCGCTAACCCCTTAAGAAGCACGCTCAGGACAGGCTGCGAGACTTCGCTGTTGCCCTGTAACAAGGCATTGATCGCTCGGCAAAGCGTCAATGTCTCGGCGGCCAACGCTACCTCGTTTCCTTCCTTGCCAGCAACGGTTGCCAAAGAAGTAGTCACCTTTTGGGCGCTTGGGCAAGTAAGGGGGATTGCCTGAATCATTTCTGCATGGAGAACACGTTGCTCAGCGGACGCCATCTTGCCCGCCTTCAGGGGTCCCCCAATCTCCTCGATGGTGTTGTCGATTGAGTCCGGCTCGTGGCATCTTGCAATAATGGCACGGAAAGAAGCAAGGACGCCATTTCGTATCGAGACGTTGGTGGATTTGACGTTTGAAAGTAGGAGTTTCAGGAGCTTGCCGGTCAGCAAGCTTGAGAGGTCGAATTCGGCTGGCAAATCTTTGACTAGGCTTTGGAGGACGCCGCCCAGGATTACTTCAGGAGTACGGAGCAAGCTCTTTTCCAGAGTTGGAACAACTTGGGTCTGGAACTCATCAAGCACCGCAAAGCTAGAGAAGAAGTCGCCCAATCCGGCTGCGATGTGACCCGGCAATGCAGTTCGAGAACCCAGAATTTCGCGATTATAGAACTCGTAGTACTTGGGCTTCAGGGATTCCAGCGTAGGTCGCACCACAGGCCGACGAGCAGCAACTCCAGCGATGACCCCCAAAATGACGGAGTACCTGGCAGTAGGCTTGCTGCGTGTCGACGTCAAGTTGGTCACGGCATCGATTACGTTGCGGGGGCCCGAGGTTGGGGAACTGAATAGTTTTCGAAACCCCCTTCGAGTGACTATGATGGCTGAATGGGCCACTGTGGGCCTGGAGGACGGCCGCACACACTTCTCCAAGGCATCTGCATATGCCAGCAGGATATCATTACCGAACGTTGCCCACGAAGCCTCGGACAAATGTTGCAGCAGAACGCTGCACCACTCGACCAAGACAAAGGCGCTGGAGGTGGCAATTCCCTGCTTCGAGGACTCCTGTTGTAGCGTCTGGACCAGTAGCTGAAGTGTCGATGAAGGAGCTTCCCGTGTGACGATTGATATCAGGCATTTCTGAGCGGCCAGCCTGGATTCGCGATCCTGGTAAGCGGCGTGGGTGTTGAAGAGGAGTTGTAGTGTTTGGGAGGAGAGCTCCTCGTCGGATGCTGTATCCAATGGTTAGCAAGTTCGAAGCTTGTCGAGGTCGGGGCAGAGGTGCAATGGTACGTTTCCGAGCCACTGCCTCGCCGAGAAGCTGCAGCTCAGCGATGCGCACAGCGGGAGAGGACGAGGCCAGAGCTTGGGCAGATCGAGCCAAGTCGATGGCGCCCTCGGCAGCATTGCCGCTGGGGGCACGTTCAGACATATCGATTCACAGCCCTGGCAGGGAGTGGCGGACAAGGCATCGGGGCCCTTGTGGTTTTTTTTTTTCCGACAGGTCGACGACGATTATCGTGAGTCGCGGAGTATGTAGTAGTAATTCTGCGAACTTTTGCCTTACCTCAGGTGTTTTAGTCCAGCTTTGCCCCGCAGCGACCACCGCAGAGTGCCCCGCACTAAGCCGTTCTGGTTCACCTGCTTGATCGCATGGATGGCTTCCAATTGCTTGAGCAGCCTTGAGGGCGTGCCTGGGTGGAAGCCATACCTACATATAGTAGGTATATCAGGTAAGGTAGTACTGGATATTAATACCTTACCAACTTACATACGATAGTTACCTTGTGTACCTAGCTCACTGAAGTGTGTGAAGTATCTGAAGAGTTGGCCCTCACACTATCAGAGACTCTTCAGCAGCGCAGGGTGCCATCATGGTTGACATCGTGGTTGACATCGTGGGAATACAAGTACTTTGCCTTTACTTCGATCTTTTGAAACACTGCGGGTTCAGCTGGCTATTCGGCAATTCTCTCTCCACCGCTGCCGTCTCCTCAACGACTGGAAACCCCCACGACATTAGGGGAAATGCTGGTTGAACGGCAGCACTTGTTCGGTGCAACCACTCTTCTCGTCAGAACGAGAGAGAAGTGATAGAAGAGAGAATCGCGGGAGACAGATCGAGGAGAGTCATTAAGGAAGATGAAACTATTGCATTGATTGCCGTATGTGGCTCAAGGTCGTAACGGCACCTCGGCCTGGTTGGTTCTGACATCTATCTGGGGACGGGCAGCAATGTTGCACGTTGCAATTGGGCGATTCTCTCAAGCATCGTGATGTGTCCGGGAAAGGGGAGTAGAGCCGCCACCAGCAAAGCCGAGGACTAGCTAGATGAATCGAAATGCTAATGTGAGCGGATGTTGACAATATCGCCACACGATAGTACTATTAGTACTACATAAGGTACCTGGCTGGCTCCAATCCCGTCTATACTGTATCACAAGGTACCTGTATGCTGCTCCTGGGTTGGGCAGTAGTGCTTAGCATCTCAAGCCCAGCTCATGCCCTTGAAGGGGGCTTGATTTTTATTCTGCTGCCTGGATGCACACAGGTGGCTTCGACTCCCGGCGAGCGTGACGCTAACTCGGCAACCCACTCTAAAACTTTTAAGGGGATGCCTGAAAGCTCCAGGTAAAAGAATTGGACCCCAGTGCAGATTCAGTCCGGAGCAGCGAGCCTGGGAACTTCGTCGAGCAAGGGGATTGGTGAGCAGAGGAATCATCCCGTATACAAACTTGGAAGACGTCGGCAGCTGGAGAACAGAAGGTGGAACGGCAGCTGGAGACACAATTACCTAGAACCACCGCCGGAGGGGCCAAGGGTCCGTCCTGACGGCAGCGTTTCTTCGCCCGCGGTCTTTGACGGAGACCAAGCGTCATGCACAACACCCTGTCGTCAGGATCCAGCACCGGCGGCAGATGATGGGTGTGTACTCGTAGTTGTATGTGGATTGCATTGGGTACGAGCAATATACATGTACATACCTACCGAGGGCACCAAAGCCAGAGAGGCCGTCATGCACAAGGCTTGCCTCCACACGTCCTCGTACTACCGGCTACTAGCAAAGTCTGTACATACAGTACTCGTAAGGTAGCTGGCCAGTTCGGATGTGTTCCGTGGAGCAAATCCTACCGATCGAAAAGATAGTCGCCTCCACCGTAATTCGAGGGCGGCGGCAACAGCGAGGTCAGGAGACATGCCCGTACATGCTGTAGGTACACGACAAAGGCGATACCGACACACTCGCGCGCAGCTATCGTGAGGTGAGATACATTAGTAGGCATAGATAGACGTATAAATAGAAGGCGGCATCCCCCCTTCTCCCGCCGCTGGGCTCTCGCAGACAAAACAGACATCCTCTCCCCAAGCTCAGACACACCATGGCTGCTGCGGTGAAATCGTCCTCGCTCATGCTGCGGCTTGCGGCTCGCCGAACCTTTGCCTCCGCGCCCGCCAGACGCCTGCCGCTGGCCGCTGCGAGGAAGTTCCATAGTGTGCCGCCGCCGCGGCAGGATAAGCCCGGCAGCCACTCTCGAACCGACGCCGAGGTCGAGTTCGAGTATCCTCCGGAGCATGAGCTTCCGAGCAGCGAGCCCGTCTCTGGCACCGGCGGCCAGTATGTCAAGCCTACGCTTGCCGGCTTCTCCCTCGATGGAAACGTCGGTGTCGTCACCGGCGGCGCAAGAGGGCTGGGACTGGTGATTGGCCAGGGAATGGTCTTCTCTGGCGCCGACCTGGCCCTCGTCGACATGAACAGTGAGATTCCGCGTGCCAGTTCCGGGTCGCTCGTACCCCAGGCCAGACAGCTGACGCAGCGACAGAGGAGGAGGCCGAGAAGCAGACGAAACTGCTCGTGGATGCCTTTCTCAAGGAGAACCCCAACGCAAAACGGTGAGTGAGCTGCCGCTCCGCTCTGCACGTAACACGGCTTTGCAGGCAGACGGCTGACACCCGGTCTAGCGTTCCCAAAGTGACGGCGCATTACGCCGACGTCTCAGATGCCGATTCCGTTGAGGCGTGTATCGCCGAGATCATCCAGCAACATGGCAAGATTGACAACCTGGTCACCTCGGCTGGCTTCACCGAGAACTTCGAGGCCACCAACTACCCCATTGATAGAGTTCGCAAGCTCTGGGGCGTCAACGTCGACGGCACATATCTCTTCGCTACATCGGTTGCTCGTCACCTCATGGAGAGGAAGAGCCCTGGTAGCATGGTCATGATAGGCAGCATGTCGGGGGCCATTGTCAACGTCCCCCAGCCTCAAGCGTGAGTCCCTTCCACGACGGAAAAAAGAAAGAAAGAAAAAAAGGAGACATGGATGAGCAGAGCATAAGACAGCTAACGGGTTGAACTGGACTAGGCCCTATAACGCCTCCAAGGCCGCAGTCCGCCATCTCGCGGCTTCGCTCGCCGTTGAGTGGGCGCATGCTGGCATCCGAGTCAACTGTATCTCGCCGGGATACATGCTGACGGCTTTGTGAGTTGAACCCACTCTTCTCTGTTCTTGAACGGTAGCCGTGACCTCGGCCGGCTAACTCAAATCCTTAACTAGGACCGAGAAAATCCTGGATGAAAAGCCTGACCTGAAGAAGAAATGGGTGTCCCTCATTCCTCAGGGCAAGATGGGTCTGCCTCAGGATCTCATGGGCCCAGTGGCTTTCCTGCTGTCTGATGCCAGCCGCTATGTGACCGGTGCCGATATTCGCGTTGATGGCGGTTACACCCTCACCTAAGGAGAGGGCTAAATCATGTTAGCTTGGGCTCTTTCATGAGCGTGTATATAGTAAAAATTTCTTTAATCGAAAAGAACGTTTTGGTCATATTTACTTTGAAATGTTTTTGGTTTCTCTTCTGTTTCATAGGTTTGTACATATTAAGACGCGATATCAACTTGGCACAATCCCTAGTGCACTTTTGCCCAAGCCAACCCTTTAACGGCATCGTTCCGAAGGAAGATCTATGAATAAGAGTTGCCATCATCTATTGACCAGGAGAAACCAGTTTCCCATGAGCCCTTGAATCATGCTCCCACCCACCAGCCAGAGCCGGACCCCCTGTGGCTTTGGCATACCTCTCCATTCGAGCCTCCAGCTCAGGTCTGAAATGGCGAATCAGGCCCTGGATAGGCCAGGCAAAGGCTTCGCCAAGAGCTAAGAGAAAAACGAAATGTCAGAAAAAGAACGAACACGTACAGCGCAGCGGGGGATCGAGCAGCTACTTACCACAAATAGTGTGACCCTCAACCTGCTTCGTCAGCTCCTGAAGCATGTCGATTTCCCTCTCTCGACCTTGGCCCTTTTCGAATCTGCTCATGATCTGCTCAGTCCACTTGCTGCCTTCACGGCATGGTGTGCACTGGCCGCAACTCTCATGGCGGTAGAAGTGGCTCAAGCGGCTAATGGCACGAACAACATCCGCGCTCTTGTCCATGACGATGACAGCCGCTGTTCCCAGACCCGATTGGCTATCTTTCAAGGCATCGAAATCCATCAGCTGGTCATCGCAGACACTCTTGGGCAGAATGGGAGTTGAAGAGCCGCCAGGAATAACAGCGAGGAGGTTATCCCAGCCACCTCGGACTCCACCGCAGTGTTTCTCGATCAGCTCGCGGAGAGGAATCGACATCTCTTCTTCAACGGTGCAAGGGTTGTTCACGTGGCCCGATATGCAGAACAGCTTCGTGCCCTGGTTGCGCTCGCGGCCAAACCCAGCGAACCAGCTTCCTCCACGGCGACAGATGGTTGGCGCAACAGCAACAGTTTCCACATTGGCCACAGTCGAGGGGCAGCCGAAGACGCCGACCGCGGCAGGGAAGGGCGGCTTGAGTCTTGGTTTTCCGGGCTTTCCTTCGATAGACTCGATCAGGGACGTCTCTTCTCCGCAGACGTAGGCACCAGCACCACGATGAATGTAGACGTCGAAGTCGTATCCAGAGCCACAGGCGTTCTTGCCAATGAGGCCGGCTGAGTAGGCTTCGTTGATCGCGTTTTGAAGAATGGCAGCTTCATGGTAGAATTCGCCACGAATATAGATGTAGGCAGCGGTAGCGTTCATCGCCCGACCAGCGACAAGACATCCCTCAACGAGTTTATGGGGGTCCTTCCGCATGATTTCTCTGTCCTTGCAGGTGCCAGGCTCGCCCTCGTCGGCATTGACCACCAGGTACCGCGGCTTCGTGTCCTTTTCCCAGCCCTTGAAGTTCATGAAGGACTGTTTACTTGCGGGTTAGAATATCGTCAAGCCCCAGCCGGAGGTCGAAGATGTGACATACCCACTTGAGACCGGAGGGAAAGCCTGCGCCGCCTCGTCCACGCAAACCAGAGGCCTTGATCTCGCTAATGATCCATTCGTCGCCCTTGAGGAGAATCTCCTTTGTCTTGTGCCAATCACCCATCTTCTTGGCGCTCTGGAGGTTGGCCGGGTATCGCCCGTAAAGGTTCTGGAAAATCCGGTCCTGGTCCCTCAGCCCGCCATAGGTTCGGGCGGCGCCTCCATCCTGAACGGTGGCCAGGCCTCTCGTGGCGCCTCGCGAGAGACTTATGGCCTTCTTCGAAGTTGCTCTGGCTGACAGCATGGTGATTGTTGCGATTGATCGCAGGGTCGGATGGTCGGAGGTTCGCAGAGCGAAGAGCTGGGGAGGAGGATTGGTGGCAAGACTCTGAATTGGGGATTTGATAATGGAGCTGTTTGATTGGCTAGCGGGGTCTGCCTCGATTTCCAGCTTGAGACATTTACACAGCAAATGCAGGCGCACCTATGATTACTAAGGAGGGGAGATTCGAGTGTGCCAGTAAGTATAACTACCTAGGTAGTATGAAGAATGATAGTTCTGTATAAAGATTTATTTATAAATAGGCAAAAAAGAAAGAGAAAAAATAAATTCAAATTGTACTTTATGGATAAATAGTATTAACTAAATAATGAGAGTATAATTACAGATCTTGCTATTATATTGTTGTGATAAGATTTGCTTCAGTACCTAATTCACCTGCAGTGGCTACCTACCTAGCCTCTTCACTCCTTAGGTACTAGAGACCCTTAGTAGGTACCAAGGTACCTGTGTTGAGGTACCTACCTACTCAGGTTTCAAAAGCGAACAGTGGAGCATCTCACCCCCCGGATGCGACTAGCAGCAGTGACCTTGCGACTTCCATCATACGGAGCGCCGTCGATAATACCTGCACGCGTCACAGCCTGCACACAATGTCGGAACCGAACCGCTTGTTCGAGTTGTTGGCTTGATCCATGAGAGTTAGCAGCGGTCCTTGTCCCGGATGCCAAGATGGATCTTACCAGCGCGTCTGCTTCCAACGCAGCCGCCAACAGGGCGGAGCGGTTCGAAGATGAGAAACGTCGAATCATCGACAGCTGCTTCAACAAAAAGGATACCGATGGCTTGCGTGAGACTCGACCACGAAGATGTTGCCGTCGGAACGCTCCTCCACTGACCTTGCCTCACAGTCCACGAGACTTACATCACCCATATCCGCGTCACAGAGTTCTCCTCACATTCGTCGATGCCGCCGCCTCCTGAAGCTCGGGGCCTCAACACGGAGAAGCCCAGGATCATTGTCGTCGCGGTACGCAAATCCGGAAGGGTCCGAGTTCACAAGGCCAAGGAAAACAGCAGCGGGACCTTCTCAATCGGCAAAACTTGGAACCTCGACGACCTCTCCCATATAGAATCCTACACCGGGCCCAAGGTAAGCCCAAATCTGCGAGAATGGGCTGGCGAGACCGGCTTTCTCGTCACGCTGGGGAAGCCATACTTCTGGCAAGCTCAAACGGAAAAGGAGAAGAAGTTCTTCATTGCGAGCTTGGTGAAGATATTCGGCAAATACACAGGAGGCAAATTACCCGAGCTGTCGGGGTTCGACCAGAGGGAATTGGATCAGATTCTAGGGGCGGGCAAGCGGCCAACCGGAACTCCGCCTCGGCAGCAAATGATTGACTCAACAACAAGTCAACAGGCCATCGCCACATCCTCAGCCGCACCCAAGCCCGGCCCCGGAGAGGGGCCGCGATATCCCAGGCCTTCTCCTCTTGTCCGACCTTCGCCGAACGAAACCATGTCCCCTTCTGGTAGTTTCGACTCCACTGCATCCAGAGAGCGATCTGTGCCTCGTTGGACGACCCAGACCAACAAGAGTCAAGACTCCATTGCCAATTCTTCCGCAACCAAAGGCGATGACACGTCGAGCCTTCCTCCGCGCTCGCGAAGTGGCATGAGTGGACCGAGTGGTCTCAGTGGGTTGAGCGAAGCTCGAGATGCTCACGACTCGGCTGCTGACTCTGTACCATCACTATCTCGCCCCTTGCAAGAGGACAAAGTTCCTCCTGCACGAAGGCGCCCCCCTATGGATCCTTCAAGGCCGCAAGATAGAGATCTAGTGCCTGCTCCGTTGATGAGTTCGACAGCGAAGAGGGAGCCGGTGATGCCACCGCCGCGCAGTATTGACCGGGTTGCTTCCCCCGCAATTCCATCCGTGCTACAGCCAGGGGTAGCTTTTGCTAGCCGAACGAGCCTTGATGAGAAACCGCCATCTGTAGCGGAGCCGTTGGACGATATCGATCAGCAATCAGGGAGCACTACTACGAACAATGAGTCTAAAGATCTGCCTTCTACCTCAATAGGAGATACAAGCTCGCCCGCCCAACAAGGATCGAATGATGCTCTTACCCCTGAAAAGTCAGTCATCGAACCTGAAGAAGAGACTCGTCCTGGTTTAGGCCCTATGATCAAGTCCAAGATCTCCAAGGGAGACGTTGCCGGTGCCTTCTGGAAAGCTGCATCTGCTGCAAATGCTTTTCGTCCACGACCCGGAGGAGCTGGCGAACGCCTACGCCAAAACCAAGCCAAGGCGAATGAAGGCCCTGACGGCATCACGAGCGTTGTTCCCGCACCGCCCAGACCAGCATCTCGCGATACGAACCTCGCAGCTCTTGAGCCCCCCAAGCCAGTCGCTCGAGATTCGGCATCGCCAGAGGTCAAGATACTGGTATCTGAGTCGAATAACTCCGTTGGCTCCCAATTACTGGGCAAGGAGGTCAATGAAGCCGAGAAGGACACGGCTATTCCAAAGGAATCATCTCGTCGACCTGCCGTTGTTGGGCAGGATGCTAGGTATCTTCAGAGGCTGGGTATTGACCCAATCATACTTGACGATCGGAGCGAAGAATTCGGCAAATGGCTGGATTTCTTTGGTTGGGTTCCTGGTGATCAAATGCATTGCTTAAACATGGACGATATAGGCAATGATCTAGAGCGAGAATTAAACACAGTCCAGGCGGGAGGGTGGTTAGCACGCTTTCGAGAAGAAGATGAGAGGGTGAACACCATCAAACGAGGGATCGACCTGGCCATGGGTGAATGCGAAGAGTTGGATAACTTGCTCACACTCTACTCCGTGGAACTCTCGGTAAGCGTTTTGTTCATTATGTTCTTTTCTTGTTGTTTCACCTCCCCTTCTTCATCTTCTCTGGCACCTATGTGCGGAACTTATGGCTGATTTTTCTAAGACCCTCTCGGACGATATTGCCTATATCGAAGCTCAGGGCCAGGGCCTTCAGGTACAGACGGCCAATCAGAAGCTGCTGAGAAAAGAGTTGGAATCATTGCTGGAAACATGCGCAATCACATCCGACGACCTTCAGGCACTTCAACAAGCACCTCTGGACAGTTATAGCGGCTTGGAAGAGGTAGAGCTCGCCCTCGTTACTCTATTTAGGGCCATGATGAAGATTGATCCCTCGCTCGGGGGTGATGACACTGGAAAGACTTTGGACGCCACCTTGGACGCTGATCATACCTTGGGGCTGAACAGCAACTACGGCAAGATGAGGATTGTACAAGAAAAGCGAGAAATGTATCTGCATGAAAGCAGGTACTTCATGAAGCGACTACTGGACTTCATGACGGGCCAATTCGGAGAAGCCTACGTCGAGACGAAGCGCGCGTTGGACGGCGCTCTCTCCAAAAAGGTTGATCCTGCACACCACAGCATTGGGAGGGATCTTCTGTGGAAGTACAGCCCCTTGATGCTCTATGCGAGAGATGTCGATCTGGAAAACTGGAATCGCCTTTTGCAGATTTACCAAGACAAGAGCTCGCCCGTGTATAAGCATGAATTTCAGCATGTGATTTCCGTTTGGCGAAAGAACGCGAGGAAATTGACAGGAGATGAAGCAGAGGTTATATTCTCGTCTCAGTCCGAGAAACAGCAAGAAGGCGTGGCAACCGCTGCGAGAAAGCTCACTGTCAAACGCAGTCAGACATTGGCTAAGGCTCTGAGATCGCCGTTGGCAGACGGTGGCACCAAGACGCACGTCGAGAGGAGCAACCCGGATTCTCGAAGCTTGCCATACGAGGTCTTTTCTGGGGTCCTAGAAGATCTTTTGCCTCTGGTTGAGATGGAACAAAACTTCATCATCGACTTTTTCCACGCTACGACGCTGGAGCAAGCAGATTTCCCAGAGGCAGTCGCAGCATGCCCACCTCGAGACCGCCGAGGCGGCGATTTGAAGCGGCATAGGCTCATGGAGCCCGACCGAGAACTTGCCCGTCGCGTCACGCGGTCTATGGAAGCTATCTTTGCGTTCCTCGAGGCAGAACTGCGAAGGTTGATGGAATGGGTCATTGCCCAGGATCCACTGTAAGTGAAGCAAGCTGTTGTGGTGTCAATGCCGCACGCACGTTGCTAACTAGGAGTGTAGCCAAGGAGTTGGAGTGCTCGCCACGCTCGAGAGAAAGTTGTCAGAGATGGGGCAGTCCAACCAAGATTTTCTCAACGCTCTTCTCCAGAAACTGCATGCGTCTTTGGAAGGACAGTTCAGGAAGTTCGTTGACGAGCAAATACGCGCCATCGAGGAGACAAAGGTCAAGATCAAGAAGCGCAAGGGCGTCATATCGTTCATCCGCATCTTCCCTGCGTTCATGGCCGCCGTGGAGAACATGGTGGCTGGCTTGGACCAGAATCTGGTATTGCGGCGGACGGTCAATCGGGAGTATGATCGCATCCTCAAGACAATGTTCGAGTCCCTCATGGTGATTGCGCGCGAGCATCCTGCTGTCGGCGTCGCCAGTGGAACGGCTGATCCAGAGGACAAGGAGGCGCTGAACTTCCACATCTTGCTGATTGAAAACATGAACCACTTCCTGGAGGAGACCGATACTCGCGGCTTAGAGGTTATAGAGAGTTGGAAAGCGCAAGCAAACACCGAATACCATGAGCACATGGCACTGTATCTGAATACAGTGATGCGGCGACCGCTCGGCAGGCTTCTGGAGCAGATTGAGAATATTGAGGCGCAGCTGCAGACCGGCAAGTCGGCAATGGCAATCGCGCGACAGCCTTCAAACAACAAGGCTGCCTTCAACAAGGTGCTGGGCTCGTATGACGCGAAGGAGGTGCGCAAGGGAATCGAGACTCTACGGAAACGCGTGGAAAAGCATTTCGGTGATGCAGACGACCCAACGCTTAGCCGGGGCTTGGTCGTCCGGGTGCTCAAGGAGTGCGAGGAGTTCTACACCAGCGTCGAAAGCAGGATAGGTAGGATCATCACAGACGTCTACGGTGGCGAGGTGATCTTTGAATGGCCTCGAGCAGAGGTCAAGGCTGCCTTTAGGTAGATTCGCCTGCTATTTATACATATAATAATACATCTAATTTTGTATATTGACTTTTTGTCCATGTGGGCGTCATCATGGATTCAGCGAGCAGCTATCCACCCCAGGGCCGAGGCAACATCAAGCCCCGAGCAAGAGCCTGCGATTCCGCTTGATAACCATGTTCAGACCCTTTTCGAGTTTCTCGGTCTCTTTCTTGGCGGCTGTCAGAGCTGCTTCGGCATCTTCAACGCTCATCAGCGGCATGTTGCCAATCGAACTGGCTGCCGCTCCTTTACCAATCTCGTCCAGCGACATGCCCGGAGCGGCAAAGTCTTGTATGGCCCGAGCGCTTTCTGGCGAGCTGTAAATGCCTACACCAGCGGCAGCATCAGGGCCGTAGAAGTAGGGCGCCAGAGAGTTGAGGCTCGCTGAGTCACGAGTAGAAGAAGCTCCCTTCGGGAAACCCATACTTGTAGCCCCAAGACTCAGCCTCGGCAACACATATTGGTTGATGTAGCTTAGGGCATCCTCCCTTTGGAGCTTGCCGATCGGATCCTGCGTTTGAGGCTGCATGGTAGAAGGGAAGATGTTCGGCCGCCCGTTGGGAACAGCTCGACCCTTAATGAGTGAAAAAGCGCCGCTACTCGGCTGGTGTCTCGGTGCCACGAATGCAGCAGGATTCTCCGCCGTCGCAGCAATGGCGGCTTGCAGGGCCAGGAACGTGTCCTCTTCTTCTGGCGTGAGCCCGCGAATGCAGTCCCCGTGGGGGGTGATGAGCATGCGGCTGCCGTCAGTATGGAACTGTTTGCGCACAGGCCTTCCGGCACGCAGCGCCGCAAGATCAGCATCTTGCATTTCACCACATCTGCAAGAGCTCTCCTTGCAGTCTTCTCGTTTGCCTGATGGGTTCAGCGGATTGTGCTCTGGCCGGGATGAATTGCTGGAAACGGGCTTCAGCAGCTGCAGTTTCTCTGGCGCAGCAGTGCAGAGCGAATCCTTGATATCGGCAAAGACAGACGCGGGGCTCGACTGCGGCCTTTCAGGAGACTTGTCCGCTGACTCGGCCGCTTGGGGCAACGGAGGTGTGGGCGATGACGGGGCAGGTGCCTGCGTTGCCTCTTTCGTCGCGTTCTTTCGAGCATCCGGCTTTTCCTTAGGCGAATTCGCCGTGCTATCCGTCTTCGAGCCCCCATCATGATCCACAGCCACCTGCTTCCCTTCAACTTTGGAGAGAATTGCCGCTTCCGCCTTTGGTGTTTCAGAGGGAGTGGCCGCTGCAGACGAGGGAGTGGTCTCCCGCTGAGGCTTTTCCTTCTTCTGTTTCTTCTTCCGTCCAATAACGGGGGCATGCTCTGCAGTGTCCATCTTGGGTGCTTCAGCTATGATCTTGGTCTCTTGCTTCAAGACATCCTTGCGCTGCTTGCGCTGCTGGCTCTTGGTAGTCCCCCGTATCGGAGCAGTGCCCACTCTGCTCAAGGGAGGAGATCCAGCTCGAGATACAGAGACCGAAAACGATGTAACAGAGGCTGTGTCGCTAATCATCTCGCTGGCTGGTGTGCCAGGCCGCTGTGACTGGACCAGCTTTCCAGCTGCAGGACTAGATACTGGAGCAGGCGATGGTGAAGCAGAGCGAGTCTCTGCCTTGATTGATGAAGGAACCACTCTCAACGTCTTCGGTATAGCTCGCGAGGCTGTAGGCATGCCACTGCCACTCGTTGGAGGAGGCAAGGGTGGAAACCTGGCGGAATCCACGGATACATCTGGCTTGACGATACCGTCAACCGGCCGATGGATGGAACTGGTACCGGCAAGCGAGCCTGCTGCCTGTTCCGTAGATTTGGCGTCACTGTCCATTGTCAAGTGAGGTTCAGGCACCTTGGCGAGAAATCCAGTATCCTCGTCCTGGCCCTCGGGGGTTCCGCCCTCTTGTCTCCTGGCTAATGGTATGCTCTTCAACGCAACTGTTTTAGAAGCACCCAAGCTGATGCTGGCGCCCATTGTTTCGTTCGTCCTTGGCGCGCCTAGAGCAGGGAAGTCCTTTTCCTGAAGAATACTGCCTTTTGTCGAGGAGGGCGGAGGTGCTGAGGATTCCTTTGCTGTGGGGGCCGTCGCACGGATGTCAACCTCTTTGTCGATAAGAGTCGGTTTAGAGGACCTCTGGAGGGTTGATGCTAGATTGTAAGGAGGGCTGGGGGACAAGATAGGAGGCGTGGCCGGCATCGCATTCGCGCGCTGTGGCTGAGTCTGAGTCGATGTGTCTTGATTCGAATGATGAAGCGTATCGGCGCTACCCGGGTGAGAAGCCACACGATGAGAGTCCGCCTCACTAACGTGAGGTGACGCCAGGGCTGGTAACGGGTCATCTGAGACAAGCGCATCCACGGATAGTTGGGCATCTTCCGGCAACTGGAGATCATGGTCTAAGAAACACATCAGCAATGTGCAAACGATAACAGCTTGACACAAGGGCAATGACGGGCGGCATGCTACGGGATGGGGATATTCATAACACGACGCAAAGAGAGCCATCCTACGACCTCCATCATCGTCTTCCACGGGGAACAACGAGGGGAAGGAAGAGGAAAATATGAGAACATGACAGGCATGGTGATATATTGCGATCCAGGACGTCCCCAGGTAAGGAGACTCCGTGCAATCTGTTAATATACAGGAAGACTTGTGTGGAAGACGATGATGGTTTGTCTTACTGGATACTCGGCTTGCATCAAACCACGAACCCGGCCCGCAGTTGAGGGGGAAAAAAGAAAGAAGGTGTGAGGAAATGCCGGGATTGAAGAGGAGGGCTACCCCTCGACGGCTCGAGTCCCAAGGGGAGAGGTTGTAGGCGCCGAAACCAAGGTACGCCACGCGAATCCATAAAACCGTCCCTAACATCAAATGCGTGCCCCTCGAGCGCCCCTCTCGTACAGCATAAAAATGTGAAATGGATATCAAAATCTCATGTAACACCCATGGTCATGCTACCATCGGGCATAACTGGAATTATACATCATGTTCGGGACATACCCACCTTGGCTCTGACCGCTAAAGACTCCTTGATTGACTCCGGTGTTGCTTTGCGTTTGGTGCTGCATCCTCGCCTGCAGTATACTCGGGTCCGCAAGATCCACTAGACCACTCCCCCCCGAGGAGGAAGTGTTAGCATGTCTATGCTTCTTCCCCTTCTTCTTCTGCTTCGAGCCAAAGTCTTGGAATGCTCCGGTGTGGTGACCGTAGAGCGATGCCAAAAGGCCAGAAGTAGGAGCTGGGGTAGAGGTTGAGGGTGGTGGATACTGATTAGAAAAAGAAGAGATCATGTACTCACGCTTTCCACCATCATGAGGCTGATTGCCACTGCCTCGGCTCCTGCTAATTAAACTCTGCAATAAATCGCCAGATGAGTCCTTCGCGGCAGTGCCAAATCCGGAACCACCAAATCCCTGACCAAAGAGATTTGGTGGCGTGTTGGTAGACTTAAGTCCAGGCGGTGGCGCTGGCATGGAGCTTCCAAAGAAGTGGCCGTTACCTGAGGACTGTAAAGAACTAGGAATCATGGATGATTGCTGGCCCATGATCCTTGGATTCGTGGCAAATTTGAGATTGGTCGATGTTGGCGGACTGTCAGCCATGAAGTTGAATCGAGATGACTGACGATTGTGGCCCTGGTTTTGAAAGGCAGCCTGGCCAGCAAGGCTTGAAGGGACCTGCTCGCTAAACCCAGATTGAGGGCGTAGTGACATCAGATGCTGGGGCGTAATTCCCCGACCCATCTGGCTTGTACCTGGGTTGAAAGGACCATTGAGTGCAGGACCAAAGAGATTGTCGGCATTGCTTCTCTGGATGGGAGGAAAAGTGTTGATATGGCGATGCTCAAATGCTTGTCCATCGCCAATGACTTCGCGTTCTTCAGGTTCTCCGCCAAGAGCAAGGCTGCCGCCCGTCTCTACTTCACCTTCCATCTGGACCAATCCTTCAGTCGCGTTCTTCTGGTCCCCGCTGATTCGTGCGTCGTCTTCTTCGCGCATTTCCTTTCGCTTAATCCCGCCTCGAATGTCGAATAAAGGAGGCCCCAGTTCATTGACTTGCGGGGCAACTAAGTTCGACAACGTGCAGTTCTGCAACGCCCGCAAAATGTTCGCCAGGGGGCTCTTTGACGGTTGGGGCTGCGGTGGTTCAAGAGTATCTTGACTTGACATTTTGTCTTCTTCCACTTGCTGAGCAGGAGGGGGGGACCCTGCAGCCCCCACAGCTTCCCGGGCAACTTCGGTCGTGGTAGGCAAAGAAGCCGAGATAGCAGGGCTGGATGGAGCGCCACTCGTGGCATGGCTTCCTCTCCGGCTGCGTTGAGGATTTCGTGCCCAGTTTGCCGAGGAAGGTAGAGCAGAGCCGTCGGGTCCGTAGTCTGAGCCCTCTTTGCTTGATGTACGCGCCATTGATTGCGAAATGGGCGTCAAGGTCGGCTGCGATGTTTGCTGCCGGGGCGTTGTTCGGTAAGAGGTGCTGTTGCCAGCGGGCAAAGGCCTTTGCGTATGGATGCTGTTCATGGATGACAGGTCTTGACGAGTATAGCTATCTTCCTCATCGCCCTGCTCGTGTAGGAACATGCAGCCCGGGTTGTTGCATTTCTCGTTCTTGAGCCATGCAGAGCAATACTTGGTAGTTCCATACTGAGCTTTCAGGATCCTGTCCCCATTCTGCGAACCATGGACAGCTTGGATGCACCTTGTCGCCTCTTCGGGCTTTTCAAAAGTGACATAGATGCCCAGTGAATGATGCTGGCCATCTGAGCTCTTTCGATTACTAATCGAAATCTTCTGAATCACTCCGTACTGCCCGAAGAATTCAGGCTTCCTCAACGTCTTGAGAAGTTCATCTTCGCGGACCGTGGGCGCTAGACCTGTAATGTAGACAAGATTTTTCTGCACAACTCTGACTCCAATCAGATTTTTGCGATTCTCCTTCTCGGCTTCACGTTTCTGAACCTCTTTTTGACGTTGTTCTTGAGCTCGTTTCCGCTGGTTCTTCTGGATATTCGCACGGAACTCGGCAACCCTGGCCCAGTTAGCCTAAGAAAACAGCGCAGCATAAGTTCATGACCTACTCTTCTTGTGTCACGACCTTCCACTGAATAGTCTTCTCGTCATAGGGCCGTCGACATGCCGGACACAGACCATTCATGTTATTCTTAATGTTGTTGAAGCAGAACTGACAGACCTATGACTTGTGTCAGCAGGCGGTGAGACCATCAGTCGCAGGGGATGCTTACCTGGTAGCCACAGGGGCAAGGTCGAAAGTTACGGTCGGACAAGTCGAACTCTTCGATGCAAAGAGGGCTGTGACAGCGTGAGAGAGTGGCCTTTTGTCTTTCATTTCTGCACATGGACAGGGCACAGGAACGTCTTGATCTACGTACCAGACATCTTCATCTTCCTCGATGAAGGAGTCCTGAGGCGCCATGATTGCGGTGAAGAAGCGGGCTGATGTCGGGAATCCTGAGAAATCGTGATCGTGTCGGCCAAATGTTGGATCGTAGCTGAGGATGTTTGTTCAAAGCTTGATGTGGGACAGTCAAGCCACTTGGGTACGGGTCCAAGGAGACTGCATGCACGTGATCCGTGGCCCACTACCTACTACTATGTAGGTAGGCAGTACCTGTATGTCATGCCTCTCCCAGGTGACGGCTTCTCCGGCAAATCGCCGGGGAATTGCCATTGCCCAGAACAGCTGTGGACCTGAGCTACTAACTTGCTTCAATTGAACAATTCAACCCACCCGCCACCAGTTCACATCAATCCTCGCGGCCATTGCACCCCGACAGGCAGTTCGCTATGGCAAGCAGGCTTTCGTGGAGAGCGACTACGGGCTCGGCTCTTGAGCCCGTGAGGGCCTTGACGCGAGCTCGCTCCGGACAGATCACCCGAGCAATGTCGGTCTCGGCTCCTCGGATGGTCGCAGTCCCTCGGGATTCTCAGAACATGCGAACAGCCCCCAGAGAGGCCATTGGGGCTCTCAAGGCGCCGGTCATCAATCCAACAGCCAAATACCAGAGCAAGGCGGACAATCTTCATCGATACGGAACCTGGTTGATGGGGTGCCTCCCAAAATACGTCCAGCAATTCTCCGTGTGGAAAGATGAACTCACCATCTACATCTCGCCCGCCGGGGTTATACCGGTCTTTTCTTTCCTCAAGTGTTCGTATGCCACTTCTCAGTACTTTGCCAAAACCTAACCAGCGGGCTTCTTAGACAACACTGCCGCCGAGTTCACCCAAGTCAGCAGCGTCACCGCATGCGACTACCCAACACGCAGTCATCGATTCGAGGTTGTTTACAACCTGCTCTCTGTGCGATATAACTCTCGAATCCGAGTCAAGACTTACGCCGACGAATCATCGCCTGTGCCAAGTATCACCAGCCTGTTCAGCGGCGCCAACTGGTATGAACGGGAGGTTTACGACTTATACGGTGTCTTCTTCACTGGTCATCCCGATCTAAGGCGCATCATGACGGACTATGGATTCGAGGGTCATCCTCTGCGGAAAGACTTCCCCCTCACGGGATATACTGAGATTCGCTACGACGAGGAAAAGAAGCGGATTGTCACCGAGCCTCTGGAACTTACACAGGCTTTCCGAAATTTCGAGGGTGGATCCAGTGCCTGGGAACAAGTCGGCACGGGCGAAGATCGCAAACCCGAAACTTTCAAACTACCTACTCCCAAACCGGAAGAGAAGAAGCAGTAGATATGTCGCTTGGACATTACTGATGGATCAGGCACGCATACTTGTCAAACGTTCCAAAATCAATTAATTGTTCTTTCTTCGACTCTACTGTGTGATGTCACAATATGGAATCGACCTCTGTCTCAGCCAGTCGATGTGAGTAGACGCTGGCCTAGAACTATCGAGAAGGGCCCTGCATAGCGCTAGGTATTCTTCGTTGAGATCACAAATTGAAGCCACGCCTGCTTAGCTGCCAACAAAGAGATGGATGCCTCAAATGATGGGACACGGCGTATTTAGACCGTGAAATGGCTAGCCGAGTACAAAGGGCGCATACAGTTGTATGTACAAATAGAATGTCGCTACTATGTTGATCAATCCATGGCTCAAGGCTCAACAAGACTAGCATTATCAGTATGCTTGAAAGTCACACAATCCTTAGTCAATGCTTCCGCTCCCACCAAATATAACCAGTGTGTGTACATCTCAGCCGAAATTGACACCAATTGACCCCAACTTAGGATGGCCAAGACTCAAGAGACGCTCGAACGCTCAAACGCCACAGTAGACTAGATTTCCTTCCGTGTTCCTCAATCGCCCCATCCTTCAAATGATTGGGGTAGGGGTTGGAAAAATAAAAATAAAAAAGATGAGAACGTAAATAGCGGGTAGTAGAGTGAAGGTGTATGTAGGTATGTGTAAAGACGTGAGAAAGTGAGAATGACTTACACAGCTTCGCATCGCGCCCCTGGACGCACAGTACCTGGGTTGAGGTGGTCATGCGACTTCGTGAAACTGCGGGAATGATTGATGCGTGAGTCAAGAATCACCAAACGCCATCCTGGGTACTATGTCGATCCGATACATCATGATGATACCGATAATAATCCTTCACCTCATGGCCATAGCCGCCCCCATCGTCAGCGCCATAGCCGCCATGGTCGTCGTGTAAGTGGTCGTCTTCATATATCTGAGCGTCATCCACATACTCCACCGGCTGGTTGGAATTGGAATCTGCATATTGCACCGTCGTCTGCTCGAGGTTTAGTATGCCTCCAACTTATGGCAAGAAGGCGACTTACGCGATGATAATCGAAATCGTACTGCTCAAGACTCTGTTGCTGGTCTTGTTCATCCCCTTCGTCTTGCGCTTCACGTTGAGCCAAGTATTCTTGCTCTTCCCGTTTACGGCGTGCCTCCTCCTCCAGTCGCTTTTGCTGGGGCGACACTGGAACATTCATCTGAGGATGCATAGCTTGAACAATTGCCAGATAGCTGTACATGAAATTGCTGAGGAGGACTTGGCTGTGGAGAGAGCGGCGAGGGTTTGCTAGTTTGATGTGTGCCATTCGATAGATGGCGCGTTCTTCGAGGAGCGGAAAGCGGCTCCAGTTGTAGTCGACATCTGGCTGCAGAGGCTTGTAAGGCACGGTGTCTTCTGGAACATGCAACAGTTGCTGGTGCTTCTTGTTCTTCTCTTTCTCTTCCCGCTTCTTGCCGCCAAAGATGGAAGAGAAGAGGCTTCCGTCCTTTTCCTTTCTCGAATCGCTCTTTCGATGACTGTCCTTCTTCCGTTCGTCGGAAAGTTTAGTGTCGAGGCTTTCCCGGTCAAGGACTAAGCTTTCACGCCCCTTGGTAGCATTCTTTTCGAGCGATGATTGAATGACGTCCAACCGCACGTTGTCCTGAGCCTTTTCAGACGTTGCTTTGTGTCTGGACTTCTTGCTTTCATCCTTTTTCTTGTCCCTGTCGTCCGCCACGCCCTTGAGCCATTTCCATGCGCTGCCGGATCTACTCGAGTTGTGAGAATCCTCATCCTTCTCTTTCCTCGCCTTCTTGTCTCCTCGTTTTTCATCTCGCGTCTGCGCCGGAGGGGTGATGGTGGCATCCGTGCGAAGAGCGTTACTATTTGATGTGTTGAGTGGAACTGCACCTGTTTGTGTTGAGGCGGAATTAGACAATCTCCCAGAGCTGCTGTCTTCGAGCTTGTGACTGCCTGGTAGGGAGCGGTGGTTCGAGCGGCCGGTTGAATTGTTGCCGGGGTCATCTGCCACAGGTTCTAACCCAGGCTCCTCTGCTGTGGAAACAGTCTGAGAGTGACGTTGTGAAAATTGATCTGGGTACCGATTCTCCTGAGAGACGCCTGGATTTTCCGAGGTGAGGATATCGTCGGTGGAAGCACGTGGCGAGGCGGAAGATCCTCGAATGGAAAATTGGGATGAACGTGAAGCTGAAGGGGCATCGGGCGCTGTTGAAGTTGCAGACGATTCCTGCGAATCCTTATCATGTCTTCGATCTGGTCGAGTAGGCCGTGAAAAATTCTCCGTGGGTTCTGACTGCACTTGGATCAGCGGATACCCCCGAGGGGGTTCAATAGCAGCCGCAGCATGAGAGTCTGTGCTATCACCGCTTTGGTGGCGTTGTGCCATTCGCTTCGAAAACGACGCTTTGTCGCCAGATCGCAGGCTCCCTCCTTTGCGGTACGTTGTCCGAGTTGACCTCCGCAATCCGCTACTGGGTGCAACAGCCAGGATAGGTATGTCATCCGTCCCAGATTCTAGACTGCCTGAATAGCTATGGGACTCTTGAGCAAGTCTCTGGGCTGCTTTTGAGGGGTCTTTTACTAGCTCGTCTAGACTCAGGTCTCGATCTGGCTGATCATTCTTGTAGCCTTGTCTCTCTGGTTTGTCCATCACGCCATTGGCGTAACCTTCGGAAGCTCGCTCGTCCGAGCTGTCAACTTGGCGGGAAAGTAGCGACTTCTTCCTTCTTAGTGAAGAGGAATTCATTGGACTCTGTTCGTCACCAGAATTCTCATCCGGAACGGAAAGAAAAGAATCTCCGGATCTCCTCCGGATGGACTGAAGCCGACTTGCGAGAAAGGTCTTGAATTCAGTAGGCGCCAGCTCTGGATGTACTCTTGCGGGCACCCAAAGCAACCTTGAGGGATCGTTTTCATCATCGCCTCCCCGCGGCGCTACAGCCGGCATAGCTGCTAGTGACATTGGAGGTATATCTGGGTCAATACTGTTGCCAACATCCATGGATAAACGCCTCAACGCCTGCAAGTTGCTTAATTCCTGAGCGATATCATTCGGGTTATCTATATTGGTCAAGGGGAATTGCTGCTCGGACGTGTGCGTATGAGCTCCTCGCAGCGACAGAGTGGGAGATGTCATGGGCCGCGCGTCTTCGTCCAGCTGATCGTTGCGCTGGCTGTGTCCGGGGAGACTCGTCGAAGGTGATTTCGAGCCGCCATTGCCAACATGGGGTCTCGGCCGCGTCTGCTGGTCTGATGTTGACTGAGAGACGACATTAGACGCTGTGATGAACTGTAGCGGCTTTTCGTTGTGTTGCCGATGTGGTTGACTGACTTGGTCCTCATACGCAGGGTCGGTGACGAAACTCAGCGGGCGGCCCGTCTCGGAATTTTGGTCTTCGTCTTCATCGTATAAATTGCCGATTGTCTCCGTTACGTGATGGCTGGGATCTGAAATCGAGAGCTGGCTCGAGTGGCCACGTCGTGTGGAAAGGGTGCCGGCAACGTCGCCATGAAGTCGAGATGATGTCTGATCACCGGTTTCATTAGCCTTGGATACAGGGTCTGGATCGCTACTACCACGATTCGATCCTAACCACGGCCACGGCACCTCGACGTGCTCCATTCTACATATTGCCCTCATCACCGAAGCGCCTTCTACATCCCGGCGTCCAAGCACACTGGAGAACGTACCATCATCGAGCGTGACGTGAGGGCTAGAGGGAGACAGGACCCCGGGCACGAGCCGGTGAAGCTATGCTCCCTGATTCAACCAGAGATTCCCGACGTTTGGAGTTGGAGTGGTCACAGCAGCGAGACGCGCAAGTGATAAGTTGGAGTCAACCCAGCAACAGATGGTGGGTTAATTAAACACCTCCTGAGCGGGATGTCGTCACGAGGTCTACCGCCACATCAGGGCGCTGGATAGAGGGTATCCAGCCAGAGATGGAGATTGTACAGGTATAGTGTACGAAGCGAGACCGTTTATTTCACCAAGCATGAACATGAGACTATCTTGAAACGTTAACCTTCGTTAGTTAAAACATTATATATAAATGCCTGCCTATTTCCCTAGACATTTAATAAAGCAGTATTTACTTTTAAAGGAACTTACTAGCCAGTTATAAAAAAAATATATAAGTTAGATTATAGTTTATTATATAAAAAAATTAGTTTAAAAATAATTATAAATAAATTAATAAAAATTTAAAATTAAATTAAATTAAATAAATAGTTATAACTATAATTATAGTTAATTATATAAGAGATATAAATCTTAATATATATTATATTATTATTTTAATCTTTAGTTAATATCACTATTTATATAAAATTAATAAAAAAAATTATTAATAATTAGTCTTAACTTAAATTTTAAAATTATATATATATATATATATATATATATATATATATATTATAATATTAAAAACTAAAAATAGAAAAATAATATAATTTAACTTATATTTATATATATCTTAGTAAAGGTTTTAACCTCTTATTAGTCTATCTCTACTTAGTATGTATAAGGTAATTAAAGACCTATCTTGCATTGCTGCTGACCTACAACCTACCCTGTCTGCCATATCTTGAAGATGTCGCATGCTCACGAGGTGACTCTCAGTATCATCGATTCTGCCTCGCCGCCTGTCTTCCAAGCTCCTACCAAACGCATCCAACAACCTAATGATGTAGGCAGATTTCTTGCCAGCGCGGCCTACCGAGATATCGGCCTGTTCATTCTCCAGCTGAACCACGCCGTTTGCCCACGACAGCCAGCCGGCTCGTCAACTCCAAGAATCTTCCCACTTGGTTCCCAGTCAAGCCGCACAGCTTCTATTCGATCCTGCCAAACATTACTGCTTAGCATTCGCAATCTCATAGACAGAGCACCGCCAGACCCCGGTTCCCAAAGATTTGGGAATGTTAGTTTCCGCAAATGGTTCGAACTCCTGAAGGAGGAGCTGGATGATTTGCTCAACGATGGGCTGCTCGGAGAAACCCTACGAACAGGCAATGGTCATGCGAAAGATGAAGTAGCGAGCTACTTGTTGGGGTCATTCGGCAGCTCGCAGCGTCTCGACTACGGGACAGGACATGAGCTCAACTTTATAGCCTTTCTTGGATGTCTATGGAAGCTAGGGCATTTCAAGGACGGCATACAGGGGGGTGATATCGAAAGGGAGATCGTGCTACTGATCATTCAACCGTAAGTCAGGTGAACGTAACTTACTTGCACCAAACTCACTGCTTCAGGTATCTCGAAACCGTAAGGCAGCTGATAACGACATATACTCTGGAACCAGCAGGCTCCCATGGCGTATGGGGTCTCGATGACCATTCCTTCATCCCGTACATATTCGGCTCTGCACAGCTCACTCGCCCTATTGGCAGCGAGCTTGAACCGATGCCCACTGATGGTTCCGTGAGAGGCGCACCGAAACCGAGCGATGTAACGAACCGAAGCATTGTCGAGAGGATGAGGCATGTCAACATGTACTTTTCGGCTGTTGCGTTCATCAATGACGTGAAAAGGGGTCCCTTTTGGGAGCACAGCCCAATGCTATTTGACATCTCTGGTATTAAAGACGGATGGGGCAAAATCAACAAAGGCATGATCAAGATGTATAATGCCGAAGTCTTGTCGAAATTTCCTGTCATACAGCATTTCCCGTTTGGTTCGCTGTTTTCTTGGGACGAGAACAGGCAGCCGTTAGAGCAGGGTCGAGGCAGGCAGGTCGCGAGTTCCCAAAGGCCGCTGAGTTAAATCCAAGACTACCCAGTTACTCTACCAGGCAATATGAAGGAGACACGGATATTACCATGAAGCGTGGGAGGCTGGATATAGGATCGAGTACTGGACAGCTATCCGTGGCAACAGGACACTCTTCCATGGCCACGACTCGGCCACAACCAGTTGTATAAGCACGCACGCACGCATCAAACTGCTGCCTCTACGAAAGGAGAAGAGGTAACGATATCCGCCATAGGCCTGTATAGCTCAAACGATATACACGTCGGCTGTGATGTTGGCGGGACTCTTCAGCCAAAGAAATCCGTGATTCTCTGAACACCTGCAGGGCCTTGCTTGTTTCGGCTTCTCTTCGTGGGAGGATTGTAGTTGCCAGAAATCTTGCGTTTCTTATGGACGTCTGTTCCCTTAGCCAAGTCAGGCCTGGCATCAGTCTGGCTGACTGATTCTGTACCTCTGCTCCCACATTTATCGCCCTTCCCTGCTGCTGCCTTAGGGGGTTTCCCTGGTTCTGGCGTCTGTTGGTCAACTGAAAAAAATCGGGCTATATCATGCTCTCTTCCTTTATCATTCAATGGCTTGATGAAAGACGGTGAGCTGCGGCCAACCTTTCCAACATCCTTGCTTACTGGGTAGATGTCTAGATCTCCTCGGTAAGGTTTGAGCAAGGATTGGAGATCATCAGTCCACCGGCGCCGGGAAGGATGTAGCCATTCTTGCAATTCTTTGGAGCCTGTGTCTAGAATGACCGGCATCCGGTGATGCAGAAATCGAAGCTGTTTGTTCGAGTTCGTTGTGATTATGGCATAAGTATAGGTCTTGTCTCCGGTGTCTTTGATCATATCAGCTGGCAAGTTTTGTCGAGGAATACAGTACCATACCTTCATTGCCGATAGAGTCCCAGAGACCAGCAAAGCACATCAACCGGCCGTCCTTTCGTTTTACGAAATGCGGAATCTTTTCCTTTGTGCTCACATTGAGCCACTCGAAGAATCCCTGCGCTACCACAACGCATCTCTTGCGATTCTTCATGCCCTGCCACATACCACCGTGGGTCCTGAGAGAATCATCTCTACAATTAATCGCCTTCGGAACAGAAGCACCTTTCTTCTTCGACCATGAGGGCGTGATTCCCCATTTCATGGTCCGGAGCCTGTACTTCGTTGCACCAATGCCGAGCTCCTCTGCGCCAGACCTGTCATCAACAGAGCTCCCCTTGTCTGCATTTTGGAGTCCATGGCAACATAGTCCTGCGCCTTGGTCGAAAGTGTCAGCGACGCAGACAATGCCATTAGATCCAGGGGAAAAGTTATATGTCTGATATGGCGCCTCGGGACCTTGATCATCTGGAGAATCTGTTATCTGGATGCCATCGTCTTCCAGCATCCGGCGAATTACAGAAGGGGGCTAGAGATATTAGCAATAGCCTACCGATCACATTAACGGCTTGCTTAGGATGCCTAGAACTCACAAGTGCCAATGAGTACCTGCCGCACATTTAGAAAATTTTAAACAGTAAAGATAAGGAGTTTCAGGTGTTTCTTATAAGTATCTCACAGGCTATAGTAAGGCCAGTAAGCCTGTAAAGCTATAGGCCTTATAGGCTACTATAAAAGGCAATGCTAAATTATAATACTATTATTAGTAAATCTTTTAAAAAATATACTATTATTTTATAAGCTATAAAAAGCTTTAGTTTAATAATCGCTTTATATTTAATAATTTAGTTAATAATATAAAATTTAAAATTTAAAAAATTTAAAGTTTAAGAAATTAAAAAAAGAATTTTTTAAAACTTAATATAATTATTTATAGAATTTAATATAATTATTAAAAAATAATTTATAAAATAATTATTATTAAAAGGTATTTTTAAATTATTTTAATATTAAATTTAAATATTAAATTATTATAAAAAGTAATTTATAAAATTTATAATTAATATTTATATAATTATTATATTATACTTATTATATATATATATATATATATATATAATAAATTAATTTTTTCTTTTATTATTATTAATCTTTATAAAATTATAATAATTTATAATATTAAATATTTAATATAAACTTTTAATTTTATTAAAAAATATATTTAAAATATATTAAAATAATAATAAATATTTAGCTTTTATTAAATAATATTATATTTAATTTATAAAATTACTATTAATATAATTTATTTTTTAAATTAAAATTAATATAAAATATATAAGTTATTTTTTAAATTAAAATTAATATAAAATATATAAGTTATTTTTTTTTTAAAAAAAATAAAAAATATAATAATATATATTATTAAATTTATTAAAAAAAACCTTTTTAAGTCTTTATAATATAATAATATAGTACTTAAAGGCCTTATATAAGTAATAAGCTTATTAATTTAAATTTAATTAAAAGACTTTTTATTAATAATTTAAGCTATTTTACTTATTAAAATATTATAAAACCTTAAGCCTTTAAGCTTAAATTAATAATTATTACTTAAGGCTAATAAAGAATTTAAGTTATATTTTATATAATAATAAAAAGCTTAGCTTTATAATTAAAAACTAAAGTTATATTTATAATAATAAATAAATACTTTTTAAAATAAAGTTAAAGAAATTATACTTTTTTTATAATAAAAATATTTAAAATATTAAAAGTAATATAATTAATTTAAAATAATTAATATAATAAAATATTTTATAATAATTAAGATTTATATTAAAAGTTAAAAATAAAATAAATAATATTTATTATTATAGTAAAATATAATATAAGGTTTTTTTAATAAGCTATTATATATATAAAGATTTCTTTTATAAAGAAATATATAAAAGTATTAATAAATAATAGCTTTAACTAGTTATTTAAAATATTAAAATATATAAGCTTTTTTAATATTAGTAATAATATTATTATTTTTTATTTTTTATTAATAACTTTTTAATATTTATATATAATATTTTTTTTTTTAGTTTTTATATAATTTTTAACTATTTTTATATAATATATTCTTAATACTTTTAATAATATATATTTAATATTTTTAATTTTTTTTATTATTTTTAATAAAAGATTTATAATAATAATTTATAATTTATAATTTTTTACTTTTATAATATAATTAATTTATAAAAATAAAAAAAATATTAAAAAAGCTATTAAAATAAAAAAGTTAGTAAAATAAAAAAACTACTTTATATAAGTTTTTATAAGTAAAAAGAATATTATTTAGCTAGCTATTTAATTTATTAAGTTATATATAAAGCTATATATAAATCTATATATAAAGCTATATATAAAGTTATATATAAAGTTATATATAAAGTTATATAAGAAACTAGTATTATATAATATTATATAATAAATGCCTTTTTAAAAAAAGTAATATATTTTTATATTTATATTATATTTTTATATTTTTTTATTATTTTTATATTAATATTATTAATTATTATAATTTATTTATTAAGTTTTAATAAATATTTAAATTATTAATACTATTTTTATTATTTAAATTATATTACTTAAATAAGTTTTTATTATTTTATTATTATTAAATTAATAATAGTTTTTTAATTTAAGTAAAAATACTTATATTAATAAGTTTATTTTTTATAAATTTAAATTGCTTTAATTAAATAAATATATAATTATTACTAGCTAAGTAATATAAAGTTAAGATATTATAATAATTATAAAATATAAAAATTAAATTAATTTTTAAATAATTAAAGTAATACTTAGTTATAACTTTAAAAATATTAGATAATAAAGTTAAGTAAAGCTTATTATAAAAAATATTTATATTAATTATTAAACTAGCTATATTTAATATAAGTAATAAATATATTTAAATTAATATAATAATAATAGCTGTTTACTGTTAATTTAGCTAGCTTTTTATTATTTTAATTTTAATTATTATATATATTAAGTTATTTAAGAATTTAAATAAGTAATATTAATAATATAAATAATTAAAAAGTTATTTTAAGTTAATAATAACTAATTATAATAATTATATATATAATAAGCTTAATTAATTTATATTAATTATTATAATTAATTATAGCTTTTATAAATTAAGCTAATTAAAATACTTATTATAATTAAATAAAACTAATTAAAGTATTAAAAAAGGCAGTTAATAGCTTGAAGTATTAATAGCTT